ATAAAACGAATAACGTAAAAGAGATTGCAATTTCAAAGTGTCTGGCTTTTTATGAGAGTTACCGCCACGGCTCATATGAAACAGTTAACAGTCGAGTCTATTTTAACCACACAGCCTCAAAGCCTCTCAATTGTAATTAATTAACTGGCTGACTGACGGAAAGTCTGACTGGCTACGTATTTTTGTTGCATTTGCAACTCAAAGCTGAGTGTGCTGTACAAAATTGCATAATATTTGGCAAACAACAACAGCAGCAACAACTAGCACAACCGGACCCGACCAACTCATAAAGCAATAATAAGAAGGAGGCGCATTACAAAGCTCAGTTAATCGACGAAAAAGGTTTCGCAAACTGGTGTCACATACTCAACGGGAACCGGCAATTTATGATGAATCATCAGACCACTATCTCATGCAGAAACGATACCTAATGAATTGCACGTTTTTATGAAGATCAGAAGGAGAAATGATTTGTAAAGAACGTGAACATAGTATTATGAAATATAGCTTCGTTAAAATATTATGCCACTATTATTACAATAGATTTAGGATAAGATAAGATCAAATGACAATTTCCGTTCAAAATAAACTGTTCAGTGATTGATATTGTTACCAACGAGGAGTATGTTACGTAGAAACGCAAAATATGCACATCGGTCATGCGTCACCTTTCATCATAACACCAGGACAGACAAAACAAAGTTTTGATTGGCTTGAAACCAGCTGTGAAGGAGGGAAGCTTTTAGACACTGGCGCGCAGCTTTTGGGGGCAACTGCAATAAAACAAAAATGAAAAGGAAAAATGCAAACACCGCGCTAGTGTAAAAGGCATAACAGATATACTCGTATGTAGGTGATTAGGACACTTATACAAGTATGTATGTGCACAGAGTGTGTGACGGCTATGGCGAAAAACAAGTTTTATGCGCGCTTTTCGACTTCAGCGAAAGGGAAAACTCCGATGTTAAAAGGCAGCCGCGCTTCGCAATGAAATTGAAATTGCTTTTTAATGCAATTCATTTTGGCCGGTTTAGTGTTTACGCTTGCGCCGACAATTGTTGAATAAGCCAGGCCATGTTAAGTCGAAATTTATGTGGCAAAGTCCGACGAAGTTGCAGCTTCCCGTTGGCTGGTTTTCGTGTTGGTGTTGCTGTTGCTGTTGCCACTTCCTCGCTATTTTTGTGCTTTTATTTTTACTGCGCTTTGCATGCGACCTTGTGCCACTTTTCTTCACAACACAAGAAGAAGCAGCAGCAACAGCAACAACATAAAAGACAGCAAAACCCAAATGAAATTGTCTTATGAATGGGCAGCTATAAAAGAGATGAAGCAAACAGCCAACAGTAACAAAATGTAGATTTTGAATTTATCTACGAAATACTCACATCATAAAACAAAAATGCTGAAACAGAAGACGCGTCCACAACTCCCAATGCGACTGTGACTATTACTGAGAGTCGTTGTTGTAAATTGATGCCATGGCAAAATGTTGTCACCTGCTTTTTACCACTTTGTTTGGGCTGATCGCCTGCGCATTTCTGTAACTGTTTGGCATTTGCTGTTGTTGACAATTTTTCAAACGCCTTTTGACTTTTGGCGACAGTTGCAACTCAAACGCAGGCGCCACTGCCACATGACACAGCACTTTTCAAAGAAACTGAGTGAAGCTGGAGTTAGAAAATAGCATGCTGAGTTTTTTTCCCCTTTTTTTTTGTTGGAAATGACTTTTTGTGCACCTCGAGTGAATGAAATGAAAAACAAAGAAAAAACTCGTGAATGTCAAGCCGAAACATGCATACTCTAACCATCTGTTGAGGTATTTAGAGCGAGTTTCTACTAATATGTTTCTTGATACCCATTTATCTCCTCAACATACGCTTAGATTTCCTACAGCATGTCGCTGGCATTAAGGTTTATTTTCTTATGCTTTAATTAGTATTGCAAAACTGACTTTTGGCTTAGAAGAAGCACATCAAGTTTTATGACTTTAACTCATAAATTTGATCTCGACTGAAAGGTAGACGACTTGCAACCTTTGCTTTGATTAAGTAAGTAAGTTTCTTAAGTTGGCTGGATAATTAAGCTACAGAAGTATATCCCATTTCTATATAATTGTACCAATCTAAAAATTCATAGAAAAACGCAGCTAGCTATTGGCACGAACGTACCAACTATGGCTTAAAATTAAGAAACGAATAAATATTTGAGCACGAGAAGAGTAAGAGGTAGCTGGAAAGGAGTGAATTCTTTCAAGTTTGACTACATTTATGATAAATTTAGAAAACTTTATTATGGTCAAGTGCATGCTGATTAGAATTTAACGTACATGAAAATACTTATTAGTTAAATGCGATAAATGAGATTTTACCAATCTGAGGGTAATAATTAAGTTTATGTGTTACAAAGTATTCCCCAATTTGGAGTAGCTTTTATGATTGCGGGTGTCTGGAGGGTATGAAAATATAAACCACAATGTATTGTTTTTGTTTTAAGGGGTATTGTATTGTTGTGGGCGAGCACAATTTTGATTCAAATAACGAATACAGTTACGAAAGTTGTTGTATGCAAAAGGCCAAACATGGTATCTTATATGTATGTACAAGTATTTTCTATGCATAATATGAAGGCTCTTACAAAAAGCTGTTGTATGTTTCATAGAAAATTAGTTGAGATGCAGCAGCCAGAGCTCTGCACAAATACAAACTAGATGAGCTGGCACTTTTTTTTTGGGTTGTTCGGCCATTGGGGCACATAAATTAGCATGAAATAATAAAACAATAATGAAGAAGCGTCTTACGCATGTAGTCCGCCAGTGATTCATAGTGACAGAGATGAGGAGATACAAATACATATAAATTATCTATATGGGGTAGAGTATTACAAAATGCCGCGGGCGCAGCACTCCAAAAAAATAATGGCATGACAACGTCATTTTAATGAAGAAGCATAGTCGCAGTCGCAGTCGCAGTTTCAGTCACAGTCACAGTTGCTGTCACTTTTGAGTACTCATTAGCACGTTGCAATGCACAAAAATTATGTCAAGTGCGACGAGTCGCACGCTCTTTAAATTGAAATATTTTTATTTTGTACTTTATTTACTTACAACAATTATCGCTGCGGCAACGAGGATGTTTACAAGTCTTAAATACGTGCGTAAAAATGGACAAGTGAGTGAGCCGGCAAGGAAGTCGCAAAGCACTACTCGTTAACAAGAAAAAAAATTTTAACGGCTTGTTAAATATTGATTCGAGTGCTAGATAAGTCGAGGCTTTTAGTAGGCAAGCGCACTTTTTGTAAATCTACCGAAAGCTGAAAAATTAAAACAAAGCAAAACCTTATCATAAATAAAATATTTATAGCGACGACCTTGCCTTTTAATTGCTGTTTTAAAATGTTTAACAAAGCGAAGTAAAAATCATTCGCGTAAGCCACAAGAAAAAAATTAAGTAAAATATAAATAAAAACAATAACAAATCTGCCATACCGTGCGGTTCGACATTATTTTTGCACTAGCCGTGGTCCAACTTGTTTGGCTGTTCAAAAATTTCAAACACGCTTTGTTACAAAACTTCGCGATTTGATGATGGCATGGCACATTCGGCGTTTTGGGCCAATAAACTACAGACTAGTGCTGGTAAAGTCAATGCAGCATTACACCCACCAACAGATATAGACAGACATCAGGACAGACATCGAGTCAGCAACTCACTCGACCACTTTAGCGTGCAAGCGTCTCGATTCAATTTCAATGTCAGAGTTGCGCAAATGTCGCTGTTGGCTTTTTTTTTAGTTTTGGGTTTTGGGTTTTCGATTCAATATAAATATCGCCCTATGCCACACGCCCTTAATGTTGCGGGCATGCGTTAATTTGTGTCATTGTCTGACATTGAACTCAAATGTGTGGCTGGAATTTATGCAGCAATAAATGTATTTATTTGTTGCTATTGCCTGTCCATCTTTTATGTGTCTATCAATCAGTTCTGGCGTCGTTCTTTTTGCTCAATCACATAATTACATATTATGCGAAGACATTTCAATTTTGCTTGTTTATCGCCTTGAAAGTTTCATTGCCTACATGGCGTATGAGCGACGACGTGACTTCTCTCTTTGAGAAAAGCTCACGCATGTTTGGCATTAAAATCCAACCAATTTTGTTTATACTTGTATATATTTTAATTGCTTATGTTTTTGTGTGTATCTTTGGAACTTGTATCGTACTTTATCGCATTTTTGACTGAATAAATGTACATTTGTTTTGTTCCTGCATTCCTTTTTGGCTTTAATTGAAAATATTTTAACAAGCTACGCTATAAACTAGAAATTGTAAAAATATAATTACGTTGCACAGCAAATTGCTTCGATTTTAATTAAAAAGCAATTAGAATTTCTGTAATCAATTCAACATCAGCATCAGCGGCCAACGTTTAATGAAGCTATTAACTGCTTTGCTTGGGTGATTGGTGAGCGGCATACTTTTGCAATTCTTTAAGTTGCAGCTTGAACTCGAGCAACAGTTTAGCTGTAAAGTAAAATGCTTCAAGGTCGCCACAGGTGCGTTGGCATCGACGTCAACGTCAAGCTGCCAATGGTGTGGTTGCATAAGTGCAACGTCACAACAAATACGTCAATACAATGTATTTTTTTTTAGTTGGTAAAAACCCAAACCACTTGGTGGCCCTTCTTATAGGGCGCGTACTCGCTAAACGCTCTGAAGGTGAACCGCCTCAATTAAGCTGCAACGTCTTGGCAGGAATCTGAGCAAGCCAGTGCCACTCAAAAGCAACACCGAAGCCAACAAACTTTGGCCAACGAACCACTCAAATGCTCGAGGCATACATATCTCGCTCATTCCACAAGTTGCCGGCGCTCTTGCCGCCACTACTGAGTGCTAACGAACTTGAGCCGAGTCGTGGCGTCGTATCGAGCGCTTTTCTGTGTGCACAGGTGCTTTGTGGTCAGCTAGTTGGACGGGCAGCTTTCAGTTGTGTTTCTGCCAACGAACGCCAGACAACGTCTACGGTTGAAGCAAAGCACAAAACACCACATTTGCCCAAACACGACGCGCGTTTCAAGTCGCGCTCAAAACGCACGGTCAAAAGTGCAATAGCAACAGAAGCTTACCCGCTCAGCCGCTCAGCCGCACCGCCGCTATACTGCTCAGCCCCAGCGACAAAGTGTAAAGTGCAAAACTAGAAACTCTGTCGACGTCAGCTGTGACAGCGACGGCAGCATCTACGCAGCTAGCAGCTGGCAGCGCCTTCGTTTCGTGACTTTAAAGTCAGTCTTAGTCGTACCTTTAAGCGCAACGCACGTGTTCCCAGCCTTGTTCGCCTCTCTCCCATTCTCTCGTCGCGATTTTGTGATTTGGTGCCACAAGTGTCTGCATACAAAAGTGCAACAACAACAATAACAACGACGACGACAACAACAACAGCAACTATAACAACAACAGACACAAAAGTGTTGAAATTTGTTCAACAAAAGGCAATATATTTTTGTGTAGGCTGAAACAAAACAAAAAAATAAAAAAGAAGAAAAGCACAGAGCGTAGTGGATATTTAACATAGAGCTACATATAAAAATAAAAGTTACAAAAAATTAAACGCGGCTTTGTTGCAACGTTTGAGCTTAAAACACAAAGGCGCGTTCGTGTCTTAAGTCTTTTGTTGCGCGAGAGTAATCAGAAAAAAAGTAAAAAAGGCAAACAGTACACTTTTTTTTGCCAATGCCATTTGCAAGACGACAACGACACTTTTGATTTTTGTACCGTGGATTACAAAAGCAACAACGATAACGACGACAACGACGACCACTTGTGCAAACATTTGCCCAACCAACAACAATTGTTTGGCCTTTTTGTATTTCCCTGGTGTTTGAGGCAGACACACAAATCAACTGCGAAAATCGTTTAAGAACGTGCATTGTAAGTGTAAATTTATTAAGCAAACAATTGAGATATTTAGAGATTGGGCGTTTTGTCAAAACTTAAACGATCATAAACGACTCTCCAGGAAATCATCAGTCAAATATTTCCAAGGCGTCCACTACCACTGACCATTCAATGTTTATTTAATATGGATTTTGCTTTTGTGGGATTTTATTAATTAAATGATTCGTGTTTTTTGCCTGACGGTCTAGACTTTGCCACAACAAACTTAAGCGCTTCCAGTATTTGAAATATCTGTATTCTATATTCTATGCTTGTTTTGCTTCTACTTTCTGCTCCTCGTTCCACTCCCTTGGCCTACCATTTGGGCCATTTAAATGTGAAAATGTGCAAACGTGCTGAACGCGTGCGGCATACAAATCAAATGAATTTTTTCGAATCATTAGCCATTTGATAGCCCACGTTTTTTAGAATTGTTTGCATTTGAAGTTGGCTACAATGTATACTCTTCCCTCTACGAGTATTAACCATTTCCATTCATTCAATCTACTAATGCGTTTGCATAAAACAATTTTTAATCATTAAATGCCATTAGGGTAATTGCAATATTTGCATCCAGTTGACCATTAGGTGAACATGATATTATCAGTGTTCAGATTGCACTTAAAATAATTGATTTTATCGATTTTGCGTCAAAGTTAAGTACACAACGTGGCGTATACGCAACATGGCAGGCTCAAGGGCGAAAGAGAAAATGCACTTGACGGCTTTCCTTAGAAGCCTTGGCTGGTTTTATTTGTATGCACATTGGGATTAGTCATGCTTTGTTCGATTTATTGATTATCATGGAACTTGAAGAAATAAATGAAAAGTAAATAAAGTATTTTATTAATCGTAAACTTAGTTCATTGGCCCATTGTTATACATATATTGTATGAACGACCACACATACTAATATGTATATGTTTTTATTTGATTTGTGGTATTTTTAAGCCTCAAATAATAGTTAAATAAATTAAAAATGCACACCTACTGACCAGTGATAAATTTCAGCAGATAAATAAAATCAAAATGATATTTAATTTCACAATCTCGATTTAAAAATGTGCATATGAGCTTCAACAATTGTACCATCACTTATATTTATGTTTGCCAACTTTGAAAGAAATATTTGGCTTCTGTGAAACTATGGAAACGTTTTTAAAAGGCACAAATAAAGTCCGTAAGTTATTTGGATTTTAAACAAATATTTGAATAATCAGTTTTGCTTTAAAGCCTTTCCAAAATATTGATTGATTTGCTTTAAAGATTAGGAAAATGAATGGTTTCCTTTTGTTGGCTTCCACTATTAAGCTTTTAAATCAATTTTTGAACACAAACACTTTATATGGTACTGTTGTTGTTTGTCCTTACTATTCCTCATTTTCTACTTCAATTCATGCGTATTCAGAATTGTTTAAATGAAGAAGAAGGAATCCATTAAGTGAGCATAGACTTTATAAATTAATGAGTCGTTAAAAATGAAAAAAAGTTCCATGTGAAAAATAAGTGCTTCAAATATTTTTAACATGATTATTGGCTACGCCGTTCCCAAACTTTACGATTGATAAAATGTAGAGAAAAGTGCTAGCAAGCCTGAAATTAAGCAAATAAAGACTGCAAGTTACGTATATTTATACTTTCGTGAAATGAGCAATAGTTATAAAAATGCTTAGTAGAAGTGCTTGCAGTCGTAAAAGTGGGTAAAATGCCATATTTAGTTCACGTGATGCATACCGAAGTGCTTTTCTTTTAAAAGTATGAGTACAGAGGTGCTTAAAAATAGAGGCATCCTACTTTAGTGAGCGCCTTGCCTTTTATTTATTCGCATAGCTGTTTACTTAGCTAGTCATGCTGAGAGAAGAGCTCAAAGTTAAGGCGATGCCTGTGCGAGTATGTGTTGCTAAGCAAATTCTAATTGCCGTCAATTAGCAGTTAGAATGCAACGCAAATGTGCACTGACAAGAGGTCAGTAGCAACACAACAACAACAACAACTATCTGTATACACGGCCATTGCGAGCACTCGTCAACCTTATTCTCAGTCGCAGCTTCAGCCTCAGTCTATAGTCTCTGGCACGTCAACTTTGTGTTTTGCTGTTGTTGGCAATTTTGAGCAAAGTTCAGCGTAATTAAGTGTTGTGACTTTTTCGTATTTCTGTTGCACAAGTGCACACAACCCGATAAACACACACACGCGCACACACAAACATACAAGTATGTGTATTGAAAAGAGTAATAGTAATATAGTAGGCACTTGTGACTTTTAATAAATATTCAACTGCAGTTTGTGCACTTCAAGACCTTCGACGTTGACGTCTCAGTCTGCGGCAGCCCTGAAATTTGTTGTCAAGGTTTTTAACCGATTTTTTTCGTATACATATTCTCCTTCACTCTCGTTTTGTGCATTTCCGAACTGTGCAGCGAGCTTAAACTTGAACTGGTATTTTCGGTTGGGTTTTTTTCTTATTCTGTTTTTTCATTATTATTATTATTTTTTTTGGTGTCTTCTCTTTTCTTTAGGTTGCGACTTTGCTTCGCTTTGAACAGAGTTCAAGGTGCGCCCGAGAATACAAAGTATTACAATTAAAAACAAAAACTACTTATATTAAAGAGCATGTATTTGTTGATGTGTAACTCGGCATAGTAGCGATTACGTTAATCCAAATTAAAATCAAGGTAGCAATAATTCGCCTTGCAGCATTAACATAAAGTTTTATATGGGCATAAATATATTAATAGAACAGGCAGAACTTGAGCCATGAGCTTCAATCACTGAAAATTATTAAGCTAATTACTTTCAATTGGCCATGGTTGCATTTAAATGAAATAGCATTTACCTATCTAAAGATATCGTTGATATTGAATAAATATTTATAAATCAATTGCAAATTGCACACGTGAACAATATTACATATTACATACTGTTTTAGTCTAATAATTAAAAGCGACTTGCCGACTGTCTGCCGTTTAATGACGGGGCTCAATTGCTTAATTAATTGTATGAGTTGTTGCAATTTGAAGACTGTAGGTGAAATAAATTCCTTCATCTAATGCTACAATGTATAATAACTCATTATTCTATTAACTGCCGCTCATTTAAAGGTGCAAGTGCCACAAGCAGGCTGGAAAATATTATTAATCATTCAAGGGATATAGCAAGCAACTTTTTACATATTTCAATAGCAAACAAAAAGTTGTGGGTTCACGCAACATTTGTTCAAGTTCTCGCGGCAATTTAAATTATTGGTATGCTGCTATATAATGACATGCTAGACTACCTTGCAGAACATATTAATTAGAGAAAATTGAAAAATAATGCCACACACAGTTCACAATAAAACACTTAGCATGAACGAAATTGAACTGTAAGTATAATGGTGTACTGTGAAATAAAAGTTAATAAGAGATCTTAGAAAGATGATAGACTCCATGTTATAGCTAACTAACAAATCAATAAAGCGATGCTCCTCAATCTGTTTCAATCACTTGTCCGTTTCATATCGAATATTTCCTGTAGCTAAAATATAACCAAAAAGGCTTTAAGATTTTCAACTCAAGCTGCATTTTTGGAATATCCTCATCAAACACGTAATGAACAAGTTCGACTCAGATCAAACTGATATTGGTATCATTTGAGGAAGATGCAAGAATAAAGAAAAAGTTTCTGAAGTGCCAATTAATTAACATTAAATTTCTAGGGAAAATACATGTTGCTTTACATATTTATAAAAAATTAAGATGTAGGGATTAAGTTTTGAAACAATTTTTATATTTAAATGCAATATGCATAGTTTATTTACATTTGATTGTAAACAATTTTGAAAACACTTAATTATCTCATACTGTTTTAGGCACCTTTTCGTGCTTTCAATCAAACTTTTATTTGCGAAAACTCCACTTTCCGGCCCGATTATCTAATACAGGGAACAACAAAATGCGCAAATCGATACCAAATTGGCAACAGTTTATTGTAGGAGTGCGGGAGACTGCACTAATTTTGGCCAACAAAATATACAAGTGCTAAGAAAAATCTTTATACAAGCCGTTCAACCAGTTGCCAAAAGAAACAACAGCCAAAACAGCAGCGGCGGCAACAAGAGGCAACTGGTTTGCAAGTTGCAACAAAACGCAACCGGCCGAAGAAGTTGCAGTAGTTGGCAAAACTGTGTCGCATACGCACACATACACACACACATATATACACACATACAGACAGACACAAGCACACTCACACTTTTACATACATATGACGTGCAGGGAATTATGTCATCGGAAAAACAAGCGAACGTTACAGCTGATGGAAAAAGCAAACACATTGGAAAAACCAAAGCCGAATCGAAAGTCAAAGCAAAGCGAAAAAAAGCAGTCAGCAAAAACTTGACTGAAGAGAGAGCGAAAGTATTGCGTTATCTGTGGAGCGTACAAATATCTTTGTGTTGGCAGCATATTCTTGTCAAGCCGTGAAGTTCTCAGACGGGTTTTTGATTTTCATTTTATGGCTTTACGCCTCCGGCCATTTAGGGCGCAGCTTTAATGTCTGGCACACGCGCTCAAATTTTCATTTGTGGCTTGATGTCTTGGCCATTTCATTGCTTTATGCCACACACGTAAGCGCTAAGTGCTGACGCAAAATAATAATTAAACATATACTCGTGGCTGTGCAAAACGCATAAATCAAATTAAGTTTTCCATGCGCACAGCTGTTCAGAATTCGTTCAGTTGGCTCACTATTGCATTGATATTGCCTCATTGTTTTGTGAATGAAATTGAGATACAGTGAAGCCTTGAACAGTGGTGCAAGTAAATAAAGTGTTGGCCAATTATCGATTTGAAATATATAATAATATGTCCCATACTCCCTACTTGAAGAGTGGTGCAAGTAAATAAAGTGTTGGCCAATTATCGATTTGAAATATATAATAATATGGCGTCCTCAGAATTGTTCAAAAGGCGACAGAAATAAGAATTCCCTTTTTCAAATGTTTGATGTGGAGAGCTTTTCTAATTATATTTGAATTTTACAAAGTCAAAGTCTCTGCTATAAGAATGATTTAACTTACGAGCAGTGATAAATTCGGAAGATACCTTTCCATCACAAAAACGGGAGTTCTGACACAAAAGACAATCATTTTTCTCTCCCAGTTGGTTTGCATACATTCGTGTAAAAATAAATCTAGAGAAGATATGCAATATAGTATAATCACAATACTTGATAATCTATGCTTTAACTCTTTGCCTATACGTATATGTGGATTTACTTTTAATCATAAAATATAGCCACTTTAAGGTACTAATAAAAAAAATTTACAGTTACATATATAGTATAACTTATTTATTTGCTTTCTTCTAACTTGCTATAATTATTCACAGCTATAGAAATGCTAAAGCAATAGAATAGGATAGATTTATCTCTTCAACTTTTGAGTAAATGAATTTCTTTTAAAAAATAATAAAAATTACTGTGTAAAAACAATTCCTAAGCTAAGTTTTTGCAACAAATGGACAGAATTTACTGTATTTGCTTCACAATTTTGTTTGGTTTTTCCTTCTGTTTTGATTGTTATACAAAGCTATACATTATTATTGCTGGCTGGCTTAATGCAATCCATGCCTGCCTGTCTGCACATTTTCATGCTCAGCTGCCTCACAATTCGGCTTAGCTCCACTCTGCTCAGTTAGCGCCGGCTATTGCCCAACAATTTTGGCCAGCAACAGTTTTGAATTTGATTTGGCAAAGTGTGTTGTATGGCCAACTAGTTCATGTTGTTTATTCAATTTTATCTGTTGTCTTGACTAAGGTGAGCAGCTTTCAGAGGTTGTTGGTTTTTCAGCGTTTTGTTGTTGTTTTTTTAATGTTATGGCTGGCGATTGTTGAGAGAGCGGCATCTGCTGATGGCTTTAGCTTCACCTCTTCGATTATGCAAATGAGGTATTTTAGAGTGCAGTTGTGAAATTCTTGATTTAACTGCACAATTTCCACAATTGATGACTGGCAATTTGTTGTCATAGCCACTCGAAATTTTCCGTTGCATTTAGTGGCAAGTGTGGACCATTGTTGTTGTTGTGTCCACGGCATGCAATTCTCGTTGCTATCGACATCGCTATACAAAACTGACCTTGTCACGGCAACGCACTGAACATGCAAACTAAGCACAACAACAATTCAGAGAGCGGCTCATATTTCGATGTGATTTCATCGAATATTTCGATATGCGTCCATTACTTGTGTAATTGAATGGCTAAACGCATTTAATTGCTAATAGAGTAGTCTCGCGCTTCTGATTGCCTCCGAAGAGCATTTTAACAAGCGGGGCCGTCAATGTCATATGCGTACATTGCTTTTAGTTCAATTAATATTTATATTAATTAATTTGTTGTTGTAGCCGTCTTAAGCCGCTTTAGTTGTATGAAAATATGCGCCGAACTGCATGACAATGTTCAAAGCGTGCGCGATTTGAGCAAAAGTAAATAAGCAAACAAATAACAACTCGTACATACTCGTATACCTACATATACATAGTTGTAGGTATGTATGTTTGGCCAGATACATTCATGCGTCAATTGTACAGATACACATCGATATACATTAATATGTATGAATGGCTGGGCATAGTATGTGATATGACTTGCTGAGCTTGCTGCTGTGTTGAAAACAATACCCATGGTTTCGAATCTACAGAAGCTGGCCACAATGTGTGTTGATTGTATAATTGCTAAGACTCAGCAGGAAATGGGAGATATTTTCGTTGGGCGTTACACGTCGGCCTGTGCATGCGCTTTAAATGGATTTAAAATGTTCAAAAACATATCAAAGAAGAGTCTCAATTGTTGATTAGAGGACCTTCATGAAGAAGTTGCTCCAACAATGTGCTTCAAACTATATTTTACAGTCTATCCGAACAACATTTGCTCGCAAAACCATAGTGTTTAGGTACTGAATTAATGTATTACCGCCATTAATTAAAGGTAGAAACAATATAAATATATAATTGCATTGCGTTGCATGCATACAAGTATAACACGGATCAGAAAGTATTTGAAGCTGATTTATTTTCTTCATTTGCAAGAGTAACCAAGTCGATGCAGCAACGTTCGTCTGTTTGCCTAACTTCCAGTAAGTCCGCCCGCATAGTACGCCTTGATTTGGAAAAGTATAGAAACTATGAAGAATTCTTTTAGATCTTGAAATGAAATATCAATGTTTTATTCATTTTTAATGCCATATTACTGGAAATAAATGTAGCTGTATACTGGAATTCCAAGACACATAACTATTTTTTAATAAAATCAGTAAAAACTAGAGACCACATTTTAACTCACAACTAAAATGGTGGGAAAATAAAGGCTGAATATATTATTTCTCTAGCCAAATCGTTTTTGCCCATATAAATAGTTATTGAAGAACAACGTTCAGTCAACTACTGTAATTAGCTTTTTATGTTTAGCAAAATGACAAAAATTCAAAAGTATAGTTAATACGCGCTAATAGGTGTGAAATGAATATATCTTGAAAGCCAAGACACTGCATATGAATGAATCACTTGTTGTACACTTTAGACTTTTGTGAGCTGTTCAATATATTCTACGAATATGAACAGCCCTGCTGAAAAGTCGGTTTGTGGTCATAACGATGACTTGGCAGGAAGTAGAAAAACTGACCTCAAGCTCGCAGATGCAGTTTCATGTTGACAACGGAGGTTGTGGTTCTACAAATGAAAGTGTATAACTTTTAGAGAATGCAAAACGCCTTTTTATGATCGTTATAGGTTTTGCAAAACTCCCAGTCCAACGTCAAATAAAAAGATGTGTAAATAAAAATACTTTTATTACTATTTTTGCTTTTCAGCCAGCAGGTGTGCATAAAGAGAAAAAAAAACATAAACTTCACTTCGAGCTTTACAAGCTGACCAAACAAAAATATATTTTGTAGCCAGCAGCAATAAACAATTTAAAAAATACCCAACTAGCTTTAAAATAGCCTAACAAAGGCACACAAATCAAACACCCACCATCAGCATCACCAACAACATCAGCAGCAGCGGCAAAAGCGGCGGCAAACAAACAAACAAAATGTTGATATCAACGTAAGTACTCGTATATGAATGAATATATATGTATATGGCAGGCACGATCTGAAATACTTGTGCGAGTATCTCTTGGACTGCTGCGTGCACATAAATTGCAATCAAAGCCCAACGAAAACCCGAACACAGCCAATTCAGCTTTGGCCCAGTGATGTTGACCCATTTGGCAGCTACAGCTGGCTCCCTTCAATTTATCCAACTGCCTGCCCATCAATCGTGCATACTCTGCATTTGTATATCTCTACTTTGGTTTAGTGTGTAACGTGTTTTTTTTCCCTTAAAAAAATTTGCTGCTGTCAACGCCCGACTCGGCCGAGCTTGTTTTGCATGTTTGCAGCTCCCTCTCCTCCCTAGGGTCGACCAACATCTAGCCCTGTCTTTATACTTTACACTTGTCGCCCATAAACATTGCATAATGTGGCTTTTGTTCGGTCTTACTTGTTGGCTTTTGATTTGACTTTTCCTCCACGCTTCGCCCTTTTATGTGCTGTGCCTTTTCGTTTTTGTTTTTGTATTTTTTTTTTTTGTGTTTTTGGCGCATTTTTGTGCACTGTGTCAGCATGTGTGCGAAAAAAAAATAAGAGTGCCGTAGCCGTTTGTAGAGCGAACGAGTTTGTAATTGTGTCAAATGCCGAAGGCCCATTACATAAGCCGCATTCATTTAAGCGTATACACATCTTCACAGTATCATTATAAATCGGTATAACACACTACTATAACTACAGTCGCTTGACATGAGGGCAGGCGTGTCAAGTCTTTACTCATCTTATTGATTTATTTGATGATTGACACGTGTTTTTACGGCTTCGTACTAATTGTTGCATTGTTAAGCACTTGTGCCATTCAGCGTTGGCATTAACGTCGAAGTCTGAAGAATTTTAGTTGTTGTAACGCCTTTGAAATGCGGAAGTGACAGAAGCAAAAAAAAAAGTACATTTTACGAACAAAAAAAAGGAATAACAACGAAAAAGTTTGTTTGTAAATAATAATTATACACTTTACAAGTCATTTAATTTTATGGCGATTTTGCAAAATTAGGAACTTAACAAGCCAAGCTCTTTGTTTTATTCCCTAAACATAACAAAAGGTTGTAAAGGCCTCAGTTAGGGGCAGCTCTGACTTCTCTAGCTTAAACAGCAAATCATCTTAGTGATCTATTTTTTATACCCTGTACCCGTAGGGTAAAAAGGGTATATTAGGTTTGTGCAAAGTATGTAACATACAGAAGGAAGCATCTCCGACCCCATAAAGTATATATATTCTTGATCAGCATGACGAGAGAAATCGATCTAGACATGTCCGTCCGTCTGTCCGTCCGTCTGTCCGTCTGGATGAACGCGAGGATCTCAGAAACTATAAAAGCTAGAATAACCAAAGTTGGCATCCAGATTCTCCTAGGTCCGAGTAAGGACGAGTTTATTTTATTTTTTTTAATTTTCCCCCCCTTCCCCCGCTACAGAATTTCGTCAATAGCGCCCACATTTCAAATGCTACCTAAACCAAACTTTGCACACATAATTTATATATAATTGTCTACTGTTGTTCAATTTTATTCAATTCGGTCAATTCTAAATAAAGTTATTAGCAAAACAAATTCTCGCCAGTACAACCCCCCCAAACTGCAGCAACAAGTTCGCTCTTCTTCTTCCTCTTTTTGGTGCTGCTATGGGCGCATATAACTCAGTGACGGAAGTTTACCTGGGTACAGGGTATTACACTGTCGGGCTTGCTCGACTGTAGCGTTCTCTCTTGTTTTTTATTTTACTTAAAAGATCATTTCATTTGTATCACCTTAAACGTTTATTAATTGAATTTGTAAAACTATCGATTAGTAGCAATAAAATATTTACAGCTAACCAAACACGGAATAAATGTTAAAGCTTGAAATTAACATTTCTAGCAAATGAGAATTAAAAGAACAAAGCTGTTGTTTAAACTTAACGAGGCAATATAGTTTTTATGAATTGTTGATAGATCCAGGTGACTTATCAATTGATAACAATCAACCTTGTTAGAAAAGTTTCCTTATGTTTGTAAATAAACTGTACAACAGTACATGCATTTATTATAATTTTGTTTAGTGTTTTTAGTGTATAACTCTTAATAAATATAGCTTTCTCACGAATAAATCATATGGAATATTATTTTAAGTATTTAATTCGTAAAACTCGAACACAGTTTAATATTATTTGGAAGTTGTGCTAAAGTAGTGGGCCGAGAAGCTCTTTTACAAATTTTTATCAACGAAAAACCTATGAGATAGAATTTCTATCAAAGAACGTTTCGATAACCTTCAGACTTTGAAAAGTGCTCTATTTGTCAGAGCCAGCAAATTATTTCGCCCTAAAGAAATGTAATTTATGACCGTTTCATGCGTAATATCATGAAAAAAGTCGATGTATTTATTTTAAAAAACAATATAGAAAAAAAGCACATTGTAAATTTGCATCTTCCGTGTGCGGCTTTTCAAACACGCCTTGTTGTTTATTTAATTGAGACTCAGCGCACTGGAATTCCCCGACGCTGCTGCCTCCGCGATTGCGTGTGCAAAAAGAACCAAACATCAGTGCATGAATGTGAACATTTAAAATTCTGATCAGGTATTATTGATGCGTGACGAACTTGTCATCGTAGTCTTTCCGAGACCACATGCGAGTAGTTGCGTGAGCTTCAAGTCGTGCCGGACCGGACCTGCTTGCAAGTGCACACATGCTTGTGACAAATACTTACATACTTAGGCATAGGAACATGTTTAGCTTGATTATATATTATTAAGGAGCGCAATCATCAGTAAAATCGAAACATGAAGTGCAGTTGCACAGTGTATTGCTTACTGAAATTATATAATACTAAATACTAAATACTAAACACACATTTCTACTAATACTAAACAAACATTTCTAAATACTGTCATCACCCCACTACCAAAATAAATAAACAAAACTAAAATGTGCTGAGTTTTTCTCTGTTTGTGCATTGCACCTGTGGATATGTATATAATGCTGATACAGCGGAGCTGGATTAGTCTCTGCGACGGCAAGGGCGGCGTCTTTGAATTGTTATTCAATTTATTTGATTGAGTCCCTAGAACGAACACTAACTGGCTGGCTCTATGTTTGATTAAACGCTATTTGCCAGCTCGAGTGTTTGTTTTGCACTCCAACTTGTCTGGTCTAAGGTTAAAAATGTGCGACTTTTTGCAGTTGTTTTTCGCATCTAATTGACATTTCTCCGAACCGTTTTTGATCCGAAATTGCTTAAGTCTAAAATAAGATGTGACTCTAAAAGATTTTTCGACATAACTTCCCACGCTGCAGGGAAATTGAACAAGATAGGCCTACAAACTATTTGAAATGATTTAAAAGTCATTTATGGGACAACGCCCCAAACCATCTGACTTAATGCCTGCATCTCAATAAAAAATAAATTTCTGCCGCTCTAATGGCTAATATAAGCGACAGTAAGTAATGGCAGATGCATTAATACTAAAGCGTTCAAATAACAGAGTACACATCTGCATTTGTGTATGTGTGTGTGTGTTTTGAGCATAAATGTCAAGCGCGCCCAAAAGATTCGTTGTCATTATAAAAAACTATTTGGGCTGACCTTGTCCATTGTTGTTGACTGTGCGCGCGCGCAAACACGAATCGAATTTACGCAATTTGCCGTACGCACAAACATATACATACACACACACACACACTCACACATATACGAATCAAAAATGTTGGCTGTGACTAACACACACAACACAATACGCAAATCGAAAGACTCAAGCAACGAACTTGAAATACATTTCATCAGAGTTGCGCGTTCATTTCTACTGCTTTTGTGGTTGTTGTTTCTGTCGCTATTAATGGCATTATGCTGTTATTGTTGTTGCTGCATTGTTGTTGCAACGCGCTATTCCAGAATTTGTGTGCAGCGCACAAATAAAAAGACAAGCCCTAAATGCTGTCAAGCAGCTGTCAAACGTTTGACAGGCGCTGAAAGCACAAACAGCAACAACAACACACACACGCACATTCCAACGAAAATGCAAATATTTGATATAGCGCATAATGAAGCTACTTTATTTTCGCTCTCAGCTCAACATTTTGAACGTTATTTTTGATGATATTTGCTCGCCACTAGCCAATCAAGCGCTCAGTTCATCATTGAGCAACATGCAGTGTGCCTGAAAAAGAGTGTACATATGTATGTATGTGTGTGTACGAGTATATAAAAAATGCAAATATTTGCGCTCGATTGAATATTTATTTAACGAGACACTGACGACGCAATCGATTAGCAAAACTGTTGCTGTTGTTGTTGTTTGTAGCAGCAAAAAGTTAATAAAGAAGCGTCAGCGACAGCAACAGCTTGCAGTGTTTCTTGGGAGTCTTTTTTTTTCGAAAGCTTAAAGAGCGCAGCGTCGCGCTCGACGTTCCGTGTTCAACAAACTGCGCTCACTCAATGACCTTGAACTAGTTTCCCATACATTTTTTTGGCTCTCTGTCTCTGTTTCTGCCTCCGTTTGTGTATTTTCGTTTCGTTTCGTTTTTTATTTTTGGTCGTACATATGACTTGTTGTTGATCGTTTTCCAATGAACGTTAATGAGATCAGAAAATGGAGAGCAAAACGTAGCATTGAATAGGCGTGAATTTGATTAAATATATATGATTAATTAAATTCTATTATTAACTTTCTTTGCCAATGCAACAGCGATAAAAGACCAATGCCCAAGCTTGTGCTAACCTTGACCCAAATGCTGTTGTAAATATGGATGTGGTTGTGGTTGTTGCCCTTCTTGCTGCATCTTTATCGTTATTTTTGTTTTATTAACCGTTAAGTTTTTCAATTAGTTTCATTTTCGCGCCAGTTAAACAAACCCACTTGTATACTCACATGCATACAGACATACATAAGTACAAGAGCTCTTGCATTGCATAATGGCGGCCAATACAAACACATTTTGCATATTTGCTCAATGCACTGGCCAACTAACTTGGCTTCGAAATGCTGCCGAGTCGGACAGCACTGCAATTGAGCAATCAAGCAAAGAGCCTGACCAGGCCACACCACGCCACGGCATGCCAGAAGACCAGACCAGGCCCAGACCGGCCATTGTGGCTTTAGCTGCTTGGCCATACCCGACGACGCGCATTCACTTGTGACCAAAGACGGTGACGGCAACGGCGACAGCGACGCCGTCCAAGTAACCAAATGCGCGTTGGCAAAAAAAAAAAAAACACACACACACATGCTCAAAATTGAGTAAGCTATAGTTGTGTGATGGTGTGCGTAAGTTGCTTATACTTGTCGGTGGATGCAACAACAACAACCACAGCCTACTTGTTAGCCGAGAGTATACATAAGTTAGAGATGGTACGAGTATGTCCAAGTCGGATTTCGTGAATGGGCTTCCCGCAGGTTTTGTCAAGTGATACACCGTAGATAAAAGTATCTGGAGCGTATAGTTTTGTTATTAGCTCTTCCAATTCCCTGTCAAGTTCCATGCAGCCAACTCATATATATATATACTCTTTGACTGCTTTTTGGTTCCCTTCCACTAACATGTACATTTGATATTCGAGCGTTTATCAGTATATATCGCTCCCTAATTCATGGGTGTATTGTACGATTCCAGTACCGTGTCTGCATTACAAGAAACAACTAAGAACAGGACGCTTTAAAACATTTATATAATGGAACATTAATAGCAAATAGCTTAGTCCAAATGATTCAATTAATTATATTATGCGTGAAGTACAAAGAGTAGCAAATAAGAGTTATTGACAAAATAATTGTTTATATTGTTATATATAATAAAATATATATAATAAATTGTTATATATGATAAAATAAAAATTCTTAGAAATTGTTGATCATTTTTATTTGGAGTTGTCTCATTAAATATTCGCCAAGAAAAAAATCTATATAAAAGAGTAGCGTAAAAAAAGTGAATGAAGAATTTAAGGTTATTGATTGGTGTTGAATTGAGGAATAAGAACAAAAATTGATTATTCGTTGATGAAGGCATTTCTAAAGAAAACACCTCTTCATTCATTTAAACTGCCTCTTTTCTTCAAAACTGTAGCATCAATTGTGATATTTCTTAAGAGTCTACTTCTTATGTATACCTTTTATTCCCAATTTTTCTCGCTATCGAAAAAATGTCAAAATCAGTATTATTTTCTTTGGTGTTTTGAATTTAATTATTTTTATTGCAAATAATAAAAATATAAACTATTTATATTCAAAAACTGAAATATAAAGCCATCACGCACCCACCTCTGGGTGGTAAGGTGTATGTTTTTTAAAGAAAAATTTTGCTTTGTTGTAGCTTGTTGTTGATATTATTATTGTGGCTATTGCTATTATTATTATTATGGCATTTGTTTTATGCTTTTTGCAATGTGCCGCTGACATAGTTTTTCTGCAGTGTGCCGTTGACCAGCCTGTTGGTCAGCTTTTCCACAATTCAGTGAAGCATATGTCGTGAGATAGGTTTCTCATGCGATACAACACACAAATACAATACGAGGAGGAAATTATGCAAATTTGCGTTGAGTGTGCGTTTATGTATTACATATGGAACAACAACAACAACAGGAAACAGAAAAGATGTCATTGTTGTTGTATTCCTGATTCTAGGTTCAAATAAATAACTCAGACAACAAACTTGAAACAAGTTGATTTTAATGCTATAATTATTATTATTACTGTAATTGTTAATACGGATGTCTGCCTTCTATCTTGATCGTTACAGCGTTTCCACAGACTCCGTCATGACGGCCACAACAATCGATGATGCCACACAGACCGGCTCCTGGGGTACCCTGAATACCGCAGCACAACAGCAACAGAACATACAACAGGCAGCTGTCTCGGTACGACATGCATTTAAAACCTATGGCAAGAAGAAGAGCGCCAATCCAGTACTTACCAATCTAAATATGACAGTACCGAAAGGCACAATGTAAGTAAAGATTGCAAAGCAAGCAATGATGAAATCCCGGCCTCATCAGGTGTCGTTGCGAGCTGTTTTTGTGGCATAAAAGTGAAATGTGAAGGCGTCACTTGACAGCTTTATTTAATGGGCAAATAAAATAGAAACGCGTTAACGGGAACCTGAGAAAGTGCAGTTGACTTTGGCGGGTGGGTAATTAGCACATTGAAGAGCGCAAGTTACGAGTATAACGCAATTATGAGGCATATTATTAAATAGACACTCTCACACATTTCTATTAAGTGAATGCCAGTGGTTGAGCATGGAAATTTCCTTGCAAACGCCATTCGATTGCACACTCGTATGGCATGATATGTAACGCTATAAGTATACGATACATGTATATATGCCGACAAGTATATATCAGAGGTCACATGCCCGATTGTCTGTACGTAGTCTTTTAATTGTTGCAATTATATTGCTATTTAGTCTACAGTCCAGTTTGAGCGTCTTGTAGCTGAAACAACATTTTTGCATGATAATTTTCGTTCGATTCTTAAAACACGTTTGCTCTGCGGCAGCGAGGTTTGTTTGAGGATAAAACGAATGCATAAACACATTAATAGGCATTACATTGAAATAAGAATCATTAAATGCCCAGTGGCTCTAGTTAGCTTAGCCTGATCTTTTGTCTCGCCATTTAATGACTAGTGGCAGTAGTTGTCCACTCTTACCCACTCCGGGGCTGACAAACTCATCAATGAAACCTCTGAAGTTTAGCAAACAACTCGTTAGGCATGTTGACGTCAATCGCAGTCGCATTATAAGGAAATAATAATCCAAGTACTATAAGCATGCAGGTAAAATTATTTAAAAAATGTAATTTCATATGCATATCATTGCTTTTATTTATTTCTTAATAAATGATACATGCAATAATTCTTTAGGCTTGCAAAAATATATTCAGCTTATTTTTTTGATCGCCCGGAAATGGCTATGAAACCATATTCGACATTCAATTAAATTGTTTGTCTTTCGTCTCTAGATTTTTGATGGCACACACAAGCTTTAAATTGTGCACGCTGGCAGCCATTTTTGAAAATTTCGGCAATCATTTGACGACCATAAACAATTAAATTGTTTTCAGTGTTATTATTTGAATTATGGCATTGATATGGCGTGCATTCTTATGGCCAAATTACATAAGCATAGGTAAATAAAATGCGTTATCGACTCATTCTCTTCCCCTCTCTATGTCTCTGTCTTTTTGGTTAAAAGCAGAAACAAATCCGATAGCATTGACCCACTTAAAACGAACACGAAAATAACAAAAATAAATCAGAAGCGCAAGCCCAAAGTGCTTGAAAAATCAGTCTCTGTAGGTATGCATATATAAATATAATTACAGTGTGTAAAAAACAGTTAACATATGTGTTCGGGCTATTCGGCAGCTTGACCTAGGTCAGGCAAGTCAACGAACTAGCCGCCAAGAAATTCAACTCAAAGTCACAACTAAGCTGATCATTAAGCCAATTACAGAGAGACAGAGAGGGAGAGGCACACAAACACAGAGCGTAGCGATAATGTACCATGAGTAGCATCAAATTTGTCGAACAGTCATAGAGCGTGTTTATTATTATAATAAATCCAATAGCAGACTCGTCAGATGTGTGTGTGTGTGTGACAAATATAAAGACGCAAAACGTGCGACCTACGTGCTGCAACTTTTGTCAAAGGCCAGGCGTACAAATCGAAAGAGCGAACAGGGCAAACGAATAAACGACTAAAATAACAAAGCGCTAATGATAATGACAGATAACAGCAACAACAATAACAATAATAGTAATAACGAAGAGGCTAATAAAAAGGTTGGGTCGTCTGTGATATTTTGTTGCGGCATACGAGTATGAAAACGCTACGAAAATATTTTCTATTTACTTTTCAAGGTGAACATTTCGAAATAATTCAACTTGAACTGTTGAAATTAACATTGACATCGCCGTTGACACGGCACGAACGGCTAAATGTATATACATATGTACATATGTTTGTCGTGGCAGCTTTCGTGCTACTTATAAAATTATAAAAACAAAAACAAAATACAATAAACGCTTGTCAGCATCGTTTTTCACGTACGATGCACGAGTATGTGTGTATTTGCCGGCATCGCGTTTTGCTAGCGATTAAAAACGCGGGCGCTGTCTCGCTTCGTTCGGCTCGCTCTGCCACGCCTACAACCCCTACGCCCTACGATCTCACTCAGCATTTTTGTTCTCGCTTCTCCTCAGCTATGGCCTGCTGGGCGCTTCTGGCTGCGGCAAGACGACACTTCTCTCCTGCATTGTGGGCCGTCGACGTATCGACTCCGGCGAAATTTTTGTGCTCGGCGGCAAGCCCGGCACTCGGGGATCGGGCGTTCCCGGAAAACGCGTTGGATACATGCCACAGGAAATTGCGCTGTACGGCGAGTTCTCCATACGCGAGACCATGATGTACTTTGGCTGGATCTTTGGCATGGAGACTAAGGAGATTATGGAGCGTCTGCAATTTCTGCTGAACTTCCTCGATTTGCCGTCCGCGAAGCGTCTGGTGAAGAACCTAAGCGGTGGCCAGCAGCGCCGTGTCTCTTTTGCCGTGGCGCTTATGCACGATCCGGAGCTGCTGATTTTGGATGAGCCGACCGTAGGTGTGGATCCGTTGCTGCGTCAGAGCATATGGAACCACCTGGTGCACATCACAAAGGCGGGCCAGAAGACAGTTATAATTACGACCCATTACATTGAGGAGGCTAGACAGGCGCACACGGTAAGTGGAAAGTTGTCCCGTCGGAGTGCACGTATTACTGATCGAATGTCCTTTTAGATTGGTCTGATGCGCTCCGGTCACTTGTTGGCCGAAGAGTCCCCCAGCAAATTGCTGTCCATCTACAAGTGTATCAGCTTGGAGGAGGTCTTCCTCAAGCTGTCGCGTCTAGAGAGCCAGAAGGGGGAAGTGAGTCACGTGAACTTCAGGTAAGCTTCTAGCACGATGCATGCGGCACCACCAAATGTGCAATCTAACCCACAACTGCACGTACGGAGCACACTAATCATAAATAATTACCTTAATCAATTGATTGACTTTTAAATGGTATTTGTATTGGCACCAATACACATCTTACAAATTGTGTCCCCATTTTTGTGTCTTTTTGTGTGTTTTGGTGTTGGCCTCGCCGATCGGTTCTCCTCTGACAGTAACAATATCTCGTTGCATGCCATGGCTTTCGGCAGTAAAATGGATAAGCCCAGTTCCAGCCAGGATGGCGGCGTTGTGGGCCTCAATTTCCATCAGAGCAAGGAGATGCTTGTCCAGAACACCAATGGCTCCATTTTCACGGTTTGTGCTCACCACTAACTGCTATCAACATTCTCTATATACACAATATTATTCTATTCTAATTGTTCAACTCGGTGACAGCTGAACCAGGAACCCTACACTTCGCCACCACTAAGGCGGAGTGGCCCCAACGATGTGGAGAGCTGCCAGGACTGCTGTTCCAACATCTGCAAGGTGTGTTTCTCATTCTCTAACCTTCCCCAGGCTTATATACTAGAGAGAATTCCCCACTAATTCCAGATAACAACGAAGGGAAAGATGCGCGCTCTGCTCACAAAGAACATGTTGCGCATGTGGCGTAATGTGGGCGTGATGCTCTTCATCTTCGCACTGCCCGTCATGCAGGTCATACTCTTCTGCCTGGCCATTGGACGCGATCCACAGGGCCTGAATCTGGCCATAGTCAATGAGGAAATGAACAATTCGGTAAATACTCACAAAATATCAGCTTATAGCTAAGATAGTAAAGAAAGCAGAACAGGAAGCATTGATCATTTTAGAGGCGGTTTCCATTTTCGAATTCGATCAAATTACGCAAAGAAAAGTTGTTATCCGCTCCGAAAGAGGATTGAGTTATAGACACTCAAAAGTGGCTACTAATTTAATTTGATATATGTACTTCGGCCAAAGAAACATTACTTACGAGATTCATTTAACAACTACGTGTTTTGGGGGGTGATTTAAATTTACTGAATATTATTAACTGTCTAATTAAATTAATTAATTCCTTAAGATACATTATTTAGAATTTTCCCATTTAAATATTTATTTTTTAACGTAGTGCATACAAGATTAAATATTATAGTTTTACTCGAAAACATTTAATACACGAGTAAATCTGTATTCAATATTCAAAGATAAATTAATAAATTAAAATATGGAGCATATTCTCAGATTCTTTCTTACTCTTATAAATTATAAATTACAGAAAACGTGCTACTGGGAAGACGGTTGTCACTTCAATAACCTGGGCTGTCGGTATTTGAATCATTTAAATAGCAGTGTTGTCAAAACATACTATACGGATCTAGAGGACGCGAAGGCAGCGGTAAGGCGAGGTAAGGCCTGGGGAGCGCTATATATATCGGAGAACTTTACGGATGCTTTCACGGCACGTGCTGCGCTGGGTCGCGACTCTGATGAAGAGACCATCGAACAGTCCGAAGTGAAGGTGTGGCTGGATATGTCCAATCAGCAAATCGGAGTAATGCTCAATCGGGACATTCAACTGGCGTACCGTGACTTTGCAATGGGCATGCTGGGGCAGTGCGGCAACAATCCGAAACTGGGCGATGTACCCATACAGTTCAGGGACCCCATCTACGGCACTATGAATCCCTCGTTTACCGATTTCGTGGCACCTGGTGTGATATTGACGTAAGTTATTGTCACGAGGGCTGTGCAATTTGCATGTCCATTATGATAATTTTTTATTGTTTTATAGCATTGTCTTCTTCTTGGCGGTTGCTTTGACGTCATCGGCTCTGATTATTGAACGCACTGAGGTGGGTAGTGGAAGCAGTGAAGGCCATTGGGGGCGTGCATGGACTTAATTGGCTTTAATTCTTTACAGGGTTTGCTCGATCGCTCTTGGGTGGCTGGCGTCTCGCCAGGCGAGATCCTCTTCTCGCATGTCATCACACAATTTGTGGTCATGTGTGGACAGACAGCCCTGGTGCTCGTCTTCATGCTGGTGGTCTTCGGTGTGACCAATAATGGCGATCTTTTCTGGGTGATTGTGCTGACGCTGCTGCAAGGAATGTGCGGCATGTGCTTCGGTTTCCTCATCTCCTCCATCTGCGAACTAGAACGCAACGCTATTCAGCTAGCCCTGGGGTCATTTTATCCAACGCTGCTGTTGTCTGGTGTTATTTGGCCCATCGAGGGTATGCCTGTGGTCCTGAGGTGAGCCCTTAGATTTGCATATACATATATATGTACATATTTAATTGTTATAATTGGTGACTAACCTGTCTCTTCCTACCCAGATACATTTCGCTGTGCCTGCCTCTAACGATGGCCACATCTTCGCTGCGTTCGATTCTGACACGTGGCTGGTCGATACTCCAGTGGGACGTCTATATTGGCTATCTAAGCACCCTCGCCTGGATCCTGGGCTTCCTGGTGCTGACGTTGCTGGTGCTGCGCTCCAAGCGCGGTTAAATGCGAAAAACGCGACAGCAACTGTAACTTAAATTTATAAAGCTTAATTTTATGTGTATTTTAATTTGCTGTTTAGACTAGGCTCAGTTTAGTCGTCACCATCGCCCTTTATCCACTCTTTAACCTAGTAGTGAATAAGGTGACTAAGGTCCTTGCGAGTTTTTGTAGCTGGTAGTGCATTTTCCTTTGGCTTTACTACTTACTATATTTCTCCCTCGACTTGAACTCATTGCTAATTCTGCAGTCCCTCTTCTACTTGCCCCTTCCCCTATCGAATGTCATAAATTATTTAAGCACACATGCTATTTTCCCAATGTTTTCCCATGTATTTTCAATAATATACTTGTAAGTTTTGCACCCTTTCGTAGCGTAAATTTTAAGGTATAGGTACTTTAATAAATTGTTGTAAATATTTTGTACTGTGCTGCGCTTAATTAATGCGCAAGCGAAATCACAAAAACTTATAATGAAACATAAATTACAAATTAGTGGCGCAATTACCCGTCCATTTGTTTGCAATCCCTTTCAACACTTTGCTGCTTCCTTCTCTACAACAAAAACGAATATGAAGAAAAAAGAAAATGGGCAATTTTTCAAAGCACTCAACAATTAATTTTATATATTTTTCAATGGACTGTGATTGTTTTGTTTTAATACTTCACGCGAATTCACTTAGGGCATACTTGAAAGTAAAAAAAAAACAAAAACATAAATAAAATGGTGGGTTTTTTTAGTAGAGTTAAGTAGCCTAAAACATTATTGTATGGGTTTAAGTTTTTTAAGTTAAAACGTAATTATATACAAACAATAATGTTATGCACCACACAAATAGAAATAATATGCAAAAGACATATCGATTTCACAACGAAACAAAAAATGACAAAAACAAAAACAACGAACAAATGACACAACGTTCTACTTTAAGCATGAATTGAAATCATTTTGTGAATGCAATTATGTAAAACTATAAATAAAAACTAAATAAAATTTTATGACTGCTTTTCATTCCATAAACAAACGGAGCTGTTAACCAATTTAAATTATTTTATTATTTGACGCTGTTACCTATACATTTTAATGAGAATTTTGTAAGTTAACAAAAAAAATAATACTTGAACAAAGAAATTTTGATTGTGAAATAATGTAGTTTTATTAACATTAACTAACAATGAAAACAAAAATTGTACATTTGTCTTGATACATTATCAAGTTTCCAAATTGAAAATATTTTTAAAGAAAACTTTAGTCCGTTTGGAAATATCTTAAGATATTGCCTATATAGAAAGCTACAGAAATTTTGGCCCGGAACTCTAATAAGAGTGACTAAATGCTGTAGAATATTATTGGCAATATTATTGGCTTGTTAAAATAGAGATAACACTTTTAAATCGCATGCGCCATTTGAATGAGGCGCTTTGCCTACTAGTTCGCAGCGAACAGCTGTGATGAACCAATGCATTAGCTCCGTCGCAGGTGTGGCAGCACTTACTTGCAGTGCTGCCAAATGCGTGAAAAAAACACATGTTGACTACGTAGAATAATAACAAAGAAGTTTGGGGAATATATTTGTGCGAAAACAGGCTATTTCGTGGATTTGAGGCTAAACAAAATGTGATACTGCCTACACTAAATAAGGCCTAAACATGGATAAATCCAGTGTTTATGAAAAATTCACTGGCTATGTGGAACAACTGCGCAACACGGAATGCAGGTACGTTCATGCAAACACCCACATCAACACATATATATACATATGTATGTACATATGTAAATACGAGTGTGTTTGTTTACGGGGGCTACGGGTGACCGGCAACAGTTTGCAAAGCCACAAGGTAGACCTTGAAGTGCCCATTTGTGGAATATTGGTAAACTGTAAATGCCAATGGGACAATAATCATTGAAGTAGTTGCCGGCATTGCAGATACCGGCAATAAAAATGACAAATATTTTTACATTTCCTTCCAATCCCCACAGCCAGAAGCAGAAGATTGGCTGCTTTCAGCACATTGCGGAGTGCATCATGTCACCAGCAATGGCGGGGCACATCAACTATTCCGCCCATTGTGGCACTGCCACCAATGTGTTATTGCTGTTCTGTGAGGATCTGGATTCGGTGGTGCGCATGAGTGCCGAAGAGAACCTAAACAAAATATTTCGTGCTTTGGAGAAGACGCGTGTCAGTCGAATCCTTATGGATTTGTATGGCGAGATCAAACGTAATGGAAATCAACGGTAGGCAGATGGAGGAGCACACCTATTTATTCAGAAATGTCACCCACTCACCTTTATGTTTCCTTTTACAGATCGTTGCGCATCTGCTTGAATCTGTTCTCGTACTATGCACCACAAATCAAAGAGAAGCATATAAAGTGGTACGCTGTGCGCCTCTTGCAATGCATGTCCATCATTTCGCAGCGCAAGGAGACGCTGCTACAGGAGACGCTCTGTGATTTTGTCAAGCACTTTGGCCGCTATGTGCAGCAAGGACTGAACGACAGCGAAACGTGCAAAATATTCGAGGTAAGTCATACTCCACCCAAATTCCAAATTATGCCCTTTTTGTTTCGTGTCAAAAAGAGGGCATCTTTTATTAAAGAAGTGACTGCTTTGTGCAAATGGTTACAAGTGCCTGGGTCTAACCCTTCATTACTGCATCTGAGCAGTGAGAAGCACGTAATTAGTGTCCGAGCTGGTCTGCGTGACCGCAATTCGCCCGAGTTGTGTACTCAAGTATCTTATACTTTCCCCTCTTTCCCGTTACAGATATTCCTATCCAATGTAAGTGCCGATTGTGCTGTCAAACGTCGCTGCTCTGCCCAGAATTGCATCAGTTTGATTGAGCATGCGCGCAATAAGAGTCTGATGGCCAAACATGGACTGAACAAAATAATTGGTAAGCAGCATCCCAAATGCACAATATCAACCAATTCAGCCGGATATGAAACTTGGTCGATTTTCGCATATTCGAATATTCGCATTCCACGCGCGTTGCGAGCTCCATGAATTGTTAATGCAGCTGTCGGCTGCGGCATTTGTTTGTGTTTAGAGATGCTTTTATTGTTGTTGCTCCATTCGGCCACCAATCACTCGTTCTCTCTTAGCCTGTCAGACTATTGTTCTGTAAACTAATCCCTGCGTCAGTTGTAAATGCATTTTTGTTTTCCCATTGACGCATTTTCATGGCGCCAGGCAAAAAGCGCTTAATTTTCATCAATAATGAAAGTTGTGTTTAAAAAGCGTGTAACGGTTTTCATAGCAACACAAAATCCACACACACACTATGCAATTGTAGTTGTTGTTGTTTGGAACCACTGCCACTGTGGCACTAAAATATTTTTTAATATTCTAAAAAGCCACAAATCCATGGAATATATAAAGCTGTGCAGTAAGGGCGTGACAGACGGAGGCAGTAAAGAGAATCAAGCAGGAAAAAAATGCAATCACAGTCAGTCAGCAGTTCGTTTTTAGTCCGTCTGTCCGCGCATCATTCTGGCAGTCTCTGTGGCTGTTTGGTTGCCACAACAAAACGAAACTCAACTATGAGTTTATATAAATTATATTTTTCTATTGCAAATGCATTCGAGTGCAAGAGTGTGTGTGTGTGTGTATGTGTCTGACTGTTGTATACATGCATTCATACATACAAATGTATATGTTACAGATATTTTTTATGAATTTATTTCGATTTTTCACAGAGCAAACCTTTTTTGCTTTGCCATTGCTCGCCTGGCTGGCAAACGCAATAACTGCAATGCAAACAAAAGTCATAGAGCACCAGCAACAGAAACAACAACAATTGCAATAAAAACAATAGCAACAAACTCGGTTATATTGTAAAAATGCCTAAAAATTGCAACACAAATCATTTTTTATTGAATTTTCATGAAAATTTTATTGGCAAACACTGCACAAAAGGTAAATGCACCTTAGTTAGACATATCGCATTTTTATTGTTGCCTGGCAAATGTAAAATGATTCATAAAATAAATATATACTAGTACATACATACAAACTAGCATGCACATTTTTATGACCGAATTTAAAAAACACACATTCTTTCATGGACTTCCGAATTTCGAGTTGCAATTTTGGAATACGAATTGTTTTGGTAGAATCCACAAATGTAAACAAATAATTTGCATACTGATTTGTCAAATTGCACAAGTATGCAGAAAAACAAAGAAGCTTTTTATACCAAAATCTAATTTTCTGTAACAAGGATTCTATTTAGAATCAAATTATAACTTTGAAATGTAGATTGTTTTTATATATCCAAAATACTGACGTTTCTATTAGTTTTCGTGTAAAAAATGATATCCTGGCTAACAATCCCAATTGTCATTTGGGTTCTCCCAAACATAAAGCCTTCCCTGCTGCTCACTTTACATCTCGTCAACATGTTCAGTTCTTCTCTCAGTTGCAGAGCTTAAGCAATTATGCAGGTTCAGTCTGGTCTGCACTCAAGTTCAAGTATGCGCCCACCTTAGCACAATGCAAACCAAAATTCAACGCATATACTACTTACTTACACAGTCTGTCACCTCTTTCATGGCACCTTAGTCCCACTTGTTTGCTCAACATGGAACAACTGGCAAACACAATGTGCTGTGCCCAAGTCTGTGCCCTCAACAGAAGCGGCAGCAGACGAAATAAAATTTATGCACTTGGACAGTTGCTCGCAATAATTCATGCGAAATGAAATCAGATATGGTATTCATGTTCATATAGCCTTAAAAAGGATAATCAACGCTGTAAACAAATGCGCAACAGTAACAAAAAAATGTGAAATTTATGTTGACAGCTATAACAAGCCATCCAGCCAGCCATTACTTGCTCCTTCTGCATAATGCTGTAGTGGCAAGGATTTGATCGGTCAGAAGCCGGCACCATATATACATAAATGGACTCGCGATCAATTAAATTAGTCATGCAACTGCGTCAGCTCTGATAAACTATATTTGCAGGTTGCCAATTAGTATATTGACAGAACATATGATTAACATTGCTTAAAAGCATGTGTAAATGCAATTGGCTTTCTCTACGACAGCCAGATATAAAGATTTAAGTAAATTTTTGAGAAATTATTTTAGGAATCAGCGTTAATTTTGCATTTTATTAGGTTTGTGAATCATAAAACAAATTACACCTAATTCTGTTTTTACACGGTCTTTTTTTAAACGGTTTTGATTTAACACGGTTTGAAAATTAAAAATTCTATAAATTTTATTTATAAACAATTTTATTCCATTTAGCACGAGTAAAAACAAAAACTTGACTTCACAAAAGAGCTGAAGCGTACAAATAAACAATTTTAATTCATCAACAATAATAGACAAAGTGAATTGAATTTCTTTTTATTTGCTGTGTTTGTTAAGTGCTTACAGATCGGAGTGGGTTGCAGTTATTTCTTGCCTTATGCCATTTACATTAAATACCTGGCAAGCTTCATCAACAATTAATTGCTGCTTTGGAAGTGCCTAACCTCAGCACCGTTCCCCCAGTATTCGTTAGGCCACCATCTCTGGCAGAAAACGCCTGTTGAGCAACGATGCCGAAAGTTTTAGCGCGCTGTGAAAGAAAACTTCTTGTGGTTTTTGCTGCAATTAATTGATACATGTGAACAGAGCAGGGAAGTTTTGCACGCTAGACTGGTAAAGTCATTCGGTATCTGGGAGCAAAATAAGTGCCGGAGACAGAGATGAAGATGTGGAGACATAGGCTAAGCGCAGTCGCTGGTTCCACTTGTCTTGGGTGCTAGCCAGGCCACAACAGACCTTGTAAAAAGTTGTGCCCATACTCGAAGTTAGCTTTATTTGGATGCGGCTGAAGTGTTTTTAGTTCTGCGCAGCCCCCAAGCAAAATGAAAACTAATTGAGTAACAAAGTTGCAACATGGCGTTTGTGATTGGTGGCGTATACGTAATAAAATGGACAAATAGGCAAAGACAACAGCACATTGCAGCATCCTGTAGCGCGGCCTACTAGCTTCCCTTATAGAAGAATTCATACAAATATCTGTGTGTGTGTGTTGCGTATGTATGCATGTGTGTGTGTGTGTTGGGCACACTCCAGTCTTCTCTATAAATATAACATGAAAAGTTTTCAACGAGATAAATTTAATTGGTGGCAATTTGTTGGCAAATATTTTAGCAGAAAGCAGCGTATGAGAAAAAGTTGATAAAGAAATATTAACTGCTATTGGTTCTAGGTAGAAGTATTTGTAGCTGTATGTGAGTGTGTGTATCTGTGTTCCTGGTATATCGACATTCGTGTGCGGGCCACGTTTTATTATTGAGTAAATTGAAATTGGTAACGCACGCTGTGCAAAAGTTTTAAGTGTGTTTTTAATTTGTTGCAATGCCTGCAAAAGTGGCCTCTTCCCTGACTTTTTATAAGTAAGGTCTGTGCAAAAGTAAAGTTAATGTCGTGTTTGGTTTTATATATAATATAATTGAATTGTTCGAAATGCATACATATTTTGAAGATCTAAGCTCCGTTTTAAGAACACCCTTGAACTTGATCCACTTTTCCTTACTACATTTTTCAAAATTTGATTTGAATAACCTCAACTCGGGTGCCCCTACTATGAAGCACCACAAACCTTTGTGTATTGTGTGATAAAAAAATTGTTGTTCATTGTATGTATGTTCATGTAAAGGGTGTAGACTGTGCAGTAAGAGTTGATCCAAAGCAGCTAACAAAAGGCCACATAATTCCCGTAATTCTTGGAATTTTGAACTAAAATTTGGTAGTCACATTAGGTTAGTGATTATATATCCGTATACCTAGTTATATTATGATACAATGATCGGAAAAAAACAACAAACACGCATAAGGCACGATTCTGATGTAAATGTTAATGTATGTATGCATGCATGGAATATTTTATATTTAATTTAGTTAATAAATTAAATTAATTTAGTTAATTAATTTAATTACATTAATTAATTATTAATTGATTTAATTAATTTCTTTTTGTGGGGTGGTACAGGGTATTTAAGAGTTGAGCCTGCTCGACTTTATCATTCCTTTCTTGTTTTATATATCTGCCATAGAACCACTCGGTTAAAAAAAAACTCATAGTAGAATAATTTGATTGCTTTTAAAGAGATTTTAATAGATTTTGAAATTTTAGAACTATATATAGCGCTTCCCTATAACCTGAAATTTATATCAAAACGGTTCACTATATTATATACCAGTAGCTGCTACCGAAAAAATAGGTACAAAAAGAAATTTAAGAACCAAAAATGTTGTTGTGAAAAATAGGTTCATATAAAAATAACAAATAATCTATTACATCAATGAACATTTTAGCTGTTACAGACCTTATTAGCGTGCCACCACAAGAACAGCAGCCATAGAAAAAGCAGTGATTATTAGAACCCCTCTTTCTTACTCTTCTTCCATTTTTATTCCAGATCTACTGCTAACCGATCAGCAAACAAATGCCGTGCTTGGTGCATTGGGTCTGCTCCGATTGTTACTTCCACAACTCATACGAGGCTATAGTGCTGATTACAATGATGATGGCGACTCCTTGGCCAGCGGAGCGAAGCAAAGAAGTACAACAACATCAGCTGCGGGAGCAGGAGAAGGAGCAACAACTGCGCCGGATTGCCGGAAAATTATTGAAATTTATGATTATTGTTTGCACCTGCTGAGCACGCAGCATACAGCGAATCACGCCATTATAAATGCCGCACTGGAGACCATCAATGCCATACTTCAGACACTGGACGCCACTCCATGGCTGGGCAAGGACGAGAGTTTGGCGCAAAGTTTACGGGAACTTTTATGCAATCAACAATTGCAGCATACTGAGTATTTGCGACGAAGGAAATCATTAAAAAATCAAATATTCCAATTGAAAAATTTCGAAGTGGCAACGATAAGGAGTCAACAACAACAACATTCACAACAACAACAACTGCAGCAGCAGTCAGCAACTGCAGGCCAAATGCAAATGCAGAAAAATTCAAATGCAAAGCTACAGCAACATCAGCAGCAAGAGTGTCAACACCAGCAGCAACAGCAACAACAACAACAAAGTGGCAATATCTCGTGGCATGCCGTGGGAATTAATGCCGTGTCTGATGAGGCTCGGAAAGATGATGCTGCTTCGGGTGGTGCTGCTGATGAAGGTAAAGTAAATAATAGAACAAGCCGGAACGGGAGTGCCCTGTATTAATATTAGTATTAGTACTTGTGTGCGTGTGTGTGTGTGTGTGTGTGTGTGTGTGTATGTGTGCAATGTGCATGGATGTGCGGTTGGGTGTGTGTTGGCGTAGCAGTCATGCGGAAATATGACATGCTGACAAGCAGACCTGGGGACAGACAGACAGACAGCGAATAGACCAAGACCGACAGCTTCAGCGGCAGCGCACAAATCAAGAAAATTGAGCAATTGAGCAAGTTCAGGCACTGACACAGTCATATAAACACAAATTCAAACACAAACACAATGCACACATGAAAATTATTAGTGCATGCTTTTTGGCGACTTCTCCCCAGCATCTCACCGTGGAACGAATTGGCGATCTAGCTGAATTGATCTGACAAATTTAATTTTAATTTGAAAAACCTAAAGATCACACGAAAGTATATAAGCCATTTAGATGAAAAGCTCTTAACAAAAAGAACAATTGAATAATAATGAAAAATTAAATTCGAACTTATTCTGCACGAAAAGATTCAACCCTAGTGCTTGAAAGAGCTTCACAATAATAAGTTACTAGTGACGGAAGAAGGGATAAACGCTGGCCGATCTACTTGGAAATTGGATCTGACACTTAAAATGGACGTTGAAAGATATTTGCCAAATATTTGTTTTCGAGTAGTTGTTGCATAATATTTTATATGAAGTCTTAATACTAGATTCAACATATATATGTCCTTGAAATAATTCTCGAATATACATTAATCGCACTTCCAATACTTTAAGTGCATCCATGCTTCGCCTAAAAGAAAATTTCACAAAATTGTTGCCACTGTAGTAGGGACTTTTTCCTGACTTAGTTAAGAATTCTTTCCACTGTTGCGAGTAGCTTATGAAATGGGGTCAGGCCGAATTTGCATTGTGGGTGTGCCAGCGTTTGTACAAATATTTACACAAATTGTAACGCTGCTCATATTATGCCAACTTTCTACGACCCTCCCCACCCTTCAGTTACTTGCTCTCTATCTCACGCTACCCCCACTGCTTCCCTTCTTATCATAACAGGCAAAAAAAGTACACACAAGCATTTTAGAAATGCCGCACGCAGCATCAGCGAATGCGTTGATGATGATGATGGTGATGACGATGAGGAAGAGGAAGACGAAGATGAAGATGTGGAACTGTTGGGCGCCGACGAGTGCGATGACTTTACAACGCTGTCGCAACTAAATGAACCACAACAGACACTGTCAACGGCAGTGACATTGCTGACAACAAAAGTCGACGTCGCCGCGACTGATAAACTGATTGATGCAGCCACGGAGCAGGAGAATGTGAATGTGGATGTGGATGCTGAGGTCCTGCTGCCTAAACCGCAAGCCGTGCAGCATCAGTCCTCGCTGCAGAATCTGTTAGCAAGCGATGACAAATCACAACATTTGAGTGACATCGACAATGAATCCTTCAACAGCATCGATTTCGATGCGGAAATCACAATTGCTGGTGGGCCCAATATTGTTAGCGGGGAAAGGACAGCGGAGTGGGAAACTTCAAACGCGACTAGCGGTGGCAGTGCCGATTCCACTGCAATTGGAACATTCTTCAATAATTTATTGTCGCACTCAAATGCAGGTGAGTTGGAACTCAGACATCGGTTTATGCCTAAATTAAACTTCCATGTTTGTTTGCTATTGTTCTGACAAATATTTCATTATGCATTTCAAAGCAAAACCAAAAACTATGGAGTGAGCAATTCGATTTTATTGCATTTCATGGTTTGCCGCAAGCTCTACCGGCTCTACAATTTGAATACTCTCCACACAAAGGGTAGTAGGGTATTACATATCGTTTCGTTGTATTCCATTAAAAAATAGAAAGTCGTGAGAAAAATGTTTTTGATCAGGCCTTTCAATCGACTCACTATGAACACAAGGAGTATAAAGCCGAAAGCCCTAAAGTATAAACGAATAAAGGTTTTAATACAGTCCCCCCCTTAAGTTTCACTTCTTTACAGCTCCTTCATTCAGATTACGATGCACATTAACTCCAAGCTAAATATACCCAGGCTTATTCAAAAACATTATACTTGTACTTATGTATCGTCCGCTAATTTGAAATTACTCAAATTTCTGATGTAAAAGAATTTTAACAATATGCATTTATTTATAAGTTTTGTATCATTTAGTATTTATTCTATTTGATGTTTTTGTTTTATGATTTTATGCGGTTACAGAGTGTACAAGATGCGACCACTCGTCTTTTTAGCATTCGGAGTTTTTATTACTATTTGTTTTTTGTGCAATTTCGCCGCATTTATTTGCAATATTTGGGCATGGCAATCAAATTGTTTACATAATTGCCGCAACAGCAGGAGCGGCAGGAGCAGGACTGGCAGCAGCAGGCAAACCATTCGCATCTCACAGAGCACGCAGTTGTAAAATTTGCCGAGCGAATCCTCTGGCTGTAGTCGAGGGCAAATAATTTTGCATGTTGCCGCTGCCTTTTGCCAATTGCACTTGCAATTTAATGAAGCGTAATTGTTGCTGCTGTTGTTGTTGTTATTGTTGTCGTTGGCGTTGTTGACTCCGTCCGTAGAGGGACTAGCATTCAAATGAAATTAGGCACTGAAGTTGTACTTGCCATCGTCGTTGCATGCATCATTTGTCGCTTCATTGCCTGTGCCGCTTGAAACTTTTCGTGCGCTTTTGTCTAGTCTGTTGACATGACTGCAACAACAACAGCTGTCTATAGACAACAATGCGCAGAGAGAGCCAAGTGAGGAGGTGAGGAGGCGTGGGGGCACAGACAAGTGGGGCATATTTGCCATTTTCCATTTGCTTTTAATGCTATTTGCAAATTCATTGAATTTTCATTGACGATCCTGACGTGTGCACATGTTGCTGCAGTTTATCTCATCGCATCGCCCCTCCTTTGTTTATTTAGTTGTTGAATAAATGATTTTTTATTGAATGATAAATTGCACAACAATCGGTTGTGCAAATATTTAGCCTATAAGCAGGGAACACATTTCCCCCCACGTCAAATCAGAAGGCAGAGCTTAAGGGCAGCCTCAAAATGGCGAACAAATAGACAGCATAAGATGCGCGTATGCTGTGAGTTATAAACAAAGGAAACGTAACGAACAAAGCCGGAAGTACTAATTAAGCGAATAAGCTGTGGGCGTGTGTCTGTTTGCCTGTAGCTGTGGACCACAGTAACAAATAAAAAACCAACAATGAAGTCAACGAAAATAAAGTCAGGGACAGGCAACCGCAGAATACCCTAAGTATTTATACTTGAGCACTATCAGTCCATTCTAAGCGTACTTTAAAACAAAACGAAAGTGTATTTATGCTTTAGATAACGTGCTTTAATTATCAATTTAAACACAAATCAAAATCGATCATGCTTTCTAACAAATCTTAAATCAAATGTTTAATCAATAAATATTTAAAATCGCATTCATTGAAAATAAAAATTTATAAGAATTGTAATCTAAGTATCTGTTGGCAAAAGATCAAAACCCCAGTGTACATGAAAAATATCTACGAATCAAAATATTTAAAAAAAAAACAAAATATGTGTAATATATTCGTGATAAAAGAATAATTTTTGAGATAAAACAAATAATGGTACCAATGCCAAATCCTAATAGCCTTAAATATTATTTCTCTTAGGTCATTCATTTTTATTTTCGTATTTGGAAATATCTTCCTTGTTTATTTTATGAATAACAAACAAAGTAGTTTTTAATACTCATTGATATCTAGATATGATATTTGCAATTTCTTTGTTTGAAGACGTAGAAGCTTAACAATATTATTCTTTGGTAATCAAATATTAATAAATAAGCGAGTGGGGATCTTCAGTAGCATATGCATTTGGCTGCCGTAAACACGTATAGCAATTGGTTATTTTCAAACCAACTTTAAATTCATAGGCCCTCATATAAGAAAGAATTTGTAACATCAGAATGACGGGCTTCGTAAGCTACCATCTGCTTTCTATTCTAATAAATATCGTACCCCTCTGTGTGCTGGTGAAAATTAATATACCTTTTTTATGATTTAAGTAGAGGGTATAAAAACCTACAGCTATTTGACGTAAATGTTGGCTTAAATCCGGCCCTCCTATGCCATCTGCGGGCGTGGGCGCTTGCGCTTACTGCGGCGGATTAAGCTTGAAACATGGCAATGCATTTGCTGCCGGCCGCCACGTCCTTGGCTCCTTCTCCTCACTAGCCGCCGCAGTTGAACCACCGCGTTGTTGTTGCTGGTGCCACTTGGCTAAGGCATCACACTGCAAGTTGGCAACAAAGTGGTTAAGACAAATGGGTTACGTGATAAAATGCGGTTACTCAAATTGCATGTATGCAAGCTTACATGTGTCGTAGTGTATGTGCGAGGGTATGTATGTGTATGTTTCTATCTACATAGATATCTGTGCATGTGTGTGGGTTTATTTAGCATTGCCAGCCATCCCAGCCTTTCCAGCCCTCCCAGCCAGCCACCCCGCAGTTGGCGCACTCCGTAAAACGACAAGCGCGTGTTTAGCTCATGTTGTTGTCCCTGCTGCTCTTCTTGTTATTTTTGTTGTGCACTTATGCGCTATCAGAGTTCCCTTTTCTTTTTGGTTTGCTTTCCCGCTTTCCTTTGCGGCGTGCTTGTTATTGTTAGTTTTTCATATCAGCAGCAGCCCATCCGCCACCGAACTGCACATCACCGAACTCTGTGATTATGATACTCTTCAAAAAAACCTGTTATGCGGGATTTCTTATGTTGGCTGTTCGAAGTTTTCTGAAGTTACAATGAATACGAAAATGATCCCACAAAGAGCAAGTACATGCATTATTTTCTCAAGTTAATATAATTTATTAATGATATAAAAGAACTCTGTCTCTATTTACTTCGCCAGAATGCAGACACGGTGGGGAAAAGCCCATTCATTTCATTTCCAAAATCGTCTTCTATATCAACAATAAAAATATTAACCGGGAAAGACACATTACTTGTATATTTTTATAAATATAAATTTCAGTACAACTTTAAAAATAAATACTAAGTTTTGAAAAGTGGGAGATAACCGCTTAGGTAAGGTCAGGGAATCATCCATCATACTTGTATACGAAAAGAAATTTATCTTACAGAGAAACTACTTATATACATATACTAGTAGTTATGTGTTGTATTTATTTTTCAACAGATTACTTTTCTTATTATTTTGATACCTAGCATAGCGTTCACCCAACATTTGTTTAAAATCCATTATTATTTATAGAATAGAGTATATGGAATGAGGGTAAATATTGTTTGGCACTTGTATTAGTTTATCGTTGTTTTTGTAAACAATTTTTGTCTCAGTTGTTTAGTGTTTCTATTTTTAATACAAAATGTGTAGGTATGTCCTCACTTTGTGTGTATGTGTGGTCACACAAAAAGTAACAAATATGGGCAGGCAGCCTGCATCAGTCCCTCCATTCCCTTCCCATTCCTTCCTCTTCTTCACCCCCTGCATCTGTGCCCAGCAGCCAACATACTTCTTGTTCGTGCGCGTTTTCCGTTCGTGCTAGTCGCGTTTCCTACGCTGATTTTTTTCTACCGCCTTTCTTCTTTTTATTACATACTTATGTAAGTGTACTTGTACATGCATATACGCCCGCAAGTTTTATTTGCCATTTTGTGTGCTGCATGCTTTACTAGTTTGAAGTTTATGTTGCTGTTGTTGTTGCTGTTGCTGTTTTAACGTGATTTTAAAATAAAATGCTAAAAATAGCTCCCATCCTCTGCTCTTTTTACCACATTTGGCGACCTATGCATGCAGTTTGTCTCATGCGAGTCACCCGCCATTTCAACATCCCCATGTCACGCTATTTGTTAAGCAAACTATTAAGCCATAAAAGCAAAAACCCTCCAACATAATTACATGCATGTACTTGTTGGTGTGTAGCATCATATAAGGCAGCGCGTAAATTGTTGTGCATAAAACTAAAAGCCAAATCGTGAGCCAACTTCTCCAAATTCAGCTAAGATAGTGCATCATTTTGCCACGATTTATGAGGGCAACGAACCCGTTAATTGAGATGCACTTCTATGGAAATGGTGCAGATTTGTTCTTTGATCCAAAGCATGCTTTCAAGCTTTAAAAGCTGCCTTTAATTCTTATCCCAACACTTTAGAAACCTAAATAGAATGCAGATTCATGACAAAGAATATATTAGCTTAAGGAGGAGGAGAAGGAGCCGTGGCAGACCTCCCAAAATATATATAATCTTGATCAGCATGACAAGACGAGTTGATATAGCAATGCCCGTCTCTCTGTCCGTATGAACGCAAAGATCTTAAAAAGTATAAAAGCATACCATCATCGGTACGAAAAATAGTACGTTCGGCTTATAATTCTTATTCAAGACCTTGGAAAAGTGCATTTTAACATTTAACAGAGTGGAACAATTTTAGCTTGGATATATTTATACGTAAAATTTCTACAATTTTACTATTAAATTGAAGAGTAATACAGATTGACTTCATTTGAAAGATTGTTGCCTTTGATTAAATCTTGGCTTGTATGTAACCATCTCATTCTACTGAAAATATCTATAAAAGCAGAAAATTGATTTGAAAACGTTGCGCCAGCTAAATAACCATTTTTAAGACATGTTAAGCGACGCTGTTTTGCGGCTGGCATCCCACATCCACATCTATTTAGCAACCAAGTTCTACTGGCCTTATGCTGTAAATTGTAAGTTTTCAATTAATTTCCAATAGCGGGAGGGGGTAATGCTAGTCTGTAGCTCCAGCTACTTATACACGTACGTTGGCAATGTAGAGTACAAAATGGAGGGAAGAGAAATTGTTGAAATGGTTTTCTACCACAAGTGATCTTCCCTTACAATGCTGAAGTGCATTTTTCTTGGTTTTTCGTTTCATGTTTATTGCCTTCTCGTGTTGCGAAAGTTTTTACTCAGCACTGGCTAACAATAGCGGCAACAACAACAACAACAAAATAGTGGCGGCTTTGGCTTAGTTAGTTGCCCATTGCCTGCGCTAAAGTTTTGTTTAATTTTTAAAAGCAGTCCATGACAGACAGTCAGACAAATGTTGTCCGACCATGTTAGTCAGGAAGCAAGTACAAATTAGCTGCGCTTCCGAGCGGCATTAATGTCAAACTAAACTTATCTTCACTTGAAGCCAATGAATTACAAACTTTCCACTCAATTCGCCTGTATGTGTCTATTTTTATTCGTTCTTTTGCCATTCAGCCTCCGAGTCGGTGAGTAAGCTATTTCGTCAATCAAGCGGCGCCAAATCGACATCTACAAAGGCATTACCGGGAGCGGACAAAACGGACGCTACCTCGACAGCCTCATTGACGCTATCTCTCAGTTCTTTAGCCAGTAGCAACGTTGGCGCACAAGAGCGTCAGTCTTCGATAAACGAGACACCGACTCCTCTGGAGGATTCTTATTCGGCCACGGCTTCATACACAGCCTCCACTGCTGTACTTGTGGATGCTCCCGTAGCAATTGAGGGAGAGCCACAAGAGCAGCAGGAAGAGGCCCAGATGCGACGCACCCCAAACGGTAAGCAAAAATATCATATCATATCATCCGACGATATTTACATTAAAATATAAATCCTGTACGCTTTTTGTTCCTAACCATACCTGCCATACTTTCCACAAATTGAGTGTATTTTATTTTAAACATTAAGCATTGTAAGCGATGAATTGATACTTTTGTGTTTAACACATGATTTAGAAACCAGGGCTCAGAACATTTTTCGCATACAACTTGGTTTTAAAATAGATTTTCTGCACAAAAATATAAAAAATCATTCAAATTTGTGGAGCTAATTGCTTTAACTACTTCTCTAATTCACTAATTGGAATCTATGATTTTGTGTGTTAGCTAATCCCTTCCTGGTCGAGAATTCGCCGCTGAAGCAAACAATTTCGGGTCATGCTCTTATAAGCTTAAAAATCGGCAGCATCTTTGAACAGTCCTTGGTTCACTATACGGCGCGTTTGTTGTCAGCACGATTTTTGCTTACGGGACAACCTTGCGGCTTGCAACCGGACAGTGTGACGCGCGTGTCCATCAAGAGTCTATCGCTGTGCGTGTTGGCCCAATGTGTGCGGCTAGCCCCGCGCATTCTCCAGTTGCAGGTGGAGATTAGTGAGGCGGAGCTTCAACTACTCGAACAGCACACAGCGAGTGATGTAGACAGTGCGCAGGCGTCGAGTGCTGGCGGCAGTCCATGCAACAGCGACAATTCACAGTTGGGTGCCGACTATGAGCAACTCGAGGCGACGGCGATGACAACTGCGATAGGTGCTTCATTGCTTTTAGAAGAAGAGCAAAATGAAATGCTCCTAGACATCAAGGACGATCATTTTGGTGCCAGTACCTGCCAGTATTTGCAACAGCCGCCGCTGAGCCGTAGTGCCGATGCAGCGCTGCTACAGCAACAATTGGACGCTGGTCGCGCCTTGAAGGGACAGAAGAGCAAAGTAGCGACAGCCCCACTTTCCAAATCAGAAATAATTGGCTCCAATTATCGCGTAACTGTTGCCACTGAGGATGCACCTCCCTTAGGGTCCCCACCACGTCCACCCAAGCGCACGAAATCGATCAGGAAATCGAACACTGCATTCGCAACGACCACACCATCCCCTACAAATGCGGACATAAGTCAGGCATTAGCCGATGTGCTGCTCTACTACGCCCACAGCGATCCGATTTTGCGTGGTGGCGTACAACAAATTGTGGGAAACTTTGTGCAAGCGAGCGCAGCGGGATTGGCTTGGCCATTGAAGCGCAACCTTTGTTTACAGCATCTGTTGGCCATATTGCTGAAGGTGAGTAATGAACATACAATCCATGCCCCCATACTTATAACAATATTAGAGTGCCAACAACAGTATACTTGTATACCAGGATATATATAGTTATTATATTTATTTCCAAGTATGCATTTGTACAAATTTAAACATTAATTTAACTTTGTCTCGCATACAATATTTATATTTATGATATCATGATAAACATGATAAACAGCATTATATTTCAGCATCATTTGCTATGTCCTTTCCCCAATAGAATGACGTGTAGAATGAATGTTTATTCGAACAATATTATGGAATGTTTCGAGTCCCGCACATTATTTAACTTCTCCCGGTACCACCTGATACACCAACGATTATCTTCATTAGGACCCTACTCTACACTGTAAAAATTTTTGCATAGCCACAGGCGCTAGCTGCACTTGCAACAAAGCTAGACATTTTCTTTTGTGAATGGCATTGATAAGTACGCCTGTGCATGCGAGTGTGGGGTTGTCTGCAATTCTTTGCCTAATGCAAAGGAACATTACTTTTTCGCACACACTTACAAGCGCCGACACACATACGAGTATATTCAAATGCATAACGCATACGTCGTGTTGGCTGCTTGAACGCTTTAACGTCCTTCTTCTCCCAACTTCTGCATTAACCTTTTTCGCCTTTTTCTTTTCTTTGGTGTGTGTGTTTTTTTTTTCGTTTTTTACCATTCTATAAATATGCGCATCCACCTTTTTGCTGTACTTTTTTCTATGTTAAACCAACAAGCTAACATATTTTAACACATGCAAGGCGAGGGACACACATACTCGTACCATATATAAGCATCGTGTGGGCCATATCAATGGCACTGGCGAGGTGCACTGAAAGCTGCCTTTTGAATATTTTGCAGCTCACAGCTCAGAGTTGAGTGTTCAGTTGCAGTAGCCGGCTTGGGTCTTGGCTGGCGGCATTTTGCCGCTTGTTTTTCATTTGAAAATAAAGAAAATTCTTATCGCTTTCGCAAATGTGGTGCTCCGAAAGAGAGCAGCGACCCAGCCACCTCTCATACCGCAATTGGTGTGAAGACAGAGCCACATGACTGGCATGGCATAACTTGCACATTGATTTCTGTCTGGGGATTGGGATTGAGTTTGGTTTTGCAATTTTCGAGCTTTTCCCCATATTGAATTCAATAATTTAGCGGCTGGTAAATTCAACTTTGTGCCTTTGCCACCACCCCAAAAGTGCAATTTGATTATGCAATTCTGTTGGCAGCAACAACGACAACACCATTTGGTCAACAAAGCGAGCAACGAAAAAAGGCGCGCCTTCCGTACTCTGTAAGACGTACAAGCTGCAAAATCACATTAGTGCTAACATATAATGGCTGCAAATCCGTCTCAATGGCACTTGGCTGCGCAACAAAACGTCACACACATACACACACACACACACACAGATAGAGACTCAGACAGACGTGCTGTGAAGGCAGACAGAGGAGTCTTGGCCGTAAGCAAAGCAACTTGATAACAATAGAGTCAGTCCTAGCCCTGACTCTGGCACAAAGTAGGAAAAGCTTGTTAGGGATTCGTTAAAAATGCACCCACACAACATCACTGGCCAGTTAGACATGCATACGAGTACATAAGCGTGAATGTGTGCGTGTGGGCTTGTGTGATAGCGTGAGTGAGTGTGTTGAAAACTTTTTGCTTGTGCAAACAATAAAACACAAATTCGCTTAGCAACGCAAACTAAACCAGCGCCTTAGCCATGTCTCTCTGCTTCGCTTCGCTTCCTTCACTTCCAACAAATCTTGGGGCTATGTATAAAGAAATTTAGCAAAACTTTGTGCACACTCGTCTACTTGCAGGGCTTTGAGGACGACATACACACAGTGGTCATACAAGCGTTGAATGCATTCGATAAGATATTTCCGCATGTGGTGTCCAAATATTTGACAGGGCCGCCATGTCATTATCATGCTCATCAGCAACAGCAGAAGCAGCAGCAGCGGCAGGCAAGTGCGCAACAAAAGCGTCCGGCTGTAGATGCAACAGCTCCAGCACAAACATTTGGCAAACAAACTTTTGCAAAGGGCCAGGATAATGCCTTAAGCAGTCAGCAGCATCAGCAGCATCAGCATCAGGAACGGCAACAGCAAACGGAGCATCTTGCTCAACAAAGGGGCTCTAACGATGGCATCTTGGGGCAAGACGGTGAGGCAGCATCTTTGAATATGACAACAACAGCAACATTGGATGCAGCTGAACCAGCGGCAAGCAGGACAAATGCATTGTGGGCCACAGATAATGATGAGCTGGTAACTGCGCTTTTGAATGATTTTCAATTGCAATCGAATTGCAAGAGCCACCAGCACCACCAACACCACCACCACTACACCGAAAGCTCTAGTAATGAGGCAGCTCCCTTCTGTGTGTTTGCCATCTCACCGAAATTGCTCTTGAATAAACTTCGACTCTGTCATCACAATAAATATTGGTTGGTCCAAAATAAATATGCCGAAGTTATTTCGAATTTAAATTACGTGCTGCTACGTTCCTACTACGAAAATGCTGTCTGTGACTTCGACAACAACAACAGCAGCGAGGACAACAATGATGGTGTTGTTGAGAGTGCCAACATTCCTGTGGAGCGACTGCGTCCATCCTGCAATTTAAATGTAGAGGCGCATGACGAGGACATTGTCTGCACTTATGAGGTAAGTAGTTAAATCGTCTTATTACACAAACTCAAGCAGCTTATGTGGCCAGGACGGCCGAGTGTATGTCTACTGACTGCCCTTCTTAGCTTGTTTATTGTGCAGATTATTTTATTTTTCATTTTTTTGTGTTGTTTGTTGTGGTTGTTCTCAAAAGCAATTGAAGTACAATTCGCCCGGTCACAGTCACCGTAGCTGGTTCTTATTGAACTTTTGTGCATTCAAGTGTGGCCTTTTGTGCATTTTAAGGCGGCAGACACGCCAATGGTGTGCTTGGGCTTCCGAGATGCTCGTATTTGTTTATTTATTTTTTGAACAAAGCGAAGCAATTTGCTAAATGATAAAATAGGACAGACTGACTTGGAGTGATCGAACCTAAAATGGGTTTGTTTAAAGCATTATTCGAATTATTTTTAAACAAATGGTAATCGTCATCTTCATGACAACAAAATCGCTTATAATATTTAAGACAGACTTAAAGTGCTTTTTTGAAAAACCTCAGTTCTTAAGTGCAGATCTTTCAAAGCAAAAAAAAAAATAGACTTTTAAGACATAAAGTTATTAGATTGCAAATGAGCTATAATTTAATTTAAAAATTGCTTAGATTTGATAACTAAGGCAACTCTTTAGAGCGGAATACCAATCGGCGGAGTGTCATAACCGAAAGAATTTTGGAGTTAATTCCAGACTCGTTAGAATTTTCTATTAAACAAACGGTTAAATAATATGCAAAGTTTAAATTTCTAAAGGCCCTTGTTTAAGATACAAAAAATGCTTTTATTTATCGCGTTGGCTATTTGTAGGTATATGCGCATATTTTTGTACGAATTATAAAGACTGCAACGAACAAAAACTGAAAGAATTACAAACAATAGACAAACATAAAGTTTGGGCAAACATTTATGTTCTGACAGGTGCATTGACTGCAACCAAACTGCATAATGAAAGCTTAAAGTTATTTGATTTACAACATTAGAAAACTAACTCCAATGCTACACTTCATCTTCTTCCTTTCTACTTCTTGGCAGGCACAATTCTTGAGCGAACTTTTACATTTGTTGGGCGATGATGATGCGCGAGTCCGCGAACATGCTGCGGCCTGCCTCTGCCGCTTTATAATGCAAACAGCGCGCCAGCAGAAGCAACAGCAACAACAACCACACAATGTTGCACGCAACAATGCAACTGCGGAGGGAGGCAATGGCGGTCTTGTCGATGGCGGCTACAACATCAACGCTGAAACTCAACAAACTAATTTCAATTTGCTTTGGGATTTTTTCGACTATCGCATATTTGGCAGCATGTCCATGACGTTGCGTAATTTATTTCGGCCCAGCGCGACGATATCGCCGCCCCTGGCCGATTTGGATGCAGCGGCAACTACGACAGCAACAGCAAATGCAGCATCAACGGGCGATGCAATGATTTCGGCGGCAGCATCGTCGATGATGATGATGATGGGACCAGGAGCCGCAATGGCGTCGGCCTATTTCGACGGCAGTGGTGGTGGTTGGGGCAGCTATGCAGTTGATGGCCAAGTTTTGCCATTTCAACGTCAAATTGCGCACGAGGAAAAAGTTTTGGTCAAAGTTTTGTATCGTATGACAAATAAATTGATGGCGCTGAATGATAAAAATGCACAGGTAAATATTTGTGTGCCCAAAACTATGCAACAACAGCAACAACTGTGGCACGTGATGTGTGTCTCTCCTCCCATTACAGTTTGGCATAATTTACGCTCTGCGGCTTCTGCTCAAACACTTCAATTTCGTGGACCATCATCAGGCCTGGATTGAATTCAATTTCATAGAAATTTGCATAAGTTACGCATACTACAACAATGCGACAGCTGCGGATTTGAATTGTCAAAACGATTTGATTGATGTGATGGGCAAATTAATAGCAGGTATGTAAGTTGGCAGTCCATGAACGGTCACGTGTGCACACCATATGTAATTGAAGTAAAAAAATACATATACATAAGTACAAATATATGTACATTCTGGGTTATATAAACAAATAGAGAGGGTAAAGAACGCAATACGTTTATTTTACAATCGCGGTTTTAGTGTTGGGAAAAACTTACTTTATTCAAAAGTTGGATATACAAATCGATAAAACCTCTCACGAAGAGGAAATGCGTATTCAAAAATCCTACAGGACATGCAACAGCGAATTATGCTCTTTCATGTTTTCCATGCCTTCAAAAAAGTATTTTATCTGCTTTAAGCACATGAGCTATCGTGTTGAAGTTTTGCCACGATTGTTGAGATTGAACAGCTTAGACTAATAATATATTTTGTAACATTATTGAATATGTATGCATGAATATGTTTTTTTTTTTAAACAGAGATATTAAAACCAAATTCTATAACAATAATAATAGCTATAGTTATTATATTAGTTTACATAGCAGATGATGTTGAAACACGAATGCAAAATAAACTTCATTTTAAATAACATATTGGATGCCATATTGCAGCGCGCACATTTGTTTTAAACTCTTCATATACCCTTATTTTGTAAATGTAGCTTAATTCTTGTTGGACTTTATTTGATGGTTCAAGAAATGAGCAATTAGATATGAATGTCTCGTAAGAATACGCTGTTTAAAGTGGTTCATTGCCCCTAATTTATTTCCTAGATTCTTACTATTTGAGTGATATATAGTCGATATATTCTTCCTCATTACGTTTATTTTTGATTATTATTTCAAACATTCATTATTATAAAAACTTGAATCCTTACATTCAGATTTAACCAAGAAAGTTTATATGTACTAAGTAAACCAGCCGCGAGCACTTCGCACGGGGAATCAAAGCCTTCACATTATATTAATTGAAATTTAACAAACATTTTGCGTAGAAATATTCAAAACAGTTGAGGAAGTTTTCACATAGTGCTCCAAATATGAAAGTCATTAACAGTTACGGCTTTCTCTTATTTGATATCCATCACCATTTTATGTTTAAGCTTTGCTGGATACAGATATTACCCGTATAAAAACGATTTTAGTAATTAATTCTGTGCAATTTTTGAAAAGGTTTCTCTGTTTGATTTATTTGCATTCATTACATACGAATAGCACTTACTAATTGGGTACTTTCGGCAAATCTTTTGTTTTAATTGTAATAAAATATTTGTGTAAATTATGCAGACAAGCTGCAATTAAATATTTTATTCCTTAAATAGCATATTTAATTGCATTTCGTTGTAATAAATGCCGTAAAAAGCTTTACATAAATCATTTTAATTAATTGTTTGTCATTTAATAGATTTGCATAAAATTTTTAGCGCCGCATTGTAAGTGAATACGACGCAGCGGTCGCCGTGCTGGTTTTTTCATTGTTGTTAATTTGTATCAACCAAACATGAAAAAAGCATACAAATTTTTAATTTTGGCGCGCAATAATTTGATTTGGCATGAATTTCAATTAGCAAACCACAGTGTGTGTCTATAGATGCTATAGAATTCCATTGATAAAATGCATTAAAAACCTGTAAAATGAAGCGCACACAGTCAAGGAGTACTTAATAAAAAAGATAACTCGAATCAAATTGCAAATTAATTACAAATTTCAAACTCTGCATCCTTTCAGTGTTTAAAAACCGTTACCGATATGTAGGCGAGTCGAAAAGTAATTGGCCTTGTAAGTTGATATCTATTAGCATATTGCTGTGCAATTTAAAGACGACTGCAACACTCAACAACTTTTTTTTTCTGCTATCAATAAGGCTTAAGCTAGTTGAAAATAAATGGGGAATAAAAGAGTTGTCCATAGTATGCATCTATAGGACGCGCTTACATCTAAACAACTTTTGATTTAAGAAAAGTTAATATGCTTCAACTAAAAGAAAGTTTTATTGTAATGTGTTTTATAGTCATAATTTACTACTATATATTCTGGTGTAAAGAAATACATGAACATTTTTTCACTATATCAAATCATTTTACCGACGTTTCGTGGTCCAGCTATGAAATTCTGTCCATGATGCGCCAAAGTTCGAAGAGCAACGTACAAACTGCATTCATTTCAAACTACTCGAATTTCATAAAGAAGACCAATAAAAAACGAGAACAAAAATCACAAAGTGCATAAAAAAATGATCAAAGAAAAAATATGTATTTAATTTTGCGTAGTGTTCAAAGGTTTCACATTAAATAATTTTCAACAGCATCATTAACAAAGTGCGATTGCAAAAAATGCAAACAGTAATAAGCACAACAATAAGTATAAAATCAACAATAACAACAACAATGTACGCTAATAAACATTTCAATTCAATTTACAAAATTGCATAACACAAAAACCAAACTTCAACTCAATTTCATTAGTTGCGTTTATCCGAGGTCCCACGGCACACCTGCTAACTGCTGTGTGGGGTGATATGAGGTTATTGCATTGGCGCCTGTTGGTATGCTACATTTTATTTATTATGCAAGCCACGTATTTGTTATGGCGCTAATGCAAGCTACCATAATCAAAAAGTAATTAAATTATTAATAAACCATTACATATTAAATAATTTTTTGTCTCAGTGTTTTGTTGCTGCCCATTGCAATTTGCATTTTCGCATTTTTGCATGTCGCGTCATTAAATGTTAAAGCCGCAAGCGCTTTCGCACCTAAAACTATGCTATGCCGAACATTTTGGTTATTCGCCATGTAACGTGTGCATGTCGATCGATTTTAAATAATCGTCGCGCAATTTGGTCATCAAATGTGTTGGCGTGCGTTTTGCGATAAGTTTTTTGACAGCTTTGCCTTAAAGTATGCAAATTTGGGGATGTCATGCAACACCGACACCAACAACTTTGTTGCATTCCATGCTGGCGCCATTTGCCCCAAAATCTGCATCAGGTTTTAAATAATTTTTTAAATTTCAATCGCCAATCGATGTGCGCATTAAATGTAATTCCCAAAATTATGATTTTATGCGCTTGCTTAATGCGCTCAGCGCATTTACAGACAGCTGATATAAATGCCGCTTAATTAAAACACAAAAGCCATCATATCGCTTGTCTGTTAGTTGTCGAACTGCATTACGCACTTACATACATATACATACTTATGTATATACATGCAACAGTTCCGAGCATTATAGTGTACAAACTGTTTGTTGCGTAAGCACCATAATGAAGCCCACAAAAACATTTATGGTTGCACACAATTGCACGACCAAAACAACAACAGCAATGACCTGTACACCGTTATAGACTGCTAGCCAATCATAAATATATTGTTCAAGGCACACGTGAATCAGGTAACGCAGATAGCCTGTCAAGTTTAAAAAAAATTTGCAGAAAATAATGGTGTAACCAACATAAAATTTTTGTATCATGGCGGTTTGCAGTCGTAAGTTTTATCTTCACATGATTTGAAAACATTTCTTAACTAAAACGAAACCGATCCCATAATTTTGTTTAATGACATTTTATTGTCTTTTCTTTCTAGAATGCAATTCTTACATCTACTAAAATTTTCATTTGACTATTTGAAAACAATTTAAACATAACTCTTTAAATGCAGAGAGGTTCAGCTCTTTAAAATTTTCAATATAATTTCAGGGCTGTTGAGCTTAACTGAAGGTATACCAATAGGCTTGTAATCACTTTCATCAATTGTACTAACACTGCTATATTAGAGCTACACTTTGGTTCAGTACTTTCTATAGTTGAAGAGGCCTTCTATGTTGATTAGTGGTAACAGAACTATGGTCCCTAACGACATTACAACTCAACAGCATAGGTGATCAATTTTAGTTCCTGTCGCATTTCATATCTTGTTAGTATGTTCTGCAGTACATACATAAGTCGTAGATATAAAGGATATTGTTGGCGAAAATATGGAAAAGAAACGAATAATGCACCTACTTCGCGCTTGATACCTTCCAATTTAATGTGCCCAAAACATTATCGGTGTAGCCCATCGTTGAATGGTGCCACGAGTCTGGAATGAAAATACCCCATAAATAAATATAAATTAGCAGCGGAAGTGCGGCGTCGTCTCATTATGTGCAATTTTCAATTAATTAGCAAATGTAATGCAAGGCCAGCCCCTTGCCAGCGAAAATGGCCGTAACAATACGATATCAACAACAAAAACAACAGCTATCGGTCCACATTAAGAGAGAACACGTTCGCGGTATCTGGGGAAGTTAAATGGCCCCCTTAACACTTAATTTTTATAAATATTTATGTGCATACAATTTAATTTATTTGTAAATAATACTGCAATTTTTTGCGGGCAAACAACAAATTTCGAATTTTGCGGCCAAACGGAGCTGTCACATTGTTGTTGAAATTGTCGATGTTGTTGCTGCAGCTATGTTGCATTGTTGACAAATAAATTGAAATGTTGCGTGCCTGCTCGCAGGTGTGTGTGTGTGTGTGTGTGCATTTAATAAATGCATATTTATGCATATAAATCATGGCATAGTTTGAAGCGTTTTCCGCTTGTTACCTAGGATATTTTTTGTCGCGTTTTTTCCTTTTTTTTATTATTATTATTTGGCTTCATTTTATTCAATTATTTTTTCATAGACGTTGCATGATTATTTCCTCTCTGCAAATCAATTTAATACCTTTTAATATTGTGTCACATACAATTGTGTTGTGTTTTGTTGCAATTATTTGAGTGCAAACTTGCATTAACCCATTTGCTACCTATGTGCGGTTCGGTTAAGCGTACAATAAAATTAAAGTTGATTGATGTCTTTTTTACAGCTAATGCTTTATCTTTTCATTGGAAGGTGTATTGGCATAAATTCCATACAAGACAAGTTATTTCGAATTTCAGAATTTGAATTTTATTGGGAGACAAGCCCAAAGCCTTTAGTTTTAAAAAACCAAACGTATTAGAAATTCTCACTGAATGGAGATGGTAGATTAAACTTAATTACAAATTTTGTTTTTAGTGTAGTAACAGTATATTATGTTTGTGCGAAATATGTAACAGACTGATGCAAGCCTCATATATTCTTAATCAGCATGGTAAAACAAATTTATCTTAACCCGTCCATCGACCCGTCTGTTTCGACAAATGCCTGGATTTCGAAATCGGTTTATTCCACATTGACCAAACTGCGTATGTGTAATTTTACTATTCTTCATCCGCAACAGAATTTTTTCAATGCTGCTTGAAACTACATAAGCTAAGCTGCGTATGTAATTTATCAGTAATCAATATACAATATGTATTATAAGCGAACAAATTTTGTTCCAGTACTACGTTTCCTTCGCAGAAATATTGAGCTTACCAGTTATCCCTCAGCTTAGCAATCAAAATGATATTTCGCTCAGCAAAAAAAAAGTTGCATAACGTGCATAATTGTTGATTGTGTTTACCTAATTTATATTTTTGCTCAAATTGGTTTTTGTAATGTTTTAAAAAAAAGTGAAGCGATACACTCTCATGGTGGTTCTTTGAATTGAATTTAAATTATTTTACAAAGAACTTCATAATAGACAGTTCCCCCATTACGCAGTTAGTGGGTTAAGTTCAAGAATGACGCGGGGTTGGATGCAGTGCCTTTATTTGTCATTAAAATGTCGTCTTGAAACTATCTTCTGCAGGCGCCATAATAAGTGGCCATTCACCGCCATCCAGTCACCTGGATTTTCTGCTGGGGCACACGCTGAAGGTGCTCAACATCTACTATCATGTGGTCAGCAATCAGCGTCCGCTGCAACAGAGCGCGACGCGAGGGCACAAGACCAGCGAACTCTTCACACTCAACAGCTCGACGACGCGCGACCTGGCAATGCTTCAGGCATTGGGTTACTTTGGCAACGATTACGTTTACATGAAACTTTACAACATTTTAAGAGGTGCTAATGACAGCTACAAGGTAAGCCAACGAGTGAGCGTACGCTCTTGCACTCTCAATCCCCGGCAGCAAACGCATTTGGCGTTATTAAGTCGAGGCGGCAGAGCCTCACTCAAATGGTAAAAGTTGGCGGTCTTGTCGAACACGTGCGCACTATGCGGTCTGTTCGGTCTCTTCGGTCTGAGAGGGTGTCTTGCTGAGATTTTTACAGTTACAGTGCACGTACAACGCAGTGCAGTGTGGCGTTTTATATGCAACACTTTTTTGCGCTGGCAATGAGTTGTAAAAATTGCAGCCAATGTCTTGAGCTCTGAGTCTTGCTGAGTACTTGACTGACTTAATGTGTGCGTTGCATTAACCCGGCGACAGGGCGACAAAGCGACGCCGGCCCATAAAAAGCGCAAGCTTAAGGATGCCGGCAGAAAGTTTTCGTTGCCTGCTTTTGCTTTTAGGCGTCACTCACAGAAGTTTCTGAAATGCCTTCTTCTGCTTTCTTTGCCCCTTACAGATAAGCATAAATCACGAAGCGGGCAACTTATTAATTTGCCTACTTAAGACCAGCCTCAATGCGCTCAGCTTGTGTTTGGAATTGCGTGCGCCAGAAAATGCTACAACAGCAACAACATCGACAGCAACTACTACAACAACAACAACAACGGGAGCCACAACAACTGGAACGACAAGTAAAGCAGCGGGCAATGCTGGAGCGTCCTCATCGTCGTCGTCGCCTGCGTTGAAATTAATTGAAGAAATACTCCACTATTTGACCAAGCTCATAAATTATGCGCCCGGCGAGTGCGTTGCATGTCTGCGGCAACTGTTGAAATATTTATTTGCCCAAAATTATGGTAGCAGGCTGCAGCAACGACAACAACAACAACAGCAGCAACAGCAACAACAACTGTCTGGCGACTGTTACAACGCATTCATATGTTCCTATTTTGCGGCGAAGCGCAGGAGCAGCACAACAATAAATTCAGAGGCCGTGACTGTGAGTCCTGTGACCCAAGCGATGACAACATGCACATCAACGCAAAATCTAATTGAGGCGCCCATTCACGTTGCATTGGGCGCACTGTTTGCACAGGGCCTGCAACTGGCGCACCCGCCAGCCGACGGCAACTGTGTGCGGCTTATAAAGCTATTCGAGCCCTTGGTCATCTACTGTCTGACGGTGAGTGGAGCTCTCTGATGGCTATCGCTAATTAATTTTAGTTGTAGCCAATTTGTTTGATTAAAAATGCGCACAGAGACAGGCCGAAGCGAAAGCCATAAGTTTGTCCTGCGCAGGATGTGTGCATATGTGTGCGTATGTCCATGTATTGCATATTTTATTTATGACAAACATTTGCCCAGCACTTGTATTTATGAATTCCTATGTCCAATGCTCGTCTGTCTGCCTGTCTCGCCCACAGCTCTTTTTGAAATCCAACGCACAGATACAGGCACCCATATTAGAGTTACTCTCGCAGCTGCTGGAACTCAACGTCACTTACAGCATACTGGACTCCAAAAATGTAATATTTGAACAAATACTGAACAATTTGGATTTAATTGAAAACGGCATAGACAGGTGAGTGTGGATGCGCGGGTCCTGTGTGGCATTTCATGCATTTCGCAAATTACTTTTCATAAAATGAGAATACGTGTTGTTCAACGTTTGCTTCTCTGTTGTTGTTGCCATTGTCGTAGTACTTGTTGATTTTTCACTAGAACAACAAATAATATTTCATATATGAATATGAATGGGAGAAATTGGTGCTTGACTGCAGACAAAGACAACAAAGACATCAAAAGCATTCATATCTGGTGGACGCTGCTTATGCGGTCACGGTTTTCAACTTTAATTGAAATTGAAAATTGAATGACTTACTTGTAAAAGCTTAAACTAGTGTTAGAGGAATACTAAAACTAATAGTTAAGTATTTTTTTAAATGTGATTGTGTAAAGAATAGCGGTCCATAATGTTAATTTTTTGCTTTCCTTTAGTATTTTTTCCTACAAGTATAGTATAACTAGAGGTCTATTTAGTTAACTTTTCTTTCAAATATGATTCAAATAGATTTAAATCTTATATTTTTCATATGAAATATTTTTGTTATTTGAATTTCTTTTTCATATGTACTTTAAAAACTTAAACGAAAATAATGTAGACAACAAAAAAGTATTTCAATGTAATTGTATTCAAAATTTTGGTTTCAAAAATAATAGCTGTGAATATTTACATTGAATAATGCTTTAACCTCAAAAAAATGACATAGTTAAAGTGCGCGATTTATATTTATAAATCTTGCAATCAAAAATATTCATCATCGTTTATTTTTAAAATAATCTCCATTTACTACTTATTAAATTAATAGTATTAATACACAATTCGATGCGTTCAAATCAATTTTCAATGCACCTTAACACAATTCATTTTTAATAGGCGGTATTTAATCAGACTTTTTTAATAAGCTGTATTTAAACGAAATTATTTATTGAGTGCAGAGTACGGCCACTGATTTATTAATTCGCCATATCGATAGGTATAATTGTTTCAGCCAATATGTGAGAGTTCGCATTGTCGTAGTGGAAATTACAGCGTGCCTTTATATTGCCAGATTCTTTTTGTGCAGATGCAGTTGTATATCAATAATAGTTTGGTTCTCTTATAGTTACAATTGCATTCTGAAAATTTTTGACAATCCTGCCTAGATATAACTATGGTTGCCAAATCCTACTCAGAAGATTAACTTTTGTATCATTTAATTTATAAAAATTCTAGAAGATTTTAGTCCTATCTATCGCGTACCTTTTCCGGTTACAGAAATGCCTATATCATTGTGCCGCCCATGCTTCAGTTCCTTATGCAACTGACACACAAGAGCGATCGTCAACTAATCACCATACCCAAGATCATAAGCATCACAAATAATTTGCTGGCCAATGGCGCAGTTCGCGATGTGGCTCTGCTGGCATTGAAAACACTCAGCTACGAGCTCTTCTTTATGCCGTCGCCTGTAGAAGATACGAATTTGGAAAGTGTATCCTGCCCAACTCCCTTAACGGGCGCCATCACAGCAACAGACACTATGGATCTGCAAGTGCAATTACGCGAGCTAGACACCCAGAAGGAAGTGGTGTTGGGAATGCTTGAGAAATTTATTGAAGCGCGTTCCAGCCAACAGGTGTTGGCATTGCTACTACTCTACGAGCGTAGCGTGCAACAGTTCCGAGCTTCGACTGCAGTCACGGATGCATCCGTGGAGCAGAAGATGAACTCTCTAAGTAAGCAGGATGCCGATGCCATTTATGCGATGCTCTGTCGCACGCTCTGCGCCGGCCATCTGCGCATTCAGACTCCCGGCGATCTGCGGCTGTTGGAATGCTGCTTTCGGAACAATGGAAACAATGTGCTGTCCGACAGCAAGGAATTTCTGCAATTGCTGCAGTTGTTCATCGAACAGGTGAGTGTCTAGAGACAAGAGCATACGCCCCATGACATGCCGGGTATTTGGCTGAATTGAAAATTCATTGAATTTCAAATTGATTACCACAACAAAAACTGTGGCGTGCGTGTGGCAGCAGCAGCAGCACAGCCGGCAAAGCTCTACACATTTCGCACACATCAGTGCATCAATTAATGCATAAATTACAGTTTAAAATTCAAATTGATGGCAAGCAGGCATTTCGTTCGTCTGTTTCTAAAGTGCTTAAAATTTGTAGCTGTCTGAGTGTTTGCATTTAAATCATAAATATGCTTAATGCCTACTTAAACTCACCATTTGCGCACACACAAAAACCCCCGGCCAGGAAAGATATAAATATCAAGCACACACACACACACACACACACACACACACACACACACACACACACACACACACACACACACACACACACACATACAGGCAGCGTCAAATAGCTTGAAATATTTATGAGCGACACAAGGCTGGAGATGAAGACCGGCATGTAAAGCAGAGGCAGCCTCACAGGCATTGCTCATTGCTTTCAGCAATCGATGCGTTGCAAATTTAAAAGCGTCAAAAGACAGAAGACTCCTTGCCACAGACCGGTTGACTGCCACTTTACGAGTATGCCATACATAATTAAAATAATGCCACAAATTTTGCAACGCATATGTTTCGATTTGAATGTCGGAACAAGCGTTTAGTACAATTTGTAGTTGACTCTTCGGCATCAAGTTTCTGTTTATAGATCAAATGCTTGCGTAAATATGTACGTACAATATATGTATACCATGTTGTTTTGTTTTGAAGTCGGCTCCCGTTATCCTTGTTATTGTACGACTATTATATGAACTGTTTGTGTGGGTGTTTGTTATTGTACGAAAATTGCCTGTTAGAATTTTTATTTTTACAAGCAAATCGGCTTAAGGGTGGCTTCAACAACACAAAATCAACACAATTGAAATCTTACTATGAGTTACCCTTCAAAAGCGATTGACTAGAAGGGAAAGGATTAAATATCCTCTCTTCTACGTAGAAACAAGGTATGCGAATTAAGTAATTGGGAAAGGTTTTTTCCAAAATTGCTCTCTGGACGTAAATGACACTAATTTTCCTCAAGTCTTTTAAAATCAAATTAATAGAAAATAATAATAAAGTAAGTATGGGATGGGACAAATATAACGATCTAAGAAGTTATTTTCGTCTGCTTTTCAACAAAAACTTTATTTATCTGTCGTAATGAGTCGTGAACTGTATTACTCATGCATCTTGACGAGTCAGTAGTACATTATTTCTATATATGAGTTTCAATTCAGCTGCCCAATAGCATGCACCTCGTTTTTGATTTGCGTAGGCATATTGCCCTTCAACATCAATACAACAAAAAAAAGTTCTTCACACAAAGCTACCATTCTAATTATATTGCCTTTGTGTCAGGATATTTTCAGCATTTTCTTTTCCAATCGCATTCCAACTCAAATGAGTTCTGTAAAATTTCTAGTTATAGTTAGTTGAGAACTAAGCGCAGGCAATCTGTAAACCTACACTATGAATAATAGACCCAAATGTTATTATTTTTTATTTAAAATAAAAAGCTTGGCAGTTTCTAGCCAAGAACTGGTACATATAATTTTTTTGTAAAAGTTCAGAAAACAAAATAACATCGCTTTGGCTTTGCACACCTTTAAATTTTTAATATGTATATTAATTCAACAACCGAAGTTGAAATCATTAAAATATGTCTGCCTCACTCAAAACAGCAGCACTTGGCTTTCTTATTCATGGCTTTAAAAGTTATCGAGGATTTTTCTTTTTATTTGTGCTGCGCCCACAAGTAGGCAACACAAAATTAACTTCATAGCTTTTTTCCACAAATACAATGATTTGTCACCTGCCATCTGCCACATTTGCATACACAGCTTACACTCATGTGCCCTGAAGTTCATTTTTTGCTGTCACTGTTGCAGTTGTTGTTGCTGTTGCATGCAACTGTGGAGCGTAGTTAATGTGCCACATGTCGTATACGTGACATTTTTAATACCTACGCTTCAACGCCGCACATTTTCAACTATTAATGCGCATTTAAGCTACACATGCATTAACTGACGACCTGCCGACCGGCAATGCAACTACCCGCCACCCGTCTGGATTTAAAACCAACTTAATTTCACACACTCCTGCAACTGCTCTCTCAGTATCTGTTAGTGTATGTGTGTGTTTATATTTGTAAGTTCATTCGTGTGAAGGTATTTGTAAATTTGTGGTAGGCTATCCGTTAAATGTATCTGTCTCTCTACCTCCTAGTTAGCCGGTGTGTGTCCAACCGTTCGCCACCATTAAGTACACTCATGCACCATCTTTCTAACGATTAACGCTTGGCATTTGCCGTTTTGCATTCTCCCCACCCTTTATCACGGCATCGTCCTGTATCGCCTGTCAACTGAACATGCTTTTTTTTTGCTACATTTTTTAGCCGTCTGTTGCGGTTGGCTATTCAACTTCATTTAACTTGTAATTTATGCGCGCAGCTTAAAAACTTTAACTAATTACCGCTTGTTTCATTTGGATATATAAACAAATACACGGAGAGAAAACGTACTAAACTTAAATAAAACACCCCGAGGGTACGTTAAGCGTCGAGCAAGCATGGGAGTAAAATATCCTGTACAGGCAAAAAGAAACTGTAGAAGAACGCATAATCTGCTGCTGCCTGTTGCTCAAATAAATGTTTATTGATAATATTATATAGGGACTAGGTTAGTCCAAAAATCATGATTTGTTATTGGTGGCTCAGACAGACAGGCGAAATCTGGCTGATCAAGAATTTATATTTTTTATCCACAAAGTGTATTCGGAAAGTAATAAGAAAAGTGGACTTTTCAGCAAAATCATTGGATTTTGTCTGAGTGTATAAGTATTTTATATAAAAAAGCCCAGACATCCTTTCGTTCTGCACCGCCCCGCACTTGTGCCATCAGGTACCATGAGTAATTAAGTTGGGCAATGAGCGAACGCATGAGTCAATGCTTGACTTGGCTGAGCAGCATGCGTGGCTTGGTGTATGTGTGGGTGTGGGTGTTGGTTAGGGTGTGTTGCTAGCTTTATACATAGCAGCAACTTTTTAATTGAAATTGAAAATGCGCCACAACTTAAATAACATTTTGCGTGTGTAAAAATAAGAGTGGTAGCATTTAAAATTGTAGCAACAACTTGGGGAAAATTGAATTCGGTGGCCAAGTAAATACGAGCGTATATACACACATGCCCTTTGGCTGGCTGCATCTTTTCTAATTACTGCCGGAAAATATGTTGATGTTGAATGCTACAATTGCTGCCTGCACTCAACTCTGTCACACAAATTTATGCAAAGTTTCACACTTTGCTGCACTCACGACCTGCCACTAACTTGCCTCTCTTCCCTTTTCTCTATTTTTATTTGCATGTCTGCTGAAACTTCGAACAACAAAACTGACTGCTGATGCCTCGACGACGACGACGACGACGATGGTGATGGCGATGGCGATGAGGGCGACCACAGGACGTTGGCAACTACGGTGATTTAGCTCATGCAACGATTATACTGGCAAACGTAATCCTTAAAACCGAGGAAATTTATTTAGTAAATCACATAAAACTTTATTTGAAAAATAATCCAACTGCCGAGCTTCGGCTGCAGCAGTCAGCGGCTGTAACGACAGCGGCTGTAACAGCAACAACAACAACACCACCACTGCACTGGCTAGACGCAACCCCATCGACATCTTCGGCAGCTGCCGCTGCCAGAGCTGCAGCCGTTGCCGCTGCCACTGCCACCGCGACCACCCACATTACCACCATCAGCGAAATTAACTATTTCGCAAAAGTTTTGTGCGAGAAGCTCTTGGCTTGCTGTGATGCGCTCCTCGACCTAGGCCCAACGCCAGCCGCCACCCTTTACTGCTCGCTGGCCGCGCGCTTCGTTAACGCGCTGCATAATGTTTGCTGTCGCTCACGGCACAAGGATGCACTGCAATCAGTTTTCCGTTTGGTTCTGGCCGAATCTGAATTTCTCTGTAAATACTACAATTTACTGTTGATGAGTGCCGACTGTGGTGGTGGTAGTGGAGAGGCGTTGGATAGCCTCCTCTTAGCCTGTCTGCAACTTTTATTGGCCATGCGTATGCTGGAGCCGCTAGCGCTGCTCGCTCAGGCCGCCCAACTGAGACTCAAGTGGAGCATGCAGCGCGCGTTGCTGCGTGAAGTTTGCCGGAGCAGTGCGGTAAGTACAGGGCGTTACCGCACATTAGTTTAATTTGAATTTTCCGGGGAGAGTTGAGGAAGGGTAATAGAAAGGCGTTACTGTAACTGATTTTTGGGGCCATGTGATAGGGAATTTGTGTAGGGATGCTCAACCAAAACAAACTTTTTCTGCACTGACACTTGTCGTAATTTTGTGGTTCAACGCATAGCAACGAAACTGGAGCTTAATGGCTCATGTGCCACTTTAAACCCTTTTCAGGTCCCTACAATTTTGAACTTATAGTTACAATAGATTCAAGGCCTTAGAAGGCGAGCATCAAACTCTATGAATTTGGGTTCAAAGTCAGCATTGACTTATTTCTATTGCCTCAACGTCGACCTAGACCCAACGTTTGTGGTCGTGGCCAAGTGTGTCGTGACTTGCGGAAGATCATTTGATATTTTAAATTACGTTGTTCGGACATGTTCTTATTTAAATTGATTGGATCTTAAAGAAAATATAAGTCACAACTTTGCGAAGACGAATAATTGACTGAATTTCATAAATACTTGTACAATGTTCTGCTTATATGTTGTCTTATCTGAGTACCGTCTTGTATGTGGCTTAACTTTTAATTCAATTATTACTATTGCTGCTAATAGAAGTGATGAGGCATTATGGCTTCAGTTCGCCGTCTCTGTCCAATTAAAATAGAGCAGAACAACTAAATATAAATCCAAATCGATATCATCTACTTATAGTTTTGATTGATTGCCACTCAAGCATGCGTCAATTAATACCTAATGCCAATCCTTAGTATTATCCGTAAACGCACCCAGAGCCATCATCTTGGGCACTCTCTTAAATCACAAATCGTTGTGTAATTACAGGCACAAGATTGGATGCCGCAACAAGTGCGCCGCCTGTGCGCCGACAAGTATCTGAATTTCCTAATTGCTGACCACTTGCAATTCCTTTGCGAGTTATGCCAAGTACGGCCAGAGTGCGGCTCATTATTGAAGGCGGCGTTGCTGCAGAGCGCGCACCGCCTCAACAAGGTGAGTGCCTGATCCTGGTCCTTGGACTCGAAGCCATTGTTTGCCTTTCATTTGCTTGCAGCACTCGATACGGGGAGTGCTGCGCTTGTTGTGGCATCTGGGCCAGCGGGAAAATCAAGCGGCCGGTGATGCCGGAGGCGACCCAGCAAGCACGCAGCAAACGCAACAACTGCTTGAGCGTCTGCATCAGCTCCACGACGGGCAGCGAGAACTGCAGCGACCAATAGAAAGGCTGGCCCAACGCTTGAGGTAAGTAACCGTGGGTAGCTAAATTCGGAACTAGTTCGTTTCCAGGACGTATCGAGTTAGGTTTTAGGCACATTCGAAAATACTACTAATGTCTCATTGAATTTGATCAGCTTTAAAAAAACCTTGTTCCATTGTTATTCAAAAATTATTCAATAAAATAGTTGAATCCCTTATTTTTAGGACTTCCAACGCAATCATATGTATTTTACTTCTTCTGCTCTAAATATAATATTCGAGTATCTTCCCAACTTTTCAGAATTTACGCAATTTATTTTGTAAAAATAATTTTTGGAGAAAAAAATTCTTTCTCAAAGCAAACAACAGTTTTACAAATTGCAAATTACAGTTTCAAACGCATTAAAATAAAAACCAAATTAAAACTTTGTGAATTGAAAACATATATGCTGGTTTTCCTTTGGGTTCTGTTGTATATTTTTCTGGACGTTTTTCGACCTCGTGTGTATATCGAACAACCACATTGAATATAACTAATCCGCAAAACCTAGTTCATCCGATCGAGCTAGGCTGCACTACTCTATTATGCATGCAGGCGGTGGCAGGGCTGGCTTATTTATGCGAATAATTATGCGCAGCCATTAAATTGTTTTTATTTATTTTCCATTTTATTTACGTTTCAGGCTAAAGTGCGCCTTGGCCGAGGCTGAAGAGGTGGCTGAAGAGGCGGACGATGAGAAGACCAAGATGGCGGCAACGTCCCGCATAATTGATGAGAGCTGGCTTTTTGCACAGGTAAATAGTGAGTGAGTGCATGGGATTTCACAATAACTCCAAGCTAATTTCGTGCTATTGCATTTTTATCCCATTGCTGCCATTATTGTCGTGCCTTTCATGTTTCCAGCTAATTAAGTTCGCCACTCAGCATAGAGATGCGGCCCAACAACAACAGCAATTGATGCGAATGCTGCTTGACATACAGTCGGAAGCGAAGCTGCAGCGGCTATTTCGAAGCATGGGCGCGGCCCACGAGGCACGCCTCCTGCGACACGCTCTAGAAGGCTCTGTTGCGTCGATGCTGGCAGCTTTTCGCCAGAACTGCATTCAGCATACACCGCACATTAACTACATGCAGCCGCCGCCATTGGCACGCGTTGCATGTGCGCTTCTCATGGCACGTGTCGCCGCCACATCGCAGCAGGCTGTCGATGAGATTGTGCTGCCCATCACTGAGGAGCAGCTGGAGGAGGCCCGTGCTCTCACTACGTTGGTGGAGTGCACAAGGCGCTTGGAGACCACGGCGCTGATTTACATCGATGCCCGTTTCGTGGATAAATTTGTGCGCGAGCATTTTCTGCGCGAGGAGCATGTTCCCAATTTGCTGGCCTACCTCTCCTGGTTAGCGACGCGAGCCACCAGACTGCTTCAATGGGAGCGTGCCAAGCAGCAAGATATTGAGCTTGCACTTCCCGTTCTCCTGGGATGCATTGAGATGCTGTTGCAACACCCACAAATTTGGCGGGAGCTGAACGTTTGTGAGGGAGGACTGCGTCGCCAGCTACTCGCCATGTTGTCGATGGCTGCGCGTCTCAGCCTGCAGCAAACAATTTTCTATCAGCGACACAGGCGGCAGGAACCTATGATCAAGCAAGAGGAGAGTGCAATGCAGGCTATTTTTCTCGCCAAATTAATTGAAGCGCAAATTGATATCGAAGCCTTGCAGAGCGGCGAAGTTTTTAATAATGGAAGCGATGCGCCACTTCAATTTTCTGGCTACGATATGGCCGACATTCAAGTGCCTTTGGTAAGTACCCAGTTGACAATATTCTTGCCTTTATTATTGCTTTGGGTGAATAATTGAGTTCCATTTGAATGTTATTCTGTACCGACATTAATGAGAAAATGTAAAATGAGAACCTTGATCATAATTGCTATACGATCTGCTAATTCAGTTGCCAATGAGAAATGCTATATGATCATTGTTATCAATTCTGCTAGAATCAGATAGTTTAATTATAGTATTCCAAGAAGTCGTTGGTGCTCTTAACTAGTTGTTTATTCGCTTTTCCCGCGTCTAACTAGATATGTATCTTTTATTGTTTCACTGCAGCTGCTAATTACTTCTATTGGCATTTCGCTGCTCCGCACGCACGAGTTCTATGCAATTGCGGTCACACCCCATGAGGTGATTCTTCAGCAACAGCGCGAGCAGCAAGTGCGAGCCGTGTATGAGTCGCCCGTTAAACGTCCGACAGTCGCGCCCACCAACACTAGCAGTGGCAAACTGCCCACGATACCTGTGGATAATCTAAGCGATGTGGATGTCCTGCGCAAATTTGTGAACGCGTGAGTATGCCCGGTCAAGTATATTAACTGCTTAGCTGTTCTCAGCACCTTGAGCTATTTACGTGTATGTAGCCAACTTGTTGTTATCTTTGAGCTGGTCATGTGTGTGTCACAATGTCTGCGAACAAATGTCCAGTCGTCAACAGGACTGGGGACGTAAGAGAATGGACATTTGCACTTCTGTGGTGGGGGAAATATTGAGCGTTGCGAGCGTCAGCTCCTCTGCCGATGCACTGTCGCTCATCAACGCCAAACTTGTCTACCAGCTGAAGCTGTTGCTATTGTTGTTGCCGTCAGCATTGGCATTGTATTTGAAAAGGCAGTGCAGCAACTGTGGCAACAACCACAGCGAAGCTTCTATGCTGACAATGCTGGCAGTGTTGACGAGTATGGCAACATGCAACAGCAACAGCAACAACAACGGCAACGGCAGTTAAACCGCAACTGAAAGCAACAACATCCTGTTGTTGTATTAGAAGTCAGTCAGTTCTAGCCTACACACATGCTCACATATATGGATATACAGATGAATGTACATTTGTTAGTCTGTTAGTTGATGTGCATATGCGTGTGTGTGTTTGTTTGTATGTTTTACAAGTCGTTGCCTGTTGTCCTTGGCATCGTCCGCTTGTTTGCCACGTCCTTGTCGACTGACAGCTTCCCCGTAGCTGCTGCCAACAACAGTTGCTGTTGTTGCCTTAGCCTTTGTTGTAGTTCTTGTTGGTGTTGTTGTCGCTGCTTCTGTTGTTCTGACAGTCATCGTCATTACGCTGTCAGCAGTTGAATTGTCATCAAGTTAGAATTGGGTGTATAATGTGCAGGATATACATACATATGTACGAGTATGTATGTAGATATTTCTAGGTCCATAAGCGTTTTGCCGTTCTCTGGTCTTATACTCGTAAAATAATCAACAAGGTTTTTATTCCCAATCATTTCTCCAATCTTAAACTCTCATTAAAGTGAAAGAATTATTTATTATTTTTCAACCAACATTGTTATTATTCTTATTGTTTTTAAATCAAGATGCGCTCAATGTAGGATATTGTCTCACCTTCGTTATCTGTCTCTTGAATAGGTTTATATAGCCGACAGGCAGCGGTTAAGTCTACCTTCCGTTCCACTGATTTTAATGAAAAGTGCCTTTAAACAATTAACTAGTCAGCAACACTGAACTTATTCTATTTGATAAACTAATTTGTTGAGAGCACGAAGGCTTGGGTGTGATTGCCAGTCTCTCTCATTTTTTAGCATTTCTTGAACGCCTACATCAAAATAAAAGTTGAAGTTTTTTGGACTTAGTTTAATGAATGTACTTAAAAATTTTACGAAAATAATAAATAGATTAAAGTATAGTATTTGTTATGGTCTGCGATGTTTGCCAATTCCGACTGATTCCCTACTAAGCGATGATTTGGTTCTACTGACAGATTTTAGTTATCTGTTTAACAAATGTAAACTAAATTTTTCGTTCTTGTAGGTTTTTTTGGGAAAGAAGGCCTTAAAGTATAATACAAGTATACTTTGTGTGGTGTCTATGTAGATGTGCATGTGTTAGGAATAAAATCCTAAGTGACAGGCAAAACTGCACTTGCTTTTAAATTTTTATCTTGATAGTATGCAGCAATGCAAAGTTGTGCCGCCGAATAGTAGTGGCAGCTAGGCAGATAGATACACACACTAACACGGATACACAAACACATAAACACATGCAGGCGCACAAAGCCAATTCATTTTTCGACACTGGCAAAAGCGAAAACATCAAAACCACATCAGCCATCAGCCATTGCTGATGCAGCCACAAAACAAGCGCCAGCCTGTGGCAGCAACGACAAAATCCCCCAAAGGGCTGACAGAGCGTAGCATCAACAACTCTATTAGATGGAGCAGCGACAGCATGACGCGGCGCGTGTCGAGCAACAACAAGGAACGGAACGATGCAGAGGAGCATGGGACATGCATTTTGGACTCGAGACAAGCGCTGGGAGGTTGACTGTCCTGGCCTGGGTCTCAAAGTGAAATACGCAGGCAGCTTGCGATATAAACAAATTATGAGCAGCAAAGTGAGATAAATGCACATGTGTGTGTGTGTGTGCGTGTGTGTGTGGCAACAGTTGCAACACTGTCACTTACATACACAGACGTCCTTCCGCCCAACTCTAGCCCACATTGTTGCTAATTGCGCACATGAGTTGCAAAGCGCCTGGCAAACCGCTGAGAAGCAACTGAACAGCAACTGAAGCTGAGCAGCCCCAGCAAGCCAACGAGTGATGAGTGACGACGAGCAATGAGCAACAACTTCATCATCACCGTTGCGTCTGCCGTTGTCGACTTTGTCAACATAATCAACCGAGCGCTTTTTGGCAGTACACGCAGAAAAAAAACCGACCAAGATAACTTAAATGTTTCCTAGCAAAATGTTTACATAAATACAAGTATAATACCAATACTGCTGCAATTAATATTGCATTGGAAAATACTTCAAATGCTGTTTAAAGTTGAATTCGCTCATAATTAGTATTCATATAACTGTGCTACACTGAGAGCTTCCTGAGCCGACTTACCAAGCCACAATCAATGACAGTCACTTATAAGTACTTACAATATTAAGTAAATGGAGATGCAATTTAAAAAAATGTAGACTAAACGTAAAACAGCAGTTCGTGTTAGCATTTGTATTCAGTGAAGATATAAATATGTACTACAAGTATGTATATATTGTAAGATAAACATCCTTTTGTTTGCTATATTCCAATGCCAAAAGTTGTATGACTCCAACCTCCAACTCTTGTATAATTATACCCACATATTTGGAGATTTTGAATGTCTCTTTCTTCCGATATATAGATTCAGTATTAACAAGCCCAGTCGCTCTAATATACAATTCCATCATACATACAAGTACATATGAATTGCTCAAATTTAGATAGTTTTTTGTTTCAATGTAGGAATAGAAGAAGTGCTAGCAGCGGCAGGACCCGAATGAGTTGCACAGCTTGTCATGTCAGGATGCAGCTGCAGCTCATTATGTTGCTGCACCCGCAGCGTGCGAAGTACAGGCGCAGCATGCGAGCATTTTAGACATGGAAGCCGCTTCTGATTGTTGCACGCACTTTTGGCATTCGGGGGATAGGCAAAGAGGCAGGGATGGCAACATTACTAGATTGGCACACACACACACACACACACATACATACACACACGTACGAACAAAAGACGCACAATCTTATGTATTTTGTAATTGTCCATGCAATATTGATGATGGCACAAAAACTTACACGAAGTAATCAACAACTAATTGACATTTTTGCTGCTTGCTAGCTTGCTGGACAATCTTTTAAATATTTCAAAAGCTCAACTAATTGAATTAAAATTTCAAGCATTTGTTGACAAGAAACAAGCAAAATTTTGTATACATTTTGAAGATTTTTGCTTGCATATGCACACTTTATTGTTTGTGCGGGTATGTGTGTGTCTGTGTGTTTGCTTGTTTGGCTAATGCTGCTTTTAGCATGCAATACGATATGTATGCGTGTAAGCTGGGGCTTGGGGCAGTGTCCAGGGGCAGTAATTAACTTAACACATTGCCACTCTCACTCACACTTTCTCCCTCTCTCTCTCTCTCTCTCTCTCTCTCTATCTCTATCTCTCTCCCGCACCATATTTGCAGGCTGTTCATTTTTGGCTTTACCACGCGCCAACAATTCGAGGAGTACTTCATGACCTTCCTACTGCTGATCAATAAGCAATATGATGAGCACATGGTCGATCGACAGGAGCAATTTCAAATAAAACAAGTCTGCCTGCAGGCCATAATGGAACTTTTAATGACGTACAAAACTTTTCCCATTGTGGGCTCCAGTGGCGTTCTAAGCGCCAATCCTCCACACTTCCATCACACAACCCGTTGGACGCGCATCAATTGTGACAGCATAAGGTGAGTTTTACTGGCATTTGAAAGGGTGCGGGTGGATGCGCGCGTGTGTGTTTGAAATTTATGAAAATTAAAATGTAACATTCACGGCAAAAGTTTTAATGCGTAAATAACAAAAGCACAAATTAAATGTGACCAACAAAGTTGTTCACACGTCCATTTCAGCATGCGAGTGTCCGCTATACATATATATATGGGTTTTTTTAAGCACTTCAACTTTAAATGCACAACTAATTTGTTAACATGCCGTGGCCATGGCTGACAGAAATGAGCAGCCAAACTATTTTTGAGAAACTTTTAGTAGCTTTTACACTGCTGTTATTTTTGTTGTTTCATTTTTGGTTCCGATGTGTCTGTTTTTTTTTTTAATTAAAAGCGCAAAAAAGTGCTTAATAATAACAAAACAGGAGAGAAAAAACCACACCCCTACACAGTATACTATATGTATGTATGCAAGCAAGTCATATAAATTATGAAAATAATTTAAAAAGTTAACAAGTGGTAGCCCGCCCGTTTTTGCTACCAACTTTTAAAACTACGCCACGTACACGCCGTTGAGTGGACAATTTGACAATTTCAGCTAAAGTGGCCTTTGGTTATTTTTTAACAGCAAATTGAATTGTTGTCCTGGGCGCCCCGAAATTAAAAAATCATCACAAAAAGACCTGAAAATGTAATATTACAAAAATCGTCTGAGACTGAGTTTCACATGCCCGAGCAAATATGTAGAATGTACAAACATACACGTATGTATGTATGTGCATGCATATAAATGCCCTCAGGAGTTTTCAGAAAATATATGCTTTATTAGTTGGCTGGCAAAATTTCACAGATAGGCATAGGCAAAATTTGTGTTTGTTGTTGTGACGTTTATTAACAAAACATTGCAAATTGTTGTGCATATTGTTGATTTTACAAATTAGTTTTTAATTAGTAAAAGCAACCCGGCATTTTCCTTTAAATGACAACCCAGAAAAAGTATAAACAGGAAACAATGAAGAGACGATTTAGAACTATTTTTGGAAGTTTGAAACCGCTTTAATCAATGAAAAAACTGTGTAAAAGAAACTGTAAAAGTAAAATTATTTTAAACAAATCTTAAATCGATTATTTATGCTTGTACCAATTTATGAACTATTCTGGGGGTACAAGAGTATAGCAGCAGAACTTGATCTCGGAAATACCAAATTATTATCCCATATATCATATATAAATACACATGTAGTTCAAACATTTTCTTCTTCTCCCGCAATTAATGATTTCCCACAACTCACAGAGTTTATTGTCGAACTAAAAAACACGTGTGTGTTACGAAAATGAGGAATGCTCAGTTTTCCCCAATTTTAAACGAAAACGGTAACTTTTTAAAGCACACGCAATTTGGTCTGAATAATAAATCAAATCACCAAATGTATTGTAAATAAAAATTACCTATCACATCATTCCAAAGTACGTTCACCTTTTTGACAAATATGACCTATTTTATTAATTAAAAAAGATTTGCATAGAATATATTCGCACCATTTTTAAATGGCTTTAATGTCAGTCAGAGAAAGCAAAAGAGGCAGCTGGTGACGCCAACAAGAAATGGGCGTCACCGCACACACACACACACACATACACACACACAATCACACTGCCGCGTTCACACTTACGACAGTGCGTATGAGCAATTTCCACGATAAGCTCGCCTGTGTTTCATATTCGTTGCATGCGGCCAGAGAAAGAGGCAATTAATATGCGTTGCTTTATCAACTTTCAACTTATGACTTTCCCACGCGATGTCGCTTCGATTTTAATGCCGGCAAACGGCTCGTTTCGTTTTATTGCAGTCTGAAGAAATTGCACAAAGTGCAGTTGCTCATTGCCGGCCCAAATGTGTTCTACCAACCGAATCTGGAGCGGCAGTTGATGCAGGATAATGTGATTGGCACACGCAACTTTGCGGCAAATCAATACGATTTGAATTTCTGCTGGGCCCTAATGGATGTACAAGCGCTGCCAGCGCCGTCCACCCCCAATGCTAGCGAGGATGCGGATCGAGAGCTGGGCAGAACAGACTATCCCTGGAGCAGCGGCAATGTCCACACAGATACGGCCATGCGCAACTATTACCACTTCACCCAGCTCTCTGGCATCGACATACGGAGCACTACTCAACTGGTCTACGATATGTTGCAGCAGATGATCGAGGTGAGTGAGAGGCTGCACCTGGGGAGCGTGTAGCGGAGATAGTGTGTGCGGGCCATGCCCTAATTGACATGAGCACATGAGCCTGACATAAAGCGCTCGCACCGCACACACTCACTGCATAAATGTCAAAGTTTACGACTATTTTACGTTTGCCAACTGTCACGTGCGTCACATTGCATGCAACTGTGCCGAATGTGGCCGCCATTTTGGTGGCCGTTTGTGCCGCACGCGCGCATAATTTCATTACATAAGTTCCACTTCAAGTGACGTTTACATGCCTGCTTCTGGCGCGCCCAATTGAGTGATCCTTGGAGGTTAGGCCAAGTGCGCCGGCACATAGAAATTACAGAGATTTGTGCCCGCAAATCAAAAGCGGACATTTGAGTGTGACATTTGAACGCGCTCCGCCTTCCACGTGGGCTGTATGATACAAACAAGCTCCAATTTTTGTTAACTGTAATAGATATTTGTCCACCTTCACATTATATGTTTGAAGACCTAGCTTGTTATTAAGATTGAAGGCTTATCGTACTATTTGTTAATTAATATTGACAAGAGTGGTGTTCAAAAATTGATTGCGAATTGTCCAAATCTATAATACATGTACATATATATGTATATGTAAAATGTACTATGTAAAATGTATGTGCATATTTATGTCATCCCGAAACTTACAAGTATACAACGTGACGATTGTAGATTCTAAATAAAGAAACCTACTCTTCATACAGCCCTCGCAAGCCAAACTCAAATTGAATTTCGGTAGCAAAGCGTCAGCAAACAATTGTCAGGCAACTAATTGGGAAAGTGTCTCAAGTAAAATACTTTGTACTCGTATACCCTGCAGCAAAATCACATCCTGGGGCTGCCGCATCTGCTAAAATTCTGTGAAATTTGCGAGAATCGTGATCAAATCAAATGGATTAAGGAACGCGCTTTAAAACTGCAAGAACAAATACCCATGGACGATACCATATCGCATCAGGTAAGGCATTTACGAACAACACATGACAGGAAGGCAGACAGGTCGGTAAGAGCTTAAGCTCATGTTGCACTGCCGTGTGTTGCACACTTGCACACTTGCCACTTGCCACTGACTGACCAACTCCACCTACTCCCTTTTTTATTCTCATTCTCTTTGCAGCATTTAATCTACTTATTGTGCCGCACACAGTCGCTGTTGATACCCAGCCATGGCGAGTTGCAGCACTTGTGCACACTGATTGGCAACTTCTATTTGAAGAGCTCGCATTGCTTCATACGCAATGCGACGCTCTCCGGACTTCTCTGTCTGTTGGAGTGTTGCAGTAAGACGAACACAACAATTGGCAAGCTGAGCGAGGAGCTGGCATTGTTGCGCGACTTAATTGTGGGCTATATCAATCGGCATGGCATCATTGATGAGAGGTGAGCCGAATCGGGTCCGGTCGCATCGAAACAAGTGCGGTCGGTCGAATGTTCAAGTGTGTTGTGTGAATCAAAAGTATGGAAGGATCCAAAGAGCTGGCACTGGCACCATTACCAATCAAATGAGAGCTGTGGAATTACACACTCGAAATTTTGCCTTCAGCACAAACAAACTTCTACTTTAACAGCCAACTTAAAGCTGATTATATCAACTGCTGTAAATATTGTCTGATTAGCGAAGCATGTTGTGATTGCTTGCAACGCCATTCGGTCGGTCGGTACATGTGGCTCCCTTTGCTTTATGACAGCAACTGCGACTCTATTTATGCATCTATCTATCTATACATCTATCGTTTGTCGACTTGACGCACCAACTAATGGCAAAAGTTCCCATTTCGCATTAGTTGACTGAGCTCATCAGCAGCTATGGTTGGCAGAGACACTGGCTACGATTCCACCATGGAGAACAAAATACATCCAAGTACCTTCGCCGTTATCGAAAACTTTGTCGAGAACTGCGGCGCACACTTTCAGTTCCTGTTGGCAACTGTTATTGGCAAGCCCAGAATGAAGAGTTCAGTTGAGGGGAAGCTGTAATAATTCAAAGTCTCGGCCATTGAAAGTTCCACAGCTGTCAATAGATTTTACAAAGTCAAGCGCAATATCTGATCGATGGAGCGTTCACTACTTTTGTTGTTGTTTTTGATGCTGGTGTTGCTTTATGTGTGCCTCGCAAAATTGTAATTATTGGCGTTGCAGCTGCTCCTGTTCCACCACTTCGTGCCCATTTCGGCGCCCTGCTTAGCTGCCCGCCTCGCCCCCAACCGTTTTGTGGGTAGCTAAAGTTTTGAGCGCATCGCTGTGGCTTTTGGATATAATTTCATATGCTGCACTTTAGGTGCTGTGTTGCTCATGGGCGTTGTGGATGTTGCTGCTGCTGCTGCTGTTGTTGCTGCTACTGCTACTGCGGCAGCTTTTGTGGCAGTGTAACTCAGACATTTTTACAAAGTTTCTCCCTTCGCAACCATGAAGCGCATAAACTAAGGAGTGGCAAACTAAAATTTACTTGAAAGAATCATATATTGAAGCTCTAAATTTTTAAAATGTTGTTTTGCAACATTTTCTAAAATATTGATTTACATTCACGCTTTATTTTCAAAGTCCCTTAATTTAAAACCACATTTCTTAGATAACTCAGTGATCAGTTGTCCGTTCGCTTGCTTCACTCTTCTGGCTAAGCATAACCAAATTCAAAATGAATAATAACTGCTCTCTTATTAAAGGTTTGATAGCACAGACACAGAATTTAACTTCCATACTTTCTAAAACATTTAGCACAAACAAAAGACAACTAAACTTCAACAACAACAATAGACAATTATATATAAATTATGTGCGCAATGTTTGGTTTAGGTAGCATTTGAAATGTGGACGCTATTGACGAAATTCTGTAGCGGGGGAAGGGGGGGAATATTCCAAAAAATAAAATAAACTCGTCCTTACTCGGACCTAGGAGAATCTGGATGCCAACTTTGGTTATTCCAGCTTTTATAGTTTCTGAGATCCTTGCGTTCATCCAGACGGACGGACAGACGGACAGACGGACGGACATGTCTAGATCGATTTCTCTCGTCATGCTGATCAAGAATATATATACTTTATGGGGTCGGAGATGCTTCCTTCTGTATGTTACATACTTTGCACAAACCTAATATACCCTTTTTACCCTACGGGTACAGGGTATAATAAATATTTGATAGGCTAACAATTGTGAAGGCCTGCTTTCAACCACAAATGAGTGCAATACCAAATGTGTGGACTGTTATCTTATTAGTTAATACTGTGCTATCGGTCGCGGACGTGCATCCTAAAAAGAGTGCAACATAAAAAAGCGAAAAGACTCACTAAATGTAAATTGGCTTAAATTACAGATACGGAAAGTGTAGAGACAACCATCAAAACCAATATGAGAATGTTGCACATTTGAAAACCTCATCAAACATTGCAGGGAGAAGCAACAACAACAAACAACAATTACAACAAGTCGAAAGCAGCACCACTGAGCGGCGAAATTCAGCTGTGCGCCAGCAATGAGAAACGGGAACAGCCATGGCAACTAATCAGCGGCAACAACCACAGTCGCGGTCACGGCAAAAGGCTCTCCCATACATGTCCAAGCGCGCAGACAACGGCCTGGCCTAATTATTTTGTAATTTTACGGCCGAAAAGTAGGGGCGGGAGAGCCGATGCAAAGCGTTTTCACTTCCAAAACAATGCATGGCGTGTGTAAGAGTATGTGTGTGTGTATGGATCGCTTTGTGCTGTATTTTTGTGGTCGTCCGAAATTTCTAATTAATTTGGACGAAACATGGCGTGGACAGACAACCTAAGCCAAAAGCTTTCGCACTTTCGGCCAATTGAGGGTCGAACTTGTTTTCATAGCTTCATATTGTTTTACCGTTTATCCTTCTCACATTGTATATAACAACGTTCTCCTCTATTGCAGTCCTTTGCTGTTTAGCGATACGCATACAATGTTGGTCTGGACACTCAATTACAGTCTGATCGAATGGACGTCGAAATTTGTGCCACAATGCCACTTGCTCTCCAATACAATCATAGCAGCAAACAAACTCCTAAAAACAACCAACAACGAGGAAATTTATTTATGTGTTTTGCATGTGAGTAGCAATATTTATTTATTTATTTATCGACAAAAAAGGCTGTCGATGTAAAACCTGCAAAATTCGAATATCTAATAACGAATCCCATTTGGTGGCGAGCATTTTATTTGCTAGCCGACCAGCTGTGCCTTAATACACAGCACAAAGTAGTCAAATATGTTTGTAGATCCAACCAAAAAATGCGGAATATAAAAATATAAGTTACAAACAAAAGAAAATAATTGCCAAAATATAAATTAAATTCAAAAAACTTTTTTAAAATACCTACAAATCAATAGAAATCAAATAACGGACATAAATTGCGTGAAAAATCAAACAAGAGCGAACTTTGAAGTCGCAAATTTCTTAGTGACTTCCTGAGACCCTCAACTCAACGCTTGTGCGCTTGGTGATTCTCTTGGAATTAGCTGATAGCAAGTATTAGTAGATATAAGCAGTTTCTTGTTGGCGGAATTGCTTTTTTTTAAAAAATGAATACATGGTAAATGGATAGAAGAAACTACATTTCCAACTTTACTCTTCTCATGTCGCAACTTAAGAATTCAGCACCAACCTACAATTTACAGCTGAAATGTGTGAAGGGATCACCAATCTATTTGATACTCCTAAAATAGACTAGACTAATATATAAACAGAAAGATATTGATTAATTGTAGTCAATCTTATCGAAGGTTCTAAAGTTTCTTAAAAATTAATGAAAAAAGAAACTGGTTTTGATAGCATGCAAGTAAAGGACTAAGGACCGCCATTAAGATCTGAAATTACGAGTCCCTCTTAAACATTAAATAGACTTAAGCTTTGAAGAAAAGTAGAATTAAGGTCGCAGTTAAGTGCTTCTGGAGGAAATTAGGTCTGAATACTTGGTTCTATACGAATGGTGCACAATGAGCACTTCCGGCAATTCAATTAATGAACTGCGAGTAAAATTATTATTTTGTGCATTGAATTCTCGTTTTGGAGATTGACATTTATAATTTAAAGCCCACATACTGTTATAGAAAGGTTTCCTTTTCACAAAGAGCAAACATAATACGAATATTATTATTAAATATGTGTCACAAGAACAAACTTGGACGTGCTGTGTTGGCATCTTTTTGGTTGTTTGGCTTATTTGAAAACAAATCTTTACATGAATAGTGGCCAAAAAGATAAAGAGAAAGATAGAGGGCTTTAGTTTAAGCAATAGCTTAAACAATTCTGTTCACAGTATTGTGCGTTTTAATTGAAAGAACAACAAGCACAACCACCCCAACAAATACACAACACACACTTGTCGAGCTGCTGCAAGCGATTGTGCGTCGCTAAACGCTGCCACATTGGCAGCAATTTTGTTAACCAGACAAGCGACCATTTTGTTTGTTGTTGTTGGGTCTTGGGCTTAGCCAATGTCGCGCTTAATTGGTTTTTTGATTGACAATTTTGAAAAAGGCCTGGAGAACCAACCCAACCCGCAAGCAAAGCAAAGCAAAGAAAATGGGAACAAAAAATCCTGCGCTGTCATAACTACCGACAAAATGGCGTAGCCGTTGCTCTACAAAACTCGCAGCAGGTAGCGCATAGCCTAAACGTTAGCCCAATGGGAAACATGTGTATGTGTGCATGCAATTATGTTTCTATATAGACCTTGACTTATGGAATTTTTTCTCTTCTTCTCTTCTGACCAACAAAATAATTGAAGCGTTACAAATTGGAAGGCAACATTGTACTTATTTCAGTTTGCTGGCTATAATAAAAGTTTTTAAACGTTGCTCATGTGAAGCGGAAATAAATTCTGAGCTGGCGCACATAATTTGTCCGTTTAAGAGTGCAGCCTTTTAATTACACTCTCCACAAAAAGGGGAAGGGGAGTGAGGCTGGGGTTGGGGCTGACTCTTTAATTGCAATTAATATTATTTCATACTTAAATTTCTTAGTTTTTTTTTTGAGCTTGCGAATTAAAGTTGAGTTTTGAAGGCAATTTATGAAATTTGCACACCATTTTTTGAATCTCTCGTCCATTTGCTAGCATATGTTGCTGTTGTCACTATTTGTGCTTTGATGACGGCGGCAACAACACGCATGGCGAGAGTCAAAACAAAAGGAGAGAGTGATAGCGAGGGAGAGAGAGAGAGAGAGAGAGAGCCAGCAGCGGCCATGCTAGCAGCATTGTCGGGCGACACTACAACAAGAACAGTAATATTAGCAGCAGTAGCAATAACAATAACAATTTGCCACTCAATTAGCGTAGCCATTACTGAAAAACCCACTTAAGTATGCAATGATAAAAATTCAAAAGTGAATCGACGAGGGCTGTGACTGTAGCTGTGGCTTTGGCTGCGCCGCGCCGTGCCGTGCCGTGCTGTGCTGGTAGACATCGTCGTTATTTCTATGCCGCGCACACTCGCTGTTATTTCTGCTGCTGGTGCCGTTATTTTGCTTATTTTATTTATTTATCTTTTCTGCTCTTCTGCCTCCGATGCTTCCATTTTGTAATCCTTTTTGTCGTTCACAGGGTCTGGAGCGCATGGTGGTCAATAGCGGCAATGTGGCTGCAACGCCTACCAGCGAGTCAAGCGGAAGTGGCGGCCATGGCGGCGGCAGTGGAGGTGGAGGCGGAGGCATCGGCATTGGCGTTGGCGGTGGTGCCATGGTGACACCGCAGTTGCGCCATAAAATTGAAAAACTTGCGCTCGAATTGCTGAAAATGGAAAATGAGAAATTTTCAATTCCAGCGTTGAAATTGCTTTTGTCCTGCATGTATGTGGGTAAGTACAGCACTCACACAAAGACAAACAAACAGTCGCAACACACGCATACTCGTTTACTGTATATTTGTATGCGTCTGTGTTGAACACAACATAGCCAGCGAAAATATTTTGTAATTTTATTTAATGTTCCGCGATGCGCGGAAAGAGTCAGCATATTTGGGCGACCCGTACTACTTACTATCCACCTTCTCCCCATTGGCCAGAGAAAGTTATATATAGTCCCAGTATACACAATCATGTGTGTCTGCGCACATCAGTTCAGCGGCGTAGTACTTTTAGAAACTACATATATTTAAGTGTTTTAGCAAACAATCAGAGACCTTCAATTTTAGAAAATACATTGATAATGTGTTTTCTGATCTGAACCTATGAATAAATTAAGGGAAGAACGCATTTTTCCAGCAAAAAATCTTAATTAATTAAATAAAGGTTGTCCAATCATAAGCTGCGTCAAAGAGCTTCTTTTTTTTAATACTTTAAAGAATACTTATAATTCAACCCCATAAGTATGCTATAAATTCCTAACCACCCCTCGCCCCTGCGTCCCTGGCGAACGGTGCGTGTGAAAGTGACATGCGTCCACTCGCATTCGGCCACTACCATAGTGCATTTGTTTGCGGGTCAACTGAACTGTTTGGCGTTGGATGTTTCGTGTGTGGCCATTGTGGCATTGCCTGGCCATGAGTGGGTCGTATGTATGGGTGGACGTGGACGTGTATGTGTATGCATGTGTGGGTCTGGCATTTGCCGCTGACTGACTGTTGCTCTTGCTGGCTGGTCAACAATTATCCCTGTTGCTGTTATTAGCGCAATTTCGTAGCAATTATTATCGTTTAAGTGTGTTCACCCACGCACATAGAAGTGCACGACAAAGGGTCAGCCACACACGCAGATACACCACTCCACCCCAACGACTACTGATGGTTTGTCCTCCGAATTGCTCATTTTTATGCATCGAAATGTTAGCTAAGTGGATTTGAATGCGCGACCAGCGTCACAGTAAGTTTTGTTTGCGCGACGCTGTTGTTATTGCATTTGTAATTGTTGTTGCCATTACATTTCTGCTACTGCCCAACAAGTTGGTTTAATCCGAGCGGAATGCTAAACATTCAACATTTGTGCCATGCCATTGCCATGGGCTTAACTATTTTAAAACCGAAATGCGACAAAATCGTTGCTTTGGGGCTAATACCCGTATTTGGGACTTTGTTCGGGCAACATTTTTTCATTTATTATTAATAAGTGTGCTGATGCAAACACTATTTCGATTAGGAATATTTATTCATCCGATATCTCTACAAGATTAGTTTTCTAGCATTCCCAAATTTTATTTAAACTACAAAAGAAGTTATAACCCTATTTGTTGTCTCAATATATGCTTTATTTTAATTAAAAAGTATTTACAGGATTGCCTCTATTCCTGTTTTTATCTATAAAGTTTGTCTGCAATGCCTATATCGGCATGATATATGTTTTATCGTTTGCGTAGATTATTAGTTTCCTACCTTTAAAGTCTTATTCCGTACAGCAATACTAACTAATTGTAATAATTTCTAATCTATTTACATAACAAGATTACAAATCCATATATAAGTAACCTAGTTCATTTTGTATAAGTACTTGAATTAATTACAATATGATAGATATTTACTGGAGTAAATTAATTATGTTTACTTAAGATTATTTAAGATTACAGATTAAGATTTGTTTTAACTTTATAATTTTGTTATTTATTTACTTTTGTTCTTTTCACATTTGATGGTAGCCGTTGGGTTTTTTAGCAACTTTATTAGGTTAGTTAGATTGATTGGTTGTTGATTAGAGTGGATTGACATTTTCGAAGTTAACATTCTTAGGAATTCGAAATAAACAGTTTAAGAGGATGTGTTGAACAGAAATTGGTATGCTTTTTTGGCAGGGTGTGCAATTGCTTTTTCTAATGTGACTAAAAGGTGTTCTTAAGAGATTTTTATATGGCCTACTAGTGATAATTATTCCGCATTTCTTAAATGGCAATAGAAATTAATTTGATTAATCGTAAGAAAATATTAAAAAATTTTATACATTCCCGTGGCTGCCATTTAATACAGTAAATATACGATTTCGTGAACTGCACAGCTATCAGATTCGATGTGGCACAAATAGTGAGCTCCCCTTTTACAGGTGTACTCGTTTACTTGAAAAACGTCAATATTGATGCGCACCGGTCTCGCACTTAGGCTAAGCCAACTTTAAATGGTACAGTGTTTGGATTTTAGGCCACACTGCGTGCGATCTGAAATTCAAATATGGCCACACTGGCCATTGCTAAACGCAGCTAACCGGAAGTCGGCCATTGTGGCGCACACTGCCGTCCTCTCCGACGTCGTTTTTTGCTCGTTTGCTTGCTTTATTAAACCGTTTTTGCGATGCTAAAAGTAAACAAAGGCCCACGTCATACATTGAAGACAATGCAAGGACCCAAAAACAAAAAACGAAAAAGAAAAGCCAAATAAAATACGCATAGAAGAAAGGGTGAAGGGAAGTACAAAAAATGTCTGTACGAAAGTTGCAGAACGCTATAATAAATATTTGCGGTAATATCGGACGTTGCCGGCTGGCAATCCTTTAACTGACTACGTGGACAAGGACGATGATGATGGCGTTGGCGATGGCGGTTGGCGGTGGCGGTGGTGATGGCATTCGCCCGCTTTCCCTATTCTTGGGGGCTATGTGGCTCAAGCCTTTTGGCCTTTTTCGCAGTTTATGCCGCCAACGTTGTGGCTGCTGTGCCGCTGATGTAGTTGTTGTTGTTATTGTTGTTGCATTGGTGCTGTTGTTATTTTTATATTTGTTGTTGCGCTGTTGAGGTCTCTTTTTTGTGCGCTTGCTTAAACGAATTTTAGAGTTTGTTAGGTATTTCGTTTATTTTTTCGTTTCGTTACGTTTGGTTTCTTGTTTCGTTGTGTTTTGTTTTGTTTTTGCATAGCCCGCGGCATTTGTGGCGCGCATAATTGTGGCCACACCGACTGAGCCACCAACCAACAAAGGCGGCAACAACAATGGCCAAATTCACCATGGCCCGCAGCCAACTAACCAACCAAGCGACCAACAGGCGGCAACAATGTTAAGCTCCAAAACAAAGGCCAAAGTTGGCGGCCGCTCGCACTGTAAATAATTCGACGCCACTAAAACCAAATGCAGCCACATTAAGCAGTTGGCTTAGCCATATATGGAACACTCACACACACATACACACATTCACTCACGCGCACACCACATGCCCAACAACAACAACAACATCAACAGCAATAAAAACAAAACAACTTTCGTTAAAGTTCACTGGAGTTCGAAGCCATCAGTCTTCACCTGAGCCCTGGAACAGTAGATGGCCCACTGGACGGAGATGGGCGCCGGGCGCCTCAAGTGCTGAGGCACTCGAAACACTAAAATATCGACCGGCAGTAGCTACGAGTATAATTGACAATTTTGTTTCGGCCTAATGCAAAATTGAAGCATGAAGCATGAACGAAATGTAAAAACACTCAATTAGGTTAGCTTTGAAGAAAATAGTTTGCAAGAAAACGAATTGCAGATATGCATAGAATATATTTTCAAAAGTATATATTGGAACACCTCTATCGGGCTTGCTGCTGCATTTTTTAGTTTGAATAAGTAAACTGAGACATGTCCACATCTGGCCCTTCCAACGGCCACCCAGTGGCGGACAAGGGCGATCGTGGTGAACCTAGCTTAAGTAACAAACGTAACGACGACAACGACAGTTCATCATCATCATCGGCTTCGGTTTCAGAGGCAGATTCGAGCAGCTCGGAGGGAAGCAGTGGTGCCAGCAGAGCGTCGGGCTCCACAACAACTCGTCAGTTGGACATGGAGCGGCGCCATAGCTCCCAGCATCATTCGCATTCGCGTTCTTTTTCTGAATCTTCCGAACGTCGCCTTATGTCGCACGATTATCAGCGTGTCCGTCAGCCACAAGTACGTCGGCAGGCCACCCGTTGCATTGGTGTCTTCGGTCTAAGCCCCTACACCACCCAGCACAAGGTCTTTGAGTTGTTCCGCATTTTTGGACCCATCGAGCGTATTGAAATGATCATTGATGAGTATACACATCGCTTCCGCGGGTTTTGTTTCATTTATTTCATGAACATGAACGACGCACGCGTGGCCAAGGACGCCTGTACTGGTATGGATGTGGATGAACGCCGCATACGTGTGGACTATTCCATCCCTCAGCGTCCCCGCACACCCACATCTGGTCTCTTCATGGACCGTCGGTCGGGCTTCAATAATCGCTACCGTCACCATTATGGTTACTCCAACGGGTATTCGACAAGCTGGCGCCACCGAGACTACGATGCTTTAGCTTCACCTGACGACTTCCACCGCCGGCAGCGCCATGGCGAGCACGAGCACGAGTACGAGCATCGCCATCGCCAGCATCACCACAAAAGCAGCGGGCATATTCGGCGAAGTCGGAGCGTGGAGACACGTTCGCGAGGCAGTCGTCGTGAATCGCGACAATAATATCTTAAATAAAAGAAGCTCCTGCAAACCAAATCCTAACCAACTTTTCGCTGCTCCCAGCCACGACTGGACAGTGTTTGTTGTTGATTCGATCTAGCATTCGACCTTATTTTTATCTTAACATAACCGTAATCTACTAAGCTTAACCAGCAGCTAGAAGACTAACAGGACGAACACAAATATTTATGGAGTTAGAATTGACTCTTACATTAATTAACTTAAATTACAGAACTGTAGTGTTTGGCTCTTTGTTTGTAATTTGCAGTTTTAATAAAGACTTGGGTGTTTCTAATTTTAGCCTGAGTTTTCTATGATAATTTTTCAAAGGCGAACGGATTGTATATAAAACTGATTGCGAATTTCAAAAGTTTATTCTGAAAAAAAAAAAACAATGTTGAAATAATTGAATTATAGGCAGATGCTTTGACATGCCTTTCAAAATTAATGTCGGACAAACCAAAAAGTAATAGTCATTGCACATTTCTTTTGAACAGACCCCTACTAATAGACAATGATTTTTTTGGCAAAAAACTTTACGAGCGCTCGCTTTTTCACAATTTCCCATCTGCACTTTGTTTTGTAAGAGTCCCCCTGAATCACAAATCTCCAATCTTTGGTGTGTCTGCCATGGGCACCGGTTAATGCCTTGCCATTTTATTTTGTTTTCGATTGAAGGTCTGAAGCCGGGCTGGCCAATGCGCAGAAGACGCAAGCTACAAAGCAAACAAATAAGGATTTGTAAACAGCGGCGATTACAAAAGCTGCGCCCAGCACTCCAGTACATCGAAAGGCAGAAGCGTCAGTTCGCCAATCTGTCAGTTTGTCAGAAAAATGTGTGTTGAGCTGCAGTTGTTTTCCTACTTAATGCGAAAGTTGGTTGCCTCCTGCTGTCCGAGATGCTCGCCTCCAAATTTGAATGCAAATTTATGCCCCAACTTGTTTGAGTTGTGGGGAAGCAATCATGCCACACCATCTTCAGCATCGTAGCATAATTGTGTGTGTAGTTGGTGTGCTGGCCTTATTATATATATTGATTCAACATTCAGCTTAAACTATGCCCACAATGAAATTGACTTGTGACACTTGCATTTCAACTTTCACTCTCACTTGCAGGATCGGCCAAGCAGCTGGAGAACACGGAGCTATCGAACGGCATCGTTCAGGATGACCCGGAGATAATCGCACAGCAAAACGATAAAGTCGATATACTTTTGCATTGTATTAAATCATCGACTCGAGATGCCGCCTGGATTTATGGACAAGTGCTGTGCCAAATTATACGTGATTTAGTGCCACCGAATGAAATATTGACGAAGGTCATAAAGGAGTTTCTGGCTATAAATCAGCCGCATGGCGATGTTATTGCCATGATTGTGTATCAGGTGAGTGAATCGTTGTAGTGGTAGGGTTGGTTGTCGGGTTGGTTCGTGGGTTGTGGTGGAGAAGTGCTGGTAATGGTGCTAGATCTAGTTCAAACATGCAGAATGTCGCTGGCATTTTAGCGACGAGGAACGAGGAGGTGACTGTGAAGGTAAAGACATCGTAGTTGCTGGCAACCTTTGCTGCTCATCGAGCAGTCGTGCGTTCATGTGTTTGTCCTGCACGGCCCACCCATACCCATGAACCACACAGACAGGCAAAGTAAAGTCGCTTTATGAGCGTCTGTCTGCGGCTTGAGACCGTTGGCAGGGAATATACGAACGATAGATAGATGTGTCAATTTTACACTGAGAGCAAAAAGCAATAGTTCAACGAAATAGTTACTATTGAAAAAGTCACAATAAATATGTAGAAAGTTGCATTCTTAAGCAGTTAATTGGGCGACGGAAAGAACACAATTGCAACAAAGTTTTGCTTTTTTAAGCAGCTTCTGGATCTCATTTAAATAAATGCAAATAAATGCTTTTGTGTTTCCTCATTTTGTTTTATTTTGCATTCATTTATTTAACTTTCTGCTTTCCACGCAAAATAAACATTTAATTTTATAAATCCATCACTTTTTCGGTAGTCATATCTGCAGAACTATACATAACAGTGGGATTGAACATAGCCAAAAAATTAATTTCATGATCTTTAATTAGTCTGCTTACGATTGCAAGGCTTCCTTGCAGGAAAGCTGGCAATGGAAACTGCTTTTGTGTGAGAAATGAAATGTCTGAATTATTTTGCGTGGAACCGATATTGAACTGCTGATTCGATCTGACAGACTTTACAGTACAAGACAAGGCTTCCTATCGGATGCCATAGTTTTTTATTAGATGTTATTGTAATTGGATTAGATTTATCCATCTTATAAGATGTTTTTTTTTATAATTTTCATATATTTTCCTCCTATGTCGACAGTCCATGTGTGTTGACATAAATAAATTTTAAAAAAATTGATTAGAAATCAAAGTAATGCACAGTTCAATAATAATTTTATTCATGAATTTGTCTATTGTTATCCCTTAAAAAACAACTATCTTAACAATTGAAAACTAAAACCCAAACCTCTTCTAGGCATCTATTCTGTTCAACCGCCATTCAACTATTGGAGCAGTATTTGTCGCTTTTGAAGACGCTGCAGAATCGAAAACAAGTCGAAGATTTCCTTCGCTATTTCTTAGTATTTTTTTATGTGCATATGTGCGTCCTTCTGCGGGTATGTGTGTCCTGTGTGTGGGGAAGTCGGCGCTAATGCCTGGCATAGTCAGAAGTCGAAAGGGTAAAATACTCGAAGCCGCCGTCACCGCTGGCCACTGTCCATATGCTCTACACTACGTGCCAGCGTGCGTATGCCAGAGTGTGTGTGTGTGCGTGTGTGTGTGTGTGGAATTTTTGGCAGCTTGAAAATTAATGGAATTCATGGCTACACAGGCTGTGCCTGGCCCAGGTATGTGGGTCAGAACGAGTGAACGGCGCTGCCGTTCCGTTAGCTGCTCGAGGCGGCCACAGTGGTGCCATAAAATTTTTTCATTAGGTTCAAGGTTGCATATGTGAGTGTAACTGTGTGTGTGTGTGTGGAAATTAATAAAAACGAGCCTGACACTGGTTAGTTATGTGCGCCTGGTGGGCGTTGAACGCCGGAACTGTGGAGGCCAGCGAAAGTGCTTCATTTATTAGGCCAATCCTTGAATGCTACTCACCAACTGACAAAGTGGTGATGGCTTTTAAAAAAAATGAAAGAAAAAGGAGCTGAAATTTGCAATGTCATTTGCAACCCACACAAACGCAGAGACACACACACACACACAGGTGCACATTTCATTAGCCATAAAGAAATTGTTTGCCAACTGCCAACCGAGTTGGGCCAAAAGAGCGTGTTTCGTATTTTTGGCATTGCGAGTGCTGCGTAATTTGTTGCTTACTTGCAACTCTGAAAGCTCGTAGCTCTTTATAATCAAATTTAATTTCCGTGGCATTGCCACAACGCCAGCAAGCCTGCCCCATACGCCTCCTTGCCTGCCCTTTAGCAACGCGTTGCCATTGCCCTACTCATTTCGGCACTCACTTCCATGTGCCCGTCTTTGTTTAACATTTTGTTTGCTACTCACTGACTCCGCTCACTCATCCCCTCACTTCTACTTTCAGGTGTTTCGGTCTGCCATCGACTCCTCCTTTCTGCAAATGCTGCAGGACTGGCTGATCTGCACCCTGCCCACATTTCTGGCACAACCTGAGGAGCAAGGTGTCTGGGGTCTGAGCGTCATCTTTTTATCCGCTTCCATAAATCTGCATTTGATTAAACTATTTCCTTTGCTGCTCGGCATTGGTGCGGCAGCCACCCCATCCTCCATCCTAGCTCCAGCAGCGACGTCAGCATCAGCAGCGGCGTCGGCATCGGCCACGGTGTCTGTGTCTGTGTCGGCAGCCCCTCGTAAATTGGGTCAACACGAAATTGCATTGTTCGTGACAGCTGCACAAGATTTCCATGCGAAATTGAGTGGCGAGCAGAAGGTACGCTTTCGCGAAGCCTTCAGGAATTTCGAGCAGCATCAGGTTTATGCCAAGATGTTGGAGCGCTTGGGATGAGCCCAAACGAAACCGAACCGAACCTAACCTAACATAACAGAGATACAGAGAGCGGTAGAGAGATGGAGAGGCGCAGCGGTTTTATTTTATGGCTCCAGTTGGAGGCATAGCCAGGATCGTTCATGTGTGCAGCGTTCAATTTAAAGCGGCAGCAATTTCTCGTTATTTATCCCACATTTAATTGGAAATCCAGAATCGAAACGGAATCGGCGTTTAGACACATAGATGGAGAAAAGGATACTGAGACGGAGAAGGAGAGGCGGAGCTGGAGCTGGAGAGATAACTGCAACATCACCAACTTGCGACAGAGAAACTTGCTCCGGCAATGGTGGCAAGCGTGAATAACTAATTGCCCAACGCTCCAGACAAAGTTCAAGCGGCGGATGCAAAATGCAGGGCCGGATATGGCAGGACGACGATGTTGGCTGCACTTTGCCAGCTTGAACGAAAACTTTTTTAATAGCTCGCGAATACAAAATTAATTTATGCCTTACATTATGTGTAACTAATATTTAAATTATTGCAAACGAATGCCCCTCGCACTGCTTTCCAAAAAACTCCTTCAAAAGTTTAACGAGCCCGCAAACGGGTCGCCCGCAATTAATCCCTGCGGCCGTTTTCGACAAGACTCGCCCGCACAAGGACAACAACAACTACAGGGACAGGGACAACGGCAACGACAACGTCTCACGGAAATTATGTCTTTCTCAAATTTTCTTTTCAAGTTTTCCATTATAGTATTTATGATGCGGTCGCTTGTTAAGCGATATACAAAAATTCGTCTCCAAATTCGCTTCCCTAATCAATGGCTAGCTTATATTAAAACAAAACATGCACTTAACAATTCCATTATGCGAAATTAACTTTTATTCTATAAATTGATATTCCAATTGTACTCGGTATCAGATTAATTGTATTATTCAAAGGCTTTAACATATAATAAAGTTATTATTCGGACAACACAATTGTGGACATTTGTTTTTCAATTATGAATCAATGGATTTTCTAATGCCGAAGAATAAGACTCATCAAGAAAGTCTAAACAGTGACATAAAGTCTGGTATTTGGAAGCCAATTACTAAATTCAGTAATATTTTCAAGTTTCAAACTTAATATACCCTTTTTAACTTTCGGGTGCAGGGTAAAATAAGGTAAGAGTATATCGATGCGAGTTCGAATGATTGAGGACTTCCAACCCAGGTACTTCAAGGCTTGAATTTGTAACTTTTGACGTCTTTTAATGCTGCGGTTAGTGCAGAACAAGTATAAAGGTAAGAAATATATGATATGATATCCAATATATATTCTTCCATACGTGCTGATGTTCTGCCTGCTCTAGACAATAGTAGCGACAATAGCTAGTCGCAAAGAGAAGACATTCTTTCTTTTGATTTTCAGTCTTTTTTGTTATTCATTTCTACTTGTAAATAAGTTTTCAGTGAACGCCAAAATCAACTCTTCATTTGATCAATTAATGTCGCTAAAACTGACTTACAGGTATATGATGTAAAATAATAAGCCGTAACCACAATAAATGTAAGAGTGGTGTTCATCATTTTTTATTTTATTTTTACAAAATACATAAATTTGTTGAATTAAAAATGATGAATTGACTAGAATCAAAATTTAACTGCCATCACATATTTAAAGACTTCATCAAAATCATCATTATATGTCAAATAGGCAAAGATGATTAAGAACCGACCGTGTCTATTAGTCCCAATGGAAGGAAACGACCCAACCCAGACCTAAATGAATTCATTTGTAGTTTCGTTTTGCGAAAAATGTGTGGCATGAGATCTGAAATAGAGCAAAATATTGTGCCAACGTATAATAAAACACCAATTCCCATGGTATCTGTCGAAATTTTCAATTTTAATGTTTGAATGCAAAATAAATCTCAACTAACCTATGCTCCATGTAGCACAATATAATTAATTGTGAAGCAAGTGAATGTACATACTTGTATGTATGATTAGTTTAAAAACAATTGCAAACAATTATAATCTCAAACAGAAAATTCACGAATTAGGTGCTTATTTTTTATATACATAAATCTGTTGAATTACATAAATAATTAATAGTGAAATGAAATAAATAATTACTTAAGACTAAACTCCTAGTTTAAGTTGTAAATAATAACATTAAAATTAAAGTTTTATCAAAAAAAAAAAAGTTGAATTACAAATGATGAATCTGACAACTCTATTTGGTTTTGTTTTGCTTAAATTGCGCAAATGAGATAAGAAAATAATAATGCTTCATTAAAACTATGATCAAGTCTTTTAGGAAGTACTAAGTGAGCATGAGCTGAAAAAATTAATTACATTTAAGCCAGATTTACGTACTCGTGGCAAATGCCTTTTTCAACTTATTAAAATGCGCTTTGTATTCACTTTTGAGTAAACAATAAGAACACCGCAAACATACACATTTGCATTTATGTATGAATTTGTTAGTCTGAGCTCAGTGCAAATCTGTTTAAACTTTTGCACTCCTACCTGCTGATGCATGTAACTTCTTTATGGCTGCCTCCTTCGCCTCCTCCTCCTCCTCCTGCTTATTTTCGTTTTGGAGTAAAGCGCATTAAGATTGACAAAACGTCACTCGAAAAGTATCGAAAAAGTAGTTGGCTGAACGCAAAAAGGTAGAATAAAAAGATTTCCAACAACTTTTTGGCTTATAAGAGCTGCATCAAAAGTGCTGCCAGAGCCTTGCTCGGCTCAAATCGGCTGCCTCCCTCACTGCGTGTGTTTGTGAGCTCAGAAATTGACAGATCAACTTTTGCTCTGCGTGCCTGTGTGTGTGTGTGTGAATTTGCGTGTGTGGGCGTGTTGGTTGTGTGTATGCAAAGCTTGCCGGAAATTTGCCAGTTCAGCGCGAAATGGCAAAAACTGTGCATACACGTACTCGTAAGAAGGAAGGAAAGAAATGAAAAAGAATGCAAATAAAAGAAAATGAACTGCAAAGCTGTTGAAGTAGTTTTTGTGTAGCACACTTTTTCGCGACCGCATTATGCAATCAAGCACAACATCCTGTGGGTGTGTCAGTGTCAAGACGCCTTTGTCGCCATTATGGCACACGCCAACAGGCCATTTGGCCGTAGTTTCGGCCATAAACACAAACATTTCGGCTATCAGCATTTGGATACGCTTCATTTGCTCAAATAACTGTAACAGCCCAGCGCCAGCCATAGTCTTTGGCTTGTCATTGTGCCAATTATGCGTGAGTGTGTGTGTGTGTCTGTGACTGACCGAGCGGAAGCAGCAGGCAGGCAGGCATGCAGACACAGACGACCGCTCTCCAGGTGCGCCGAACAGCAGACCTGCCTGACCTACGCACAGCAGACGAATGGCTCGCAGTGCGACGCGTAGGCGGGTCGTCGCAGCTGTAGCACAGCAAGAGCGCGCATGTTCCATTGCCGTTTCGTTTCAGAGTGTATGCGTAGAGTGGCGCTCTTGCGCTGTTAACTACAAACTCACCACTTTTCGGAGTTGCGCTCTTAATTGCACAGCCGCCGCTCTTCGCTCTCGCCTCTTGCAGTAGGTCAGTAGTGCGCCTGTTCCATTGCTATTTCGTCGCATTACAGTTCATTGCAGCCAGTAGCAGCAGCAGCAGCAGCCAAAAGTATGCTACAATTTCCTAATACAACATTATCTTTGAAATGTACACACCGACGCACACAGGCACACACGCATACTCACACACACACGCACACACACGAGCAGAGACGACAACTGTTGTTACACTCGCAGTTATGATTATTGTTATTATGATAATGCCAACTGCTGCGGTTGTTGTTGTTGTTATTGTTTAGCTATTTGCCCAACACTAGAATGACTTACCCAACCAAAGACGATGTGCCCGATGGAGCGTGTACGCTTTAATAGCGCCAATAGTTGTTTGGTTTCGAGCCACATTGCGCACAAAGAGGCGAAGGCATGGGGCATGAGGCAGGAGCTGGAATTGGAAGTGGAGTTGGAGTAGACACTCGGAAATCGATATGCGGCCAGCTGTAGATTTTGCTTAGACGTGACGCCCACTTTTGACACCTGAGCTGTTTTGTGTACGCAGACGTCGACAGCAACACCTTTTAACAGCTCATTTGAAATTGTAATTACATTTGCCAGCGTGTGCTGAACTGACGAGGCTGTCAGCGACTGATACGCATTAATTAACAGCTGGCCCATCAACACCCTCCCTCCCCCACCACACACTACACTTCCCTACACCAACACACCACGCCAGCGCCCACGTGTAGGAAGTAACACCTGAAGTTTTTGGCTTGTCGCTGGACGCTCGCTTATTAAAAATGAATAAATTATGCAAAGGTGCGCGTAGGTAGACAGAAACTTCAGCAGGGGGCATAATGAATTCAACGCAATGTCTGTTGCCACAGACTGCAATCAACGCTGACAAGTTGGCGGTCAGAAAGTATAAAATAGAAAGTAGACGTCATCTGCCATCGGCCAACGGCTACGGCCATCTGGCGACCACCGTGGCGCACCGTCTGACTTCGTCTGTTGCCCAAAGTCAAGGCGTTAATGGAGCAGGAGCAGGTTGAGGGCATGTACAAAACTAAGTGTTGTTAGTTTATGTCAAAGCCGGCAAGAGCACTCGACAAAAAGCAAACAAGCAAACAGAGTACGACTACCACACTAATACACTAACACAACGGCAAACGCCAGACCTCCGATGATGAGAGCAATTGGAGATGTACATCCGACGTGATCGGTAATTACATAAATTATGTGTTTATCCGTGCTTTAAATACTTATATTTCCTCATGTGATCAAACTCAAATATTTATTTATTAGTTCCGTTCATTTAACTCTTGTTTGCTTCTTACAACGAAAATATAAATAGTCGGACATTTTCTATATGCATATGCATATATATAGTATATTAAAAACTTTTAATTTGTTTTCAAAGGATATCCATTTTTTGATGCAATCGATTAGTCTTTTTATTTGTTATAGGTTTTCGAAATTCGTATACCCTGCTTTTGTTAACACTAGTTAAGAATTGAAATATAAAAACAGTCGATTTTTTCTTGATTGTTAGATAATTTCCTGCAATTAATGATGTCAAATAATATCCAGCAGATAGGGGAGCTTTATGTTTCGAATAAAGCGCTGAATGTTTCCTTGCACGGCTACAGTCGATGCTGCCTTCTACAATCGGATTTTTACATTAAAGATGAGAAAATAGCGACTTTTTCACATCACTTGACTTACAGGCTCGACCAGAGGCTATGAAAATTATCGTGAAAATGAAAGAAAACTTTCTGGTTCCTTAGCTCCCATATTAAGAATTTCTTCGATGCTGTTGGTTTACAATAAGTTCTGCTTCATGATATGCATGTGTGCCTTAAATATTTCTTGCTGAAGCATGTGAGGATAATAGTGATGTGAGTTATTGCTTGCTCACGCGTCCAGCTCTGGCATCGGCCGCGACGAAAATGAAGCCAAAGCCAAAAGTGGCACAGCAGTTCGATGCAGCGCAGCATGCCGCAAGTGGTTTTCCTCTGGTGTTTACACGACGACGTCAAAGATGGCGACATGCGGCAGGTTGAGGAGGGGAGAGAGGATGTGGGTGAAGGATGAAGGAGACGCCCATGTTGATGGCGACGAAAGGAGGCGGCGAGCCAGTCGCAATGAGTATCAATGAATTTTGGCAGTGCGTCCAATCGGTGGTATCATGAAAGATGGCGACGGTATTGCCGGCACAGAGCCGGTTCCTTGATATTAGAATAAATAAATGCATGAACGACTGTATAAATGAATGCAAGTTCGAGTGAGTGCACAAATCCAGCCAGATATCGAGCCAACTGCCCTAGATATATACATACAAGTAGATATATGTCAGTAGGAGTGGGAGAGTGTCTGTATTTGTTTGTGCCTGCGACGCCTGCGGGACAACGCAATATCCATGACAAGTATTTCAATTTCACGTTTTCTGCATCACTTGACACTCATTCAAATGCCAGCGGCGACATTTATTTGCGCATGGCAATAGTTTGACATTTTTTAGTGATGGAATTCTTCAAAAATAAATAAATAAATTCGCCAACCGTAATCACTGGTTAGACTAGCGACAGCCACTTAATATGCAATTTACACTCCCAATTGAATGCGTTTTAAATTAATTTGAATGATAACTAAACAAAAACTATATCTCAGCATGCCTGTCAACAATTATCGTTGAAATTCCTTTGTTCCATTCATTTGTTATTAATTTCATTTTAAAAAGACAATTTGTCAAAGAGGATAGAAGTACAGGGAGTTTATATTTAACAGTATAGTGCAGAAAAAGGAGTTAAAAACTGTTGAAATTAAGACGACTTGCAATATCAATAATTAATATGGAAGCCAGATATAGGCATATATACTAGGTTAGCTTGATTTATCAGGTGGTTCGCCATTGGCAACCCAACCCAACCCAACTCGGGAATTGAGGATCAGTTTGGAGAGCGATCGAAAATAATTTTGCAGCCTCTTTCTGGAGTGAGCGCAGCCCGTATTCGTTCAGGTACTGGACAGTGACTGAAGAGGTGTTCCAGGGTTTGATTACTTCTTGAATTTTTGGCAGGTTGTAAATCAACATTCTATTCTTTGGAGTTGCAGGTGTAATTGTGTCTACTAGTGCAAATAGTGTTTTTTCACTGCTTGCCAGCCTGCGGCCATTGACAGCCTTAATTTTCAACAAATTCTTTAAAAACCATGTTAATTCAACATAAGTATAGTATATTCAATAGTAAAATCAACAAATAAATGATCAAACATGATTAAAAATTCCAAGAATTACGCCAGTGATGGAAAATCACAAATAGCGGGGGAGTGGGAGAGGTAAGAAAACACACTTGTACTGCGTATTCATAAAAAGCATTATAAACTCTGAGATCTAGCTGGGTATACGAACGGCGTCTCGGAAAATGCCAAATAGCGAGGAAGTGGGGGTGCATTAAAAAAATCAAATAAACTCGTTTCGTGTACACACATAAGGCATCAAGCATAAAAACGAAATATTTACTTAATCTGCAAAATACATAATATGCCAATGGTTTGGGGAATAAGCTTGTTGGGCCGAACAAACTTAATTACATTGAACATTGAAATATTGTACTGAACTGGAATATAGGAATATTGTATCAAACTTTTTAAAAAATTACACATAATTGTGTTTTAAATTCGTATATAAATAAGCCGAGAGGTTCTCAATAGGATTGACTTGGCCATTCATGCTTTGGCTAATACTTACCGATGAATTTCAGCATTATTTTCCTACTGAAATGTCCGTAAAAGCCCGCAACAACAATTTTTAATACATTTACTTGTACATTTGAAGGGCACATTTCTTCACACATCACTTGACTATAGAAAGCAAATAATAAAGGTTAAAATAGTTTCATTTAAACAAAATGTGTTCTAGTTAACAAATCTATTAAACACTTAAGTCGTCTCTTGTGAATATGCGTCTTTATTACTCAGAAAAGCCTATCAAATAAACGTTTATAAATATATGCTCGTTATCTAATAAGTGATTAAAATTGTTTATTCTTGTTTGTTTGCTTTTTATTAGGAATTAAATGTTGTCTTCAGTAAATAATATGCGTACTCCGATGTTTTTCACAATGGATTTATTGGACAGTATTCATCTGAATCACAATTTTCTGCTGTGGCGGATTCCACAGGCTTTGCAACTTTTGTTGGTCAATTATATTCACATCAAAGGAGAAGTTGTGTTTATTTTATTTCTAATGAATTGTAAAACCTTTAATTGCTTCACGGTTTCGGCACAAATCACAAATAAATAAATAAATGCTAAGTGCACAATCAAAATGGAATCGGCTTGAATTTAAACTTCGCTGATAAAGGCTGGGGACATCCTGAACCTGGAAAAGTATATTATGCAGTGAATTAAAACTAAACACGCTTTTGGATAATCTTCCTTGGTGAGGATATTTATTGTGACGATTAACTTGTATCTCTACTCGTACATTCACTTAATTTGTAATGTTTACACAAAATCGTTTGTTAGCTCTAAATCTAAGCACAATTAAACAATAAGTTATGTTTATGTTTTGGGCCGCTTGCAAGGACATTTGGACATAACAATTAGCGTTAACTAGGAGACATTTACTTAGACTACGCAACTGGCAACTGTACAAAAAGGCGCCTAACGGGACTTAAACCAAATAATAATACTCGCTTGAAGCGCTAATCAAATGTTTACATAATTCGTTGTTATTCTTGTGCCGATAACTTGAACAAAACTCCGCTATTCATTCATCCGTGGGTTGCCGTGCCTTAATTAACGGCACATGCTCAGCCCATAATTGCCCGTATTTAGGCAGCCAGGACGAGCTCGAGGACAGCAATGAACGCGTTTTGTGGACCCACAATTAATCTGAAGCCACTGCGCCTCCCTTTTAGAGGTAAGAACAGGCACAGCCGGTCTGGACGACCGACCCCAGTCAATCACTTTGGCAACATTTCGATAATTCCAGCCAACGGATAATTCAGATGCCGTCGCTGTCGTCGCTCAGAGGCCTGTGGTGGAGGTGCGAGCACAGGATGTTTTGCGAGGTGGTGGCAAATCAGATGTGTAATTCTGGTAACGATTCGAGCAGTTAATGGCCTGTAGAGAATAAGAAATAGCAAATGACGGATATAGGGCATAAGTTAATGCTAAAAATACATAAAATAAAGACAGTAAATTGTGGCCGTTAGGCCAAAAATGTTTGATTAATGATGCGTTTCTGATGTACCCCTCCCACAGCCTATTGTCTGCCCATACCTGAGCATTCCCTTATTCCCCCGTCACGGCACCGCTACCATATCGGCCATTGTGCCTGCCGGTGGCTTTGCATTTGAATGATTAGATTTGATTCAGTATTCAATTATTTAAGTTGTTCGAGGTGTCGAAAGGCCAACAGATAACGTGGAATGCCCGCTCCCTCATCCTCTAATCGGCGAGGACTTTTGCATATAAATGATTTATGAATTTTCGCATTGATTGAACTGCCTGAAATGGTTGATTAGTACGCCCCCATATGAACGAACAACAATAACAGCAACATTGAGTTCCGCAGGGAATGATTTGCGGCCTTTTTGCTACGCATTGTCTATCTGCCTATGAGAGAGTTATTATTTGATTATTTTGCATCGCTCTATCTATAATAGTATGTATGTGTGTGTGTGAATCAAAAAACATCGGTTTGTTCGAAAATGATAAACTAATCAGGTTCAGAACTGCGCTCTGGTTTGCCAATTCCGAGCCATTTGTCAGGATAAAAGCGGCGCGGAAAGTTCTCATATTTATGCTGGCTATTTGGAATACATAATTCAGAAGATCTAACTCGCCAGACACAGATGTTGAAAAAAAAATGAAGAAATAAACGAACAAAGCTAGACACCGTTTGACTAATTGTGTAATGGAAGTGCCAGTCAATCAAACAATTAGTCACACATGTACATATGGAGGTAACGGAGAGGAGATCGGGCCATATGTGGCCCTAACTTAGCCTAGACATTAACTAGACTTTCGCTACACTTCTATAAATAAAAGTCTCCATTCCTGCTACTCTCAGCCGGCAATGAACAATACGGCAATTTAATTAATGCAATTAATCTAATTTAATGACTTGACAAACACATCAATTAGCGAAAGGCGCACGTCCAGGCGCACCAAGTCCTAGTCGCTCGCATAGTGGAAGGCAATTTATATGCAAACTGTCGAAGAATAGCAACAGCAACAACAATAACAACAGCAACAGCAACCATCGACAAGTAATAGCGCGGCATAAACAGCAGCAACAACAAAACAAATTAAAATATTAAAATTAAGCCACAAAATGATTGAACGGAAATGTAACGTAAAAAGCAACCAACTCAGCCAGTAGAACTCAGTCGGACTGCCCCGGCTTGTCCCCAAAGTAATTAAAAGTAAGTAAAGCCACCAGACTCGGTCTCCTGAAGGAATGCTCTTTGGGTTCGTCCAAGGTACGTTCCAGTACTTTGCTCATTCTTTTTTTTTTTATTTAAATACCACTGACAAAGAGATTTAATGCCCAACGAAAGTGACTTGAATTGGAATGAGCTGCAAGCCTTAAAGTGTGAACGGCGAGTCCCAAGCACTGTGTTTTATTTTTTGTCTGTCGGCCACTGACCAGACCCAAGAAAAGCTGTGGGTTGTTTTACGCGTGGGTGACGGCACCGCCTTAAATTTGCATACAATTCTGTACAGAAAAGAATGTCCGTGATTTTCTTCTCTCTGCGTCTTCGTCTTGCAGCGCCCACTAATTTGGGAAAACGCGTCTTTGTCCTTCGACTTTACTTCTTCGACAGGTACTCGTGCCATCAGACATAGGAATCAAAGGCCGGCAGGTAAAAAGAGGGATAAAAGCGAAATAAGTTAACACATTCTTGAACTGAAAGGTTGCATGAAAGTATTATGCATGTCTTTTGATGTGTGATTCAGTTTAAGGTAAGTTTCAGAAAAGGTTAACTAGGCTTAGATATTTTAGTTTCCCCATTCGAATGTCATAAATTCCAGTAAACAATAAATTTATAGTTTTTCAACTAAACGCGAAAGCATTGATGAATAAAAACGAAAAGTATCTTTTATTTGAGCCAAAGGACTTTATACGTTTGCGGCTTAGATTTTTATAATTTGAAATTGCCAACGAATTTCATATATAATTTATTAAAATTACAGAAGTACACTAAATAATTGATTAAATACGCGGTATATGCATAAACTGCAACGAAAATAACTTCAAGTCCAGATTTTCAAAAAATCTTCTTAGATGCATAAAATATAGTTTAAAGCATAATACGATTTTTGTTGCAGATACAACCATGGCTGCTATCTCAGAAGCCAGAAAAATTAAAACTTGAATTTTCATTTTTAATAATTCAACACAGAAGAAAGAAAATATTTAGATAAAGATTGAAATATGCAACTTATGTTTAAAAAATAATGTCAAAATAAATTTATTTAAAATATATCCATTATAATATATGCATTATAATGATTTTTATCCCTTACTTTCGACATAAATCTATCTCTACTCTATAAAATCTGTTCTCTATATTTATTCCCGGGAATATCTCTTAAATTAAATTTTCTCCTACCAGGTTGGAGAGTATTCTCTCTTTTTTTACTTCTGGGGTAATTTAAATAGACATTTGTTTATTAGAATTAAGTTTTCTCCTCTACTTATACTATTTTTTTAATTTGGTGGGACTATAACATCTCTGACCACATTTAGCTGTAAATTAAGGCATAGCTGGCCAAAGGGCACAAAACTTGTCGGAGGCGGTATTACTTAGACATTGTTGCACATTAATTTTAGAGGCTTTGTTATCTTAAGTTGATATTATAACGTAATATTATTCTTTACAATTATTCATCTCATTTTCACAGTTGATCTTAAACCTTTGCTCTAAAGCTATTGCGCTATAGTTTTTAGTAGCGCGATGAATCGGACAATATCTTGTAACTGCGTGATTTTCTAATAGCTCTTTGTTTTTTATATATCATATTTTATATATCAGAATTTGTATACAAACGGTCAGTTTTCGAAGCTTATGTGTGTGCTTGCTTTTTATTTATTGTTTTTAGCTTATCCGTGCCAACAAGTCAATGGTCTCACGAATGAAGAGAAATTGTGACACGAGCAGTCATCGCTGCCTTCCTTTCACAGTTCAATTCATTTTTTCGCTGCAACAAAGTCAACTTGGAACGAGTCCCCCACGCGGGGCGGATCTATCATAGGGCGACCTGAAATCATTCGCCACTCCATTAAAAACAAGCACGACGCGCAGATTGTTGTTCTTTTTTGCTGTTGCTGGCCGATCGGCGAGGCTAAAAATAACTATTTATAAGCAGCATGCCTGGCCGACGATCTTCCACGATCTGACTTTTATGGGCGTGCTTTGCCTATTTGAAAACGTTGAGTAAAATTATTTATATTGCCCACGCGTCCACTCGGCTAAGATTTCTTCTTTGTTTTTTAATGGCCCAACCGGCCGCCCTGCTTGCTATCTGTGAGTGGCCCATGCGGCGTATACGCGTTTTTCGCAACTCATTAAATGGGATTTTTCATTATTGTTTGCCCATGCCTGCCCAAAATTAATGGCTTCAGCTCACTTTTCGTTTTCGTTTTGTTGCTGTAAATAATTAAATTGTTTTTCTTTTCTTGGGATTTGGAATTAAACAATTAAGCGGTTTTCGATGATGCGCAAATTAGAAATGTTCAAGAGCGGAAATTGAGGCAATCGCTTGATGTTTTTATATCGGAAAATTATGCAAAGTAAAATGTATTAAATTAAATACATAATTATAGCGAAATTATCTCACTTTATAAATCATTTGAGAACTGGGTCGTGCGTGCAAAAGTGCACTTAATCGCTCACCCATTATAGTATCTATTAATTATGACTATACTATATGTATATATAGTGCACACACAAACATATGTATATACAGTTGGGCACAATGCATGAAAAGTGCTTCAACATCCGAAATGTTGACCGAGCACTTGCCCGTTGAAAAATAAAATTCGCAATGCAATTGTCAAGCTCTTCAAGAGCACAGACCATTCATTCCCCACTTCGCATTCCCCCCACTACCACCCACTATCCTCCACTCACCTTGTAGAAAGCCTTGCGAAAATTGTCCGAGAGAAATGCATATAGCAGTGGATTGATGCAGGAGCTCGTATATGCCAATGTGTGAGCAACAATCTGCAGGATGACGAGAAACATTGTATCGGCGTGGTAAGCATCCAGCGACTTCAACACCAAAATCAGCTAAAACGCGCAGAAAAAACGTTGAATATATGTTATAGGCTCTTAAAAAATCATGCAAACTTAAGAATTACATCGTGAAAAAAGGATGAGTAGCAAATTTTATTTCTTTCATAGGTAAGAGTGGCATTTCTATTGTAAATGCAGCTAACATTGGCAACAACAAATTGCGACATTTTATAGAATATTATTATTTTCATTGTAGTGCGCCATAAAAGTGCAAAAACGTCACACGTCACGTTCATTTATAGCTACTTCTACATAGTTGGTTATTGCCACTTGCTAACAACATAATAATTCCAAATGTCAGCTAACCAGATAGTTGTTGGCATTTCCTAGAAATATCTTATTCAATGAAAGTCGTCTTTGGTTATTCAAAGACGAACAAGAAAACCGCTACAAAGTGGCTTAAAAAACTGGTAGCCAATTAATTTTATTAAATATTTTATATATTATATATATATTATTTACCTAATACCTAAGTGCTTAGACTTAAAACATGAGAGAACGATACAGTCAAGCAAGCCCGACAGTGAAATACCCTGTACAGAGACAAACTTCTGGCACTGAGTTATATACGCCCATAGCAGAAGCTAAAGGAAGAAGAAAGGCGAACCTGATACTGCCTAATACCGGAGTGTTTCGCTAATAACTGATAAATCCAGGAGTTCATCCAGTCGGATGGTATAAGAAAAGAAGAGAAAGCTTCATATTACCGAATACCTCTTACCTGTATGCCTTAGCCTTATCGTAGCAAATCCAACTATATGTTTATAAAAAAAAAAAAAATACTCAAATGGCAATCAAATATACATATGTACTTATGTGTACACCTAATTCTGTTTTTACACACTCTTTTTTAACACGGTTTAAAAATTAAGAATTGCATATATATTTCTTTAGAGATAAGGAACCAATCACCCATTTTTGCATATGATCATTGTCTTTTTTACACGGTTGTTTCTACCGTGTAAAAACAGAATTAGGTGTATATGTAACATATTTTGGGCGCAATATGCCATTTCATTGTTAAAAATATGTAGGTATGTTTGCATTTACTGATAGAAGTCTGTATGTTGTTTACTAAGTACTATATACTTTCTCTGCGGATTCCCTACTTAAACATACATAAAATATTCTAATAGAAGTGTGTACTATATGTTGATTAATAAGAAATATACATTTTCTCTACGTAATCCCTACTTAAACATACATAAAATATACTACTGGTTTTTCTCACTCACCTGCACGGGCAGCCAGAGGGAGGCGAATGCAATGACCACCACAACCACTAATCGGGTGACTCTCTTACGGCCGCGCTGCGACTCCTTTGACATTCGAACGCCACTTCCTTGTCGCCACAGTCGCATAATCATGCGCACATACAAGCCGCTGATGATCATCAGGGGAAGCAGATACGAGCTTACAAAGAAGCAGGTGTGGAAGGTGCGCCTATCGAGAATCTCGTTCTCAATGAATTGGCACGAGGCATATGTGACGTTTTTCTTGATATCGTGCTGGACCTGTAGGGCGATGGAAAAATACAGCACACATACATAAATACAAGCATAGGCAGTCGTATGTCACTTTTTGTTGCGGCCTGACAGTTACAGGCATCATAAATAAAACCAGGAATAGTAAATCTACAAATAGTTGGACAACTAGAGCGCACCCCTCCCGCCCCCTTCAGTACTCTTCAACAGAGTGCCGCTGAAATATCGCTGACAGATATGAAGTTGGGGACTACAAGTATAGCTGTGCATCTCTCTTTCGAAGTGGCAACAGGTTGGGTCTCATTTTTCCATTTGTGACGCTCGGTCGAGCCATTGAGTGGCCTCCACGTCTGCTCATGACGCACCGACTAATTGTTTGGCAGCACATAAACTGCCACGCAACTCGTAAAAATATTTTGCCCACTTTTTGTTTACATTTTTTTGTTTACATGCGGCCCAATTCTATTTTAATAGACAATACATATGAACACAGACGCGTATAAAATTATACTAAAATCTGTAAGGCGAAACAAAATTAAATAGCAAACAAAAATTGTGGTTTATGTGTTTGCCTTGATTTCTGTTGTTCTTCAAAAAACATAAGCGATGGCATTTTCTTAAAAAATGTATTGGTTAAACTCTTCTGTGAGCACAAGTTCTTTATAGCCGAGACAGACAGCTGCCAGCCGACTAGAAAAGTCTGGCAAAAAGCTTTCGATTTCCAAGCCCTTTTAAATAGTTCTCTCCCTACAAATTGACATATTACATTTATTTATGAGTGCTAAGAAAGTATAACTATTATTTATTTTTACAAATAAGTGAGTCTTAAAAGAATATTTATGTATTTTTGTTTCTTCTAATGTGCTTTTCTTGTTTTAACTGCAGACTCACCATGCATATACCCGCATATTGGTATTTATAGACCTATGTATTAATTCGGGTATAACACAAAAACCAAATGACCCAACTCAATGGAAGGGTCGTGTGCTACGGAACATATGCAGCAGCTGTCAATCAATGCCATGGTCACGACATATGAAGCAGCCTTCGAACGCGTGGCTCTGTGATTATATTTTATCGATTTGGAATAACTACACAGACACACATGCAGACAAACACTCATTCCCGACTGCTGTTGTCATTATTACTGTGTATTTGCATATGTTTTGTTATGCAATATAATCGGGCAAATAGTCTGATTAGCCAAAGCTGATGAATGTGAAATACTCTTTGAATTCAAATGCATTTCAATTGCACCCTTTATCTACGTAGCTTACACAGATATATGTTACCAATAAACATGAATATATTCAACTATATATAAGTTCACAGTTAAAATTAAGGGAGGATATTTGATTACCAGATATCCATGTTTGCCTTTTGCCAATAAATTCTGAAAGTATTCTTAAATTTTAAAGACATCAAAAAAGTAGGAATAAATTTCAAGGCAGAAGGGGAAATATAGTATGAGTACTAGTAGAATGTAAAACTCTTTAGCGAATACTAGATTATTTTACACATGCCTTAAACATTTATGCGAAATTAGTGACATTTTTCATTAATAAAAATACCCCTTTCAAAATCTATTTAAGAGATTGGTTGACAACTGCATCAACATAGTGCAATTTTAAACAGACATTTTCTATTTAATTTTAAAATGTTTTTATTCAAATGACTAAGCGGTAACTCTTCTTTTTATAAGGCTCTTTTATTCTATTTCTGTAACTTTATAGTATTATTGAAGCACCCACAATTCTTTCACAGCGTCAGCAAATGTTCTCTAAATCGATGGTACAATCCGATTGCTCATTTTTGCAAGTATATGACAACAAAATGTGTATTGCAATATGCAAATAATTAATAGCAAAAATGTTAATTAACATGTTGATCAAACATGAACTAATTATGCGTTTTATCACATGTTTTTCTTTGCCTTGTATAAGCACAGATAATGGAAAACTCACACACCCGAAATCGGGTTGCCATTTCGCTTGTCTAATCCGCAGGCAAAACAAAATAAAGGGGCGACTGAACAAACAAATAACGAACCAAATACCTACACGAGCGTGTCGTGAAAAAAGGAGCGTGAAATGCTTTATAATAAAATATCAGGTTACAAAAGCAACAACAGCCGAGCCAATGGACCGTTTTCATTGATAAAGGCGCCAACGGCGATAAGATACGTTTAATTACACGCGACTATTCGATTATGGGCCTGGAGCTGGAGCTGGGGCTAGGGCTGGAACTGTACAGCAAGAAAGGAACCGTGTTTATACTCGTATGTCTGTGGTGTGCGTGTATCAAACAAAAAATGCTATAAAAGCTGGCAGCTAAATTAGTCGTGTGTATAGCATGCCATAATGAAGTGGGACGAGAAAGCAATCATGTCACAATATGTACTGATAAGACAAATCACAACTAATGGGGACAACTTATGACGTTGCTAAAATAAACCTGATATGTATATTAGGCGAAGAACGGCTGCATGGAATACATATTTCGAATGGCTAATTGATTACATATAGTACATACAAGTATAAGTTCGATAAAAAGTTCTTAGTCTGCTGTCATGAAAAACCTAGAATTTTATAAGTTCTTAATCCATTAGAAACATTTTTTCAACAGCACTTAATTTTTTATACCACTTGATTCTTGATTCTATGCCATTTTTAAGCAAGTCTGACATGGATTTGTCGGAAGACCAAGCATAAGCTTTGTTTCTTTTTTCTCTAATCCATTTTAAAAGGCTCTGCCTAGGTAATAAGATACTAGAAACTATAGAACAACTATCAAGCAGATCGCTTTAAATATTAATAGAAACACATTTGGAACAGAAGAGATTGCTCTCATGGTTCAAACAAAAAATTATTCCAGTGTTTAAACAGCGTTTGCTATATTGGCATTAACTTTTATTTGATTTATACGCATTCTGCCTTACCACATCGGTTTGTTTAGCCGTACAATCGCAATTTCTTGTAAACAATGCCCGGCGAGTAAGAACAAAATTTATATGTTATTTTCCACAACAAATTTTGCTGGCATTTATTAAACAATTAACTTGTTTCTCGCACTCTCTACATTGATCATAAAAACATTAACGCTCGGAACACCTCTCTACAAATCTGCACATATATGTACTATACATATATACTCGTAAGTACCTATAGTATGTATGTAAGCAGATGCGCAAAATCAAGGTCGCGATCTCAGATTTATCATACGCACTGTGCGCCCAGCGAAAGATATGTAAAGCTAAATTGATTTACGATTTCACAGCTGATATAGTGCAGATTTGCAGGGAAACTAAGACGCACTCAAAAACTGAAACTAAGAAACCATACACGAGGGTGGGCCGATAAATTACTGAACATTCTATCAAATAGTGACTGGATAATTTATAATATATTTCTAATTAGTTTCCGCTTAAATAGCAACTAACTTTTTACCTTTCTTTTGGGCAAAAATTAGTTATCAAGATAAACCGATGACTAATATATGTAAATACTTGAACTCCTATTTAGTATATAGTATATGCTTTCTCTAGAAATGATGGAACATTTGAGCAACAGAGTTATTTAGTAACCAGCATCTTTTGTCAGGTTGACAAGTTATAAGTATTTCTAAGAACAAAGAGCGGACTTTAGTTGCTAATATGTTTAGTTTTTGAGCGATGAGGAATCGCTTGGGGTCAACCAATTATAGCACGTATAAGCTTTCAAAGTGAAATAGGTTCGGAACTATTCTAGGAAACGACTGAAATGGTTATTTTCCCATTTCTTTAGAGTAAGTCATAACTGAGTGAATGCCCCAGGAAATTACTTATGCCGCTGCCCTGATATTCGAAATGTTTGAGTGGGATCTTTTGTTATTTCGCATGCCCACGTTTCTTTGGCAAATGTTTCTCATCTCAACATGCCATATAATAAAATTGTACGCTATTTAAAATAGCGAATTTGTAACAAAAACAAAACAGGCGCCCCCATTTACCGAAAATCGCGATATAAAGATGCGAATTTAACAAAAACAAAACATACAGCCAGAAATGGGCAGTCATGGCCAGGTGTAGTACTTGTACATGTATTACGATCAATCAGATATGGGTATATGTAGATCGGGTACGGCTGCTCATTGACGTGGATGCCGCTATATTCTAACGAGGTGTCGATGATGGAAAGCAATAAATTCGCCGGTCTATGTTTTTCGCAGCACATTCAAAGGCGCATCAGACGATCGGCCAACCAACTAACCATCCAACGAGTACCCCCTCTGCCTCAACCCACAACTTACCAGTACATTATGGGCAAAGATAGCTGGCAACGAGACGGTCAGCACAACAGTCCACAGCGTGCAAATGGCAATTTTGGTGATGTGCTCGGTCCGTAGTTGTCTCGAGCGTATGGGATGGACTACGGCCAGAAAACGATCGATGGACATGAGGACGAGCGTGTAGATGGAAGCGTAGGCCGTCACACAAATAAGATACTGGACTGTTCTGCACCAAAGGCGGCCAAAGGGCCAATACTGCATCACATAGTCGACGGCTGTGAAGGGCACGCAGAATATGACGAAAAGCAGATCGGCAACAGCCAGATTGACAATCAACAAGTTGGTAGTCGAGTGCATATTCTTGTTTAGCAGCACGACAAGTATGACGAGCAGGTTGCCAAAGAAGCCGGTCACGGCAATGATGCCAAAGCAAATGGGCACCAACACACGCACCACCGCCTCTATGCGATCATCATCTTCGCTCGACAGGGCGGAGGTATTGTTGTTATCCGTAGATGCCAAATCGGTTAGATTGATGGACACGGCAGCCGGAAAGGTGGCATTTAGAGGGCTGCTGACATTAAAGAACCCGGACAATGTGGTCATTGATTGATCGGTCCAGCCTTCGACTGGCAAAGTTGTCATATTGTTCGCCATTTGCGTTGTCTTTACTTTTAGCTCTCGTTTTCTTTTATTGATTTTCTACGCGCACTTTTAATTGGTCGCCAACGCTCATTAGTTTTCATTTTGTTGCACAGCACAGAAATGTTTTTTCATTTTCAGTTCCTCGAGTTTGTTTTCACTGTTCGTTGGACTCAAATAACAAATTTCCAATTAAAAGATTTTCACAAAGCAGCCGCAATAACGACAACGACAACGATGACGACGACGAGAACGAAATCGAGAAAAAAATTCAATTATCATGAGCAATAATCCAGGAGCTGAGCAGCTCTGTGTCCGAGTGAAGGAACCCTCCAAACAGTAATGGAGAGGCGACAACACGTTGTTGGTCACGAAACCGTGTGTAAAAAGCAATTTGAGGACACAAACTCACACACACACACACACATAATGCGGCACTAACGCGCGATAAGGCCAAACGATATTGGCTGTAGCGGCTAACGGTAATTGTAACAAGGTAAGACAACAACAGCAGGACAGCTGCCTTGTCCTTCTGCCTGACCAATAAACACGTGCAATTTTCACTCTGCTCCTACGGTTCTTTCTAATGGCAAAAAAGAGGACATCCTGCAGGCACAGGAGGTGCCCTGAACGTTGTTGTCGAGACAGGCCGACGTTGATGTCGACGCCAACGCCAACGACGATGCCGATGCCGATGCGGAGGCGGATGCCGACGTCGACGCACAGGTGAAAGTGTGTCACGCCCTGCACATCCTTTTCGGGTTTCTGTTGTTGCTGTTTTACTTGGGGGCCCAAGGAAACGCTGCACCCTCAACGCAATAAATTGTTTATGATGTCTTCTTCATGGCCCAAAACAACAACAAGAACAACAACATGTACGACAGCTGCGTGCGAATGTCTTTTGGTTTCGGTTCTTTGGCTTCGTTTACGTTTTATTGACAAAGCGTTGGCATAAATTTGGCACGCGAGTCCTGTCTAGAGTCTATAGTCATCGCCTTGACTTCGGCCTCTCTACCATACGACAGCCTGGCGTCTTGCTGCCTTATCGTCGTCGTCCTTGTTGTTGTTGCTGCTCGCACATCTCAAAATCGCAAACAAAAATACAAATATCATAAATTCACTTTTGGTGTCGCCTTCGCCTTCACTTTTGGCTAATTTCGTTGCGAGATGACGTTTATTAGAGCAGCGGCACCGACGACTGTGGAGTTGTGCGGGCTCGGGCGGGGCGCGGGTGTTAGCTTATGAGTTTTATTAGATTTTATTATATATTTTTAAAAGAGATTTCAGCTGGCATTTGGCAAATCGAATCGGGAAAAAATTCCAAACTGCACGCGTTCGTTTCCAGCGCACAACTGATTGCTGCCAAAGTCGAAGAATCCCAGAGTACGCACACCAAATGGCAGAGACGGTGGCAGCAACGGCAACGGCAACAGCAACGGCAACAGCAACAGCGGCAGCGACAGCGTCGCCACAACAACAATAACTAGTCGCTATGTGTGTGTGTGTGTGTGTGTTGGTTAGAGTGTGTATAAGTGTGTGTGGGTAGCGCTGCTCATCAGCATTGACAGGCAAAACATTGTTGCCCTCGCCTTTTAGCTGCTCACATACTTATTTGCTCAGCTCTGCCTCAGTTGGCCAAAAAATTGGATGACGCTGCTTCAACAGTTGGCACTTTAGCGCTCTTTAAGCAGCAGAAGCAGCAGCAGCTGTAATAACAACAATAACAACTGCCTAAAAAATAACAACGAAACATGGCCGACAACATTTGGTTTCGGTTTTTATTCCTTCCTTCGCTCGATCTCTCAGTTGGTCGCCGTCTGGTGACAGCTTCGCCATCGTACTGCACAACATGACGTCCTAATGGCGTCGGCAGCTTAGCTGAATGAACTGTAAACGTTGTTGTCGACGCAGCCGTCGACAGCGCTGCCGACTGCGCTCCCTGTGCTTAATTTTACTGATTAACTGCTCTGTGCCAAGCAAAAAGCAGCCAGCACAAAAAACAAACACACACACCCCCAACTGTTCACACACAAACACAGACACACACACACACATACACATTTGCATGACGAGCGCTCAATGAAAGCAGCTACCATTCATCCATCCATCCATCCATTCATCCATTCATCCATCCAGCCAAACTGACAAGCGTTTTGCCACCTACGCTTTTTTATTGTCTGCCTTGCCTATCTAGCAGTTCCTATCTCTCCCTATGAGGGGCGGTCCAACACATGAGCCGTCAAAATGGACACATACTCGTAGGGTTAATACTATTACACCTTCGGCCCTTAGGTTGGCTACGTCATAACATAACATAACCACAAAATGGTAAAGGACACATACTTTGCCTGCACAACGTCTTATCTGGTTAGACAGTTAGCCGTATATTCTCTACACTAGCTGGCAAATGTTTACTAATATATAAATACAAGTAGTACTTTAACAGTACTTAATAGGAACGCATTTTTTGCGGTTGTGTTGGAAATCAAATTAAATAATTGCTAGTCGTGTAATTTGAACGCTTTGGGAGTAAAAGCATTTCTCCATTCCTCGTTTTAATTTTCTAAGCCTTGCTATCCATCTACATATGTGATGCTAACGAAATTCAGTTAAGTTTTTATCCCGTGACAAATAAATAAATTTTAGACCGGCCAAAATATTTTACATTTGATTATATTAGTAACAGATGTAATATTACTAATATAATCAAATGTTTTTTTTAAACAGCTTATCTACATGCACGTGTAAAATATTTTGGTCAGTCTAAAATTTATTTATTTGTCACTTGGCATAAAATCCAGAAAACAATAATAGCATTGATGAAAAGTAAATTTACATACAATATAAATAAATTCCCCATTTATGGTTAATTGGCAGCAAAATTACTTTATAATTTCACTTGAGTCTAAAATAGTCAATGGAAAATTAAAAATGCCCCATGAAACGCATTTCATAAAAGAAGCTTACTACTCCAATTATACACCTTTGGTTAGATTTGTCAAAAAACATATGCCCGACACTGTGCATCAGTGTTTATTTGCGTAGTCCTCAGTCCACTGGCATAGCAGCGCCATCAACAGCCCCTAAACCCCATTTACATGCTTTTTATTGCCGTTGCCGGCGCACTCACCTGTCACTTGCAGGTAACATCGTCGCCGGCGTCATAGTCATAGTCACCGTCGACGGCGACGGCGACGACGCTGTCTGCGCCACAGTTGTGGCTCATCAAAATGGCGACTAAGCTCGTCCCTTTGGGTTAGCGCTGATGTGGACCACACTTCAGTGCGCTTGTGACGACGCTGTTGGCGGCTCAGTAGCTGCGCCGTCGGCAACAGCAGAGAAACAGCGACAGCTCCACAAGCTGATGAGATTAAAAGCGAATTAGGCACCGCATTAAAGAAAAAAACAAACTCCCTTCAAAATGGACGCCTGCGAATCTGTGCAGATCTCATGAAAATTATGTTTATTTAATGTGCACAGCTGCGGACTTAATGAAGTCTTTAATTTTTAATGCAAGTTCATTGCCTATTTTCCATGTATAGTACGTCTGCCATTGTGCTTTGCAGCACACTTTGCATGGCCAAGAGTTTTTAGACCAAAGACAGCTCGGGACTGAAAAGGATGCTATGTACATAGCTCGATTTAATGATTTAAATAGCAATAAATAATAAAATAAAGCGTCATTTATTTCACCTAAGGTGTCAAATGCTTAGAAGTGTATCCCATCGATCTACTTATTAACATCTGGAATTTAACGTCCTTCACGCAGTTCGAGACGACACTTACAAGTACATCTTAGACTTCATGTCTCGAACAGAGCATAATTAACTCAGCTGCCAAAATACGTCATGTCATACATTATATGGGTTAATTAGACAGTTTAGTGCAATAACTACCTACAACAACATTTAGTGTGAAGCAGCAGCCAAGCGCAGGACTAAGTGGAAAATTAAAAGCCTGATTCTGGATACACACACTTCACATAAATTAATATGTGAATGAACGACAGGCAACCAGGCAAACAGAAACGTTTCAAGACTCTCAACCAGACATACACACACACTTACTATATACTCGTACACCGCCTCGAGCTATAACCTTCAAAACATTTGAAAAGCGCACAGAAAGGAATCCCACACTCCAATACGTACAGAAACTGTTTGAAGCATACAATTTTGTTATGCCAGAAACTTTCGACGTGATTGAAATGCTTTTTAATTTTTCATAAAAATCATTTCATTGTGGCAAAAGAGGAAACTCAGGCACACACATACGAGCTCACACACATATGCATGTATTTATATGCGAACGTGTAAGCATTCCAAGGACGCTGAGCTAAACCTTTTCGTATATACTTAAATGTATGTATATACGGGTGCATATGTGCGCCTCAATATTTTTAGCTTAATCATGAGGTTCGACAAACACGACAGCATGGACGGCAATCCAGTGTTAATAATACTAGCACAGTGGAAATAAGAACGGTAAAAAACTATTCAAATTAAAAATGCATAGTAGAAAATATAAGCAACGTGGAATTTATAAAACTGAAAATATCACTAAAGGACAAAAATAAATACAAATAAAAACAAACAAATAAAAACAAATCAATTGGAAAACCTAAATTGGGTATCTGGACTTTAAAATACTCTATACCTGTGCAGAATAATTATAGAAATTTTAAAAAAAATTCAGAAAACTGAAAAAGTAACGAAATGTGCTTTAGAATTAGCATGTGTACAGTACAGAGCTGAGCCAATACACTTATACACTTTTACACTGACCTATAACGATGAAACCTAACATACGGACACATAATCATTAACTGGAATGAGTTGCAAATGAGAAAAATGGCATACTATGTTTGATTGTTGGGTTTTTTTCATAGCTTGTACCCAAAGGGTGAAAGGCTTTAGACCCCATAAAGTATATATATATATTCTTGATCAGGGTGACAAGCCGAGTCGATATAGCCATGTCCGTCCGTCCGTCTGTCCGTCCGCCCGTCTGTATGAGCGCAAGGATCTCAGAAGGTACAAGAGCTAGAATAACCAAACTCGGTATGCAGATTCCCATAAGCCCTAAAATTAGGTAGCTGCATCCTGTTAGTGATTATGCCATGTATGCCTGTATGCCATGTTTCATCATGATAGGTCAATTCTGAAGAAGTTATAGCCATAAATAAAATCGCTGCCCATGCTCTGCTTGTAGCGCTGCCGGTAGCTGTTGTTGTTGTTGCTGCTTGGGTTCAACTTTGTGCTGCATACATACACGCATATAAACACGCAGAGACACGATTCTGATGTAAATGTATGCTGTTGAAACTGTACATGAATTGTATTTAATTAAATAATTTAATTAATTTTTTTTTAATTATTAAACAAATTTTTTTTTTTCCTTTTTGGTGGGAGGTACAGGGTATTTAAGAGTTGAGCTTGCTCTACTTTAGCATTCTTTTATTGTTTTTTTAATGATGTTAGAATAATTTCAGTTTTAATTTTTAAAACATATTCTCTGATATCTTTTTCCATACATTAAAACCACTGTCCGCAGCATCGCTTTTTCTTGACGGCTGAAAATGATGGATTATCGCTTTTTCGTGTCGTTGCCATGTATTCACGTAATACGTTTCATCCCGTTTCAGGGAGGGCAACAACACCCTTAGCCCTGGTGAGTCCATTATGTCTACTAATGGATCTGGCGCGCGCAAACCTTTTTCGCCCAAAAAGAATTAATATTTGTAAATCGGAAAATCCCAAAAAGTAGGCAATACGAAGGCAGAACAAAAGACGACTCTAAGCGCTTTTTTACGCCTCGGACAAGCTGCGAGCAATAGCTTCAGGGTGGGGGCTGTTGAATGTTGGAAACTTGGATGTTTTTCTATTTAATCATTCAAATTGACTTTTTTGCTGGCTCTGCTTTATGTTGTGCGTTAATTTTGAAATCCTTTTTTAAATTCCGCGATTCTTTGCTTTGTAGCGATTGCGGTATAAGTTCTTACCGCCCCCACCCCAGCCACCCACATCCCCACTTTCTATTCACCTCTCCACTAATTTGTATTTCGTTCTTCTTTTAGGGTGGTATGGGGGGTGGGAGTCTCACTTAAAATACGCAGAGTTCGCATTTGGCTTTCATTTTGCCATTTTACTGAGCGCTCGCTTTCGTTTTTAGTTTTTTAATCAAGATGTTTTAAATGCACGCCACTGAATGATGAATTTTTTCTTTTTTGATTCTTTTGAGCGAACAAAGGGAAAAAGAGAAAAGTGAAGGGCAGTAAACAGAAACTTTAGAGTGGTGGTCAGAATTGGGAGGAGAGGGCCATGTGGTCAGCCAGCAAGTTGGGCCCGCAAGAATTATGCAGATAATAAAATGAAATCCTCAAATGAATAGTCAACTTACTCTACGAGTATGCCACCCTTTTCGTGCTGGTCACAGCCCACTTTTGATGTTGTTGTTGTGGTTATGGTTGTTGTTGCTCTGCATAATTAAGGTTTGTCCTTGAGTGGGCGCACTGCTGTTTATTCAATGATAGCGCAACTTTTTCACAAGGTACACCCACACACTATACAACAGAAATTCAAAACTGACTAGTGCAATGAATGAATGAAGTCCGATAAGAATTCAAGCTGCTTAAGAGTGCCTAAAACATGTCAAGGACTGCTATTGAGCAGGCATGCCATTGTCTCAAGGCAATAGTGGTCCGAAAGCCATAGGAAATTAAAGCAATTGTACGATGAATGAAAATTAAATCATTTCAAGTGCTTCACTGCTTTATTGCCATCTTGACTGTTGGGTTATAGTCGACAATCAACGCACTTCTATAATTTATGTTGCCAAGCGACCACTTTGCGGTGGAACTTTCCGACGCACTTGCAGGTGGAAACAATAAAATGGCGGAAACTGCAGCAGCCATTACTTAAATGAAACTAAACGCCAACTGCCGGCAACCGTCAGCCAGAAAACAGCCGCCCTTCCCATCCCCCCCATCATCAGCCCGAAGCCAACCGGCCAGGCCAACTTGTTTAGACGCCTGTGACTGCGACCGCCGACTGCCGACTACCGACTGCCCGCCCGTTATTTTTTGTTTACTTTCCCCTTATTTTGTTTTTATTAAATGCTATGAAAAATGTGATTTTTACGCGCTGCTGCCCGTGGGCTAAGAGTCGCCTGTTGCCTCAATACGGCAAAAAAAAATCCGTTGTCGCGCTACGGGCCTCTTGTCTCTCCATTGTTGCATTGTTTGTCCGCCTCTAGAGCGGAGTTGTCTCGGCCTGTCAACTTTTGTTGTTGAGATACAAAATTAACTTTTACGCTTTATTACCGCAGCAAAAAATGGCCAAAGAAAACAAAGCTCAAGTTGCTCTGCTCTGCCTCACAGTCGTATGCAGTTCCCTTTTATTTATTTTCTTTTGCAATGCAACGTTTGTTTTTTCTTTCTTTTTTTTTTTGTTACCCATTTCCGGCTGCCGGAAGCGCGCTGGTGAACCATCAACTCAATTACATTTGCTAGTCGCCGCCGACAGAGGATGACTTTGATGTGCCGGGCCGGCAACAATTGTAAAGGCGACGAGCATTGTTACCAGTCTGGCCAAACGTCTACACTTAAAGATAAAATTGTCTGATAACTGATATGAGAATATATATTTTTAAATACCACATAATCAATTTCAAACAACTATAAGCAATCCACTGTAATTTTCATCCCAAAAATTCAATCAAATATGTGGCTTGAAAAGAGAACAAATAATTGTAAAAAACATTTATCAGATGCTTATACAAAACTAACTTTTTTTAAACCCAAACACATAATCGTTAAGATATCATGAGTACCCGCCCTTATTTCTACAAATATATTCCAGACACCTTTCACTCATTATGAGAGAAAAGTTGCAAGCCATGTGCAATATCAGGTAGTCTGAGCCTAGACTGAAAAGTGACTGGGAATTCAAAAGTGCAAGGTTATTTTAATCAAACGTAAGATATAAGGGAGACCTTTTATTTGAATTTCATTCCACTTAATTCCCCTGGCTGTCTTCCCGGGCTACTGTGCCAATAAAAGTCGAGAAGCGGAAATATTTCAATTGCGGGAGTTTTATGTAACAGACATGGATTGAGCTTCACGCAATCAAATGGCTATATGTTATAACTCCATAGCAAATTCATTTTTTGGAAAGTGTAACTACTGGACTGCCTCTCTGACTTTACACTCCTGTGCCGGTCGGGTGGATGATGTTGCTAAACAAGCGCACAATACGCTCGCCATCCCTAGCTCTTTATCTCTAGTCGGCATTGTGTGTCTCGCGTGTGACGGATGCGACAGGAAGCGCGCGCCGTGCCTTGATAGTAGCGAGGAGGCAGAAAGGCAGCAAAAAAGTAGACCCAGGACTACCTTTCACCTTTGTGTGTGTGCAGCCCCATAATTTAGTGCTTCCCTTTTGCGCGTCTCCCTGGCAACCACCCCCAACGGCAACTGATACGCGAGTGTAATCTATGGCTTGCTCTGGCTGTTGCTGCTACCTCAGGAGCGGAAATATTTCACAAAGATTAGCGCAACATGCCAACATTTTGAATAGTTACACTCATAGGCGCAGTCCCACTCCCTACCTCACATTTACACCAAGACGCAGAGCCGAAAGCTTATTAACGAAAAACCGTTTATGTTTGAGTCTGCATTTCGAGTGAAAATTGAAATGACTGCGATGGCGCGTTCTGGCGGCATCCGCTGAGTACTACCCGATTCTTCCGCGGATTGTCCAGGCACAGGCGCGTACTGCTATGCACTAGGAGTGTGCTGCGTCTGTGCCAGCGCTGTAGGGGTTTCTTTTGTGCACACGGTTCCAATGTCAATGTTGTGGGCAGGAGAACACTTAAGCAGAGTCCTGTGTTCGCTTGCAGGTGGCCATTCTCCCGGCGCAAGAACCAAGTTGTAATCCCACTCTGGTAACAGCTTTGCAGAAGCAGCTCCGTTTTTATGCCTGACGGCTCAACATGAAGGCATCTCGCGTCGTTGCGCAGTGTGCCCATCGCCTTTAATCCTTCATTCTCCAGCCTGCAAGGAAAAATGAAGAAATGCGTTATTGAACTTTAAATTTGTTAGGAAAAAGATCATAGCGTGGCTGTTCTCCCATTCCTTTTATGCTTTTTTAAAATAAGCTCTTCCAACAATAAGTCGTTCTGCTTCCCCTCCTACTATATTCAACGTAAGCCAAATGGTGATCGTTCTTCTTCATTTCAAAACGCAGCCAATGACCGATCTCAATATAGGTTCACCTCTCTATTATTGTATAGTACAATTATATAAATAATACATAGAAAATCGATCCAAATAGTTAAAGAAGTTATATTCCTGCCAACTCAACTCTATTATGAGCCTTAACTTCCACTCCCTCTGCCAGAGTTCATAACAAACATGATAATACTTGCATATTCGACAGATTTTAATGAAATTTGGATTAGAACGCCACAAATTTGGTCTGTTAATAAGATCAAGTTTAGTAACCCTACCTCCCATGGTAATTGGCAGTTGAAGCGTAATCGATGCTACACGATTCCTACACACAAGAGCTACTTTATACGCTTCCGAATGATTTGATTCGAGCACATGCCTCTGACCCTCTGTATTAGCTGAGCAATATAAATACTTATGACTGCTTTTGAAGCAAGAAGTTATATTATTTAACTAGGGTGTTGTGCCCTTACTTGAGCTCCTTCAGGACATGCCGCAGATACCAGTCAAAACTCGCGCAATGGTGCACCGTTTTCAAGTGATTTAGGTCGTCGACGGAGTAGTTCAATGGAATGTGTTTGGCTTCCGGTTTGAGTGCGTAGAACAAATATTTATATTCGTCCAGCCAGGCCTCGGCTATGATTTTTGAGTTTCTGCAAGCCAAAGAAGGAAAGCGGCATGCGATGTGTGTGTGAAAACGCATCGCGTGCCAGGAATGTTCTTATTAAAATGGACAGTCCTGGATAGCTGGGGTTCGACTCAGCTTGGCAGGCGTGGCCGGAAATAAATTGAAAAATACCAAAGAAGGGCGCGCATTTCACACCTACATGGTGATGGTGATGGCGACACGCACAGCAGCGGCCAAGTAGTCGAGCGGCCGGGAAGCCAACCTACCTACCACCTACCTCAAATATGTTGCCTGGGCACTGTTCACATCTCTGTCGCCAAGCACTGCCGGAAACTGAAAGGCATGGCTTCTGCGAAAAATATGTCCAATTCGACTGCAGGGCACGATCTCAATTTGTCCGCCACAAAGCCACAATTTAATGGCAAACTCAATGGACTCGCCGCCCCAAATCTGCAAAAGGAAAACACCAGCAGAACAAGAGGTTAGTCAACTTCTCTGTGGCAAAGGGTAAATTGTTTCGTGCCAAGCGGAAGCCTGCATGTCAACGCCAGTCGAACCGCCAATCCCACGAAAAACCAACACCCATACACCCCTAATTGACACTGTCAGCTGTACAAGTTTCCCCTGCCGAGTGCTGACCACAACACTACCTCGAAAATTGTGTGTCATTGTTTTTGAGGGCCACGAGTGGGCGGAATCCGCTGTAACTTCCCTCCGGAAGCAAAGGCGTTCTACACTTGACATTTGTAATTAGCTGCACTTGGCAGTCAGTAGTTAATTAGTCACTCACCTGTAAGTGCTGATTGAAGCCCTGTAGCTCAAGAAACCATTTACGCGAGATCATAAATATGCCGCCCGAAAAGGTTGCACTACTATATGGCCTTTCCAACGGCTCCTTGGGTTTGAGTATACGGGGCAGCCAATGGAAGTGCAAACTCCAGTCGAAGCCGCCCTTCAAGCGCGCATTGCCATGAACATAAGTCAGCGTTTGGGGATTGATGCGGTCCAGCACGGGACTGACTGCAAGTCTGGCGTTTCGTGTCAGCCGATCCAACAGCGGTTCCAACCAACCATCATTCACCTCACAGTGGCTGTCCAGAAAGATCAGATAGTGGCCACTGGCTATGCTGGCTCCCTTGTTTCGTGACCAAATCATGCCCATGCGCTCCATATTGCGCAGAAAGAGCAACTTTGGGGCGTTGCTGTTATCCATCCTCGATTTCAGTTCGTGCAGCAAACTTACTATTATAGAGCAGTTGATTAGTATTGATATATAATATATAATAATTTACAAAAATATGTTTCTATCTTGAAAAAATTTCTTTACACTTTTTGACTCGCATTTTACTTGGAATGCTTGAAATGCATAAATATTGTTACATTTTATTTACTTTTAGTTCCAATTTTTTAGACTATTTCGCTTGTTTTCATTTTATTAATATTTTGCTAATGGAAATAATAAATAGTTAGTATACCCTTCTCTGAAAAGTGTAGCATCTTTAGAAAAGAATGGTAGACCATTCGATTCTCTGTTTTTTTCTAAAATAAAATGCAATACTTTCTAAGCTAAATAAATGAATAAATGCAGAAAGTTTGCAGGAATACCCTAAATCATATTTGTTTATAATTGGCTGTAATTGTTCAACAAATTTTTGACCTAACCCACTAAAAAGTTTTATAACTAAATTTTAAAATCCCAAAAAATAAATAAATATAAAATAACGAGTATGCGTGTTCGGAAATCTAATATTCCCTAAAGAACCTCAAGAAGGGGGACGCAGTTAGAAAACCAATTAGGGCTTACATAATAAATAAAATCTGATGAGCTTGATTTACCGATTAATGAGACTTACCATCCTCGCTGTAATCATCGATTATGATTAATTCGTGCAGATAGTGTGCGGGCGTGCGTCTGACCAGCGATATAATCGTTCGCAGCAGCATGGAGCGTGCCTCGTTATGATAGCTGATGACGACACTGACCCGGGCGCGGAATGCCAGAGGCATTGCGTAGGAGCGTTTGTAGCAGCTGCAATGGAGCACAAGGCATTGTTAAGATAAGTAGTCGCCGCAGACAATCACGCCTAATGAGACCCACCTATCGGCACGCGTGTTTGGCAGCTGTCGCAGCTCACCCAAGAGATCGCTGCGCGCGCGATTATATTGATAAAAGCTGTCGGATCGCGCGGGCGTGTTCGCAATGAAATTGCGCCATTCGTACGAGTCGCGTGGATACAACTGCAATGGAAACATCTATTAGTACTACCACAGTAGGCACCTTATCCTTCCAGATGCTCACCCTGCGTGCCCTCACGTCCTCAAGGCCGCCAAAATGCACCAGGACTAAGAGTATCGTAATCTGGCAGATGACAAACGAAAAAATGCAAACAATTGTGCAGCGCAGCCGCCGTTGGAAACCCACACCCATTCTGGCATACTGGCGATCATTTCCACGCTTCCATGAGTAGCTCTAAACAGTATAGCAACTTTATTCAGACGCAAGCAACACAAAACTAAACCAGAAGGCTTCGAATGTTTCACGCGTTTTAAATAATTGACGATAACATACAAATTGACACACACAAGCCAAATTGAAAGTGTAGCAGATAAAGAAAGCACCGATAAGCTTCCGCGCCGAAATTCGAATGCTCTTTAAAATTCAAGGCATCAATAGTGGTATTAAAGCAATACTTCATTAGAGTTTGAAGGGAAAGTTGTGTGCCACGAACTTATATTTTTTTATAATTGTAAATATTAAATAAATAAATTTACAGAAGTAGAAGAATAAAATATTTAAAAAAAAATTAACATCTAAGTCAAAACTAGACATTAGAGCTTAAAACAACAAATCTGTCTCTTTTCAATCATTTAATAAGTGTTCCCTAGGATTCTAGAACTCTCCGTTTCTTTAAATATATTTGTTTTCTATTACTCCGTATGCAGTTTATATGTTTAAAACCCCAATTTTCAAAGAGTAGAGCACACTTGATCGGATAAATAAATAACTTTTGACATGTCCATTATTTAAACGTGATTATGTCGTCACCAAAACACACAAAACACACTGCCACTTGTTGATGTTGTTGTGTCTGCTGCTTCTCTGATTAGCAGTCGATAAGTTTTGGCAAACATACACTATAGTATATGTATTCTCTATACATATGTGTATTATAGTTGTTGTATTTGCGCGAAGCTCTAGGTGCTAACTGCTCAACTCGAAAACCTATCTATTTCGATTATGCACGAGACATAATATATTACTCACGAAGCTGTCATTAATGTCGGTAGCATTCGAATGTGGCTCTTGGGTGGTCATAGCTGAGTCGCAAGTAAGCGAGCTGGAAGACTGTTCGAGTTACAAATAGGTATCGACTAAAGAGCTTGTTTTGAGGCAGCAGCTCGAGTCGAACTGTGAACGATACGCCTGGCAATTTCGAAAAACCCATGACATCCATAAATCAATCATATGCTACACTACGCAACATTAATATTTTGACAAGCCTGTGAGGTGCGACTGTTTTCCAAACTACCAGTTAATTATATTACATCAACATCATTAATATAGTATGTATTTAAAAGTAACCAACGTACAAAATTAAAATAAAAGGGAATACAAATTGTTACTGTCCACTACTTTAGCTCTTTAAGCACACTATTTATTATTTATTAAGAAGTCAGATACTTCCTGAATTTTCATCTCAACGGAATGGATTAAAATAAACTCAAAGTTCGCTCACATTTTTAGCCGACCTTAGATGCTTTGCATTGTTGATCAAATAATTATTTGCTGCTATTATTGCTATTACAAGTATTGCTGCTGATTCCGGACGCACATTCAATTGCAGATTGTGAGACCCAATAAACCAACCCAATAAAAAGTAAGGAAAGTGTCAATAAGGGTTTAGAATGTAAAGAAATTTATGATGGCTGCTAAAACAGAAAAAGATGACGAGATGATGACGAAAAAGTATAATTAAAAAATAATAATCTTTGAAAAAGTCCCTATTTATTCGATATTGGAACTCAAAGTCTTGATCTATTTTCAGGGCCTATTGTGATCATCCCTGATTAGTTACGCTATAAATACCCATCCCATATCGGTTAATAGCAAATTCATAAAATAAAAAATTAAAGACAATTTTTTCTTTTGTGAATTCAGAAAACTCCTCAAATAGATTTCCTATCATTTTCCAGATTGTAGATTAAAAACTACAATTGCAGATAGTACATAAAAGTGCGTTCCCTTTATAATTCCCCCATTGGATGAAAGTTCTTATATTCAGGAATATTAGTTACTTAGCTAATCTTTTCAAGTACAATTGTCTTAAAGCATGCTTTAAGGACATTCACAAATGAAGAAACAAGTAGTACAATGAACTCATTCTAGTATTACCACTCATCGCCTCCCGGCACATTAATTAGGATCAATGACTCGTCGAAACGAAAGACCAAAAACAACGTGCAAATGTTGACGGCATTGAATTAAAGCGCAGTAAACAACCAAACCGCACACACAATTTATGCAGATATTCATGCGAATATGTGTATATATAAATCAGAGCAGCGGCTTCCCCATAACTACTGCTAATTTGGTTGGGAGTTGGCCAAGGTCTGCACCTCAGCGGCGTCTCCGATGACGGTCAACAGCTAAAAGCCAAAACAAAAGCAGCAAAAGAATAATATAAACAACAACAACAGAAACATAAGCGGCGGCATGTGCCGAAATTCCATCACAAGCGACGTTTTACGGATAAGACATTTGCATATTTTGATTGGACACGCCCAGTTTTCGTGGGCAGTTGAGCAGCCTGGACAAGCGATGTGTCTGTGTGGTTGCTACTAACAAAGCGGGGCATGTCCCGCTGAGCAGTAATAACAACAACAACAATGGGCACCGCGATAAATGACAAGCTGAACACCCAACTCACCCTCCCATCCATCCTCCTCATCCTCCTCCTCCCCAAACACCATTGCGTCAAAAGCGAGACTAGCCTATCATGCGGCTGACGTAACATGACGCGGCAAGGATTTTTACAGTTTGCACTTTTTGTGTGCCACCTCAGTGGTGGTGGTGGTTGTTGTTGTTGTTGTTGCTACTACTGCTGTTGTTGTTTTTGCTGTCACGAGGACTTTTTTAGAAAGCGGTTTTTAGTTGAGCTTCAGTTTTGTGGCACATTTTGCGCTCGTTGTTTTCTCTTTTATTTTTATTATTATTTTTATGTGCAGTCGCGGGCAATAAATCTTCATTTTCGCTATTAAAATGTTGTAATATTTTCGCTCGCCTTTTTAATGCCTTGCTGATTGTCCCTGGACGGGCGACCCGCGTACGAGTATACTTGTATACGCATATATACATATATTTTGAAAATGTTAGCGCCGATTTTAAGCGTTGCTTGGCTAGGCTCATAAATAAAAAATAAAAACCTGAAATGTTTTTAGTTTTAGATTCTTTTTTTATTTTGCGTACACGCCCCTACTTGGCGGTTTTAAATGGATATAAGCTTTTAATACAACCACGACCACTGCGCGCTCATTTATTTCCCACTTTAATGCGAACGCCTTTTGTTTCGAGCGCCTTTTACAGCCTTGCCAATTGATCCTTCAGCTAAAAGTGTTTCACAAAAAGGCATAACTTGGCTAACTTGGTGCATGGAAAGCTGCATTTTGAATTGGTAACATGATGGGTGACTGCAGACAGTCCCATTATCAGGCTTTATTCAGCGAGAACTCGGTACTCATCACTCACCCAATTTTCTCAACTTATTGAATTGGAATGCCAATATGTATCTATGCATGGCGCAATTGAAAGCTTGTAAGATGCTTTACAATTTGCGGCAATTTGCAAATTGCGTTGCCAACTGCTGCGCCAGCAAGTGCCAGGTGTGCATTGTACTCGTAGAGCATATGAAATATGACATTTTCCCCAAAATTCATTCAATATGCATGCACACACACACGCAGATAATGTACATAGATACACACAATACCTTGCGTGACTCGCATTCAAGTCAATCATTCAATTGGGGAAGAGCAACAAAAATGTTATATTTTATTTACTTGCCAGTGTGTATTTAAATAAATTATAGATACACATACAAAATAAAAGGAGGAAGTGATTTATTTGTAATCTAAAATAGTAGTAAGCCACAGGGCGCGTAAGACCTGCCTTAGTAAGTATTGTGCCATAAACATTTTTTACCCAACATATTGTAATAAGCTGATCAGATATTTCAATATTTCAAGCTTAGAGCAACGCTTAGCTTAATACAGACAACAAAGAACAACATTATTTACTAAACAAGAGCACTTCTTTGCCACGCCGATAAGGAATTTCTATGGTGCAGTCGTTATCATTAAGTTTACACAAATAATCGTACCCATTCCCGTAATTTAAATAACTAACAAAGACTGTAACACATTTATATTCTCGTCACCCCACATAGCTTCCGATTAAATGCAATTTATTATTTACCAAATAGATAATGATTACAAATATCGCAATTAAAGTCAATAAAATTAAATAACATTTGTAATACAAAAAGCTATGTCACTATATCACCCAACTTGACAAGTCATGTTCTGTTCACAGTCTTGTGTCATCAGAAGGAAACTCCAAAATGAATTTTTTATTATAAAACGGTGTGACGTGAGTTTACTTTAAGTATTCAAATCAAAATAATAAATCTCTTTTTTTAGTTCCTAAGTTCAAGGTAATGTATGCATTAAAGTCTAGCTCGATTGGACTGAATATTGAATGCTTGCTATTGGAAAATAAAATATATACAATATGGTTTGTATTCCATCACATAGCAATCAACAACTTGAGATTAAACAGGAATTCCTGCCACGCAGCATTAAAGCCAAACGTAATACAAATGCGTAACCTCATTTAAGGGCCAGCGATAAATCAAAGTGTCTAAAATGAAATACATAAATTTTCATCCTAAAAAGGCATTTGCGGGTAAAATTAACACGGCACCTCGTGCGACTTTAGCCCACGCACTCATACATTTATACGCACATACAAACACATTCATACATATGTGGCTGTGATTAATGCAAAGCGTGCAACGCGGCGTATGCGTAACATTGCTCTAGGCGTCTTTATTAATGGACGCTGATTTGTACATAAAACAAAACGCGCGTTAGAAAAAGAAAACAAGGAATAGAGCAGAAAACCTGGAGTATGCATTAAGTGTTGAATAAAAGGGGCCAAGATTTCGCAGTACATACAACAGCAAAAAAAAAACAAGCAGGGACTGTGTGGCTTGTTGCCCGACCGGCTAGATGAGACTTTGCCTGGCTGGCTCTTGTTGTTGAATTTGTTGTTGCTACACTTAAAGAGCAGCCTGGGCATTGCTATAGTCATTAAGGTGTAAATTATACTGCTAATTAGCCATTAAGTGGCAAAAGGAACCAGGCAATGGCAACGTTTAAGCGCAACGCCTCTCTCCTCCTCCACCGTCTGTACCACTTTCTGGCATGCGATGCTTAGAAGTTCGCTACAGCAATAAAATTTAATGAGCATGCATGCATATTAAATGTAAATTTAAGCTTTTTTATTATTGCACAGTCCCCCCACTGACCCACTGAGCTAGTAGTTATGAGCCGGCCAGCATGCCCTGCTGCTCATTACGTATACTACACAGGATGTCTGATTTGTGTTTACAGAATGCCCGGCCAAGTCAAATTGCAAATGTTGTATGCAACATAACAAAGGACTTGGAAACTTTAAAGAAGGTGCGCAAAGGCGAAGGAGACAACGAAAAGGGCAAAAAATAATCTTAGCGTTCAAATGTAGAAGAGACAACGACAACACACTCAAGTCAATAGTGTGGGTGGCAGGGGGGTGTGAAGGTACATGTGTGCGTGCATGACATACACAAAGCGCAATCCTTTAGCTATAATATATAGAGCAGGGTAGAAACAAAGCATAGAAAAACAACAGAAATAGTTTGAAAAAATATTGAATTCTTGAGAAATAAACAAAGTGAAGTGAAGAAGAGCGAGTGAGCGAGCGAGCGAGCAGACTACAGACTATTGAAGCAGAAAATCGAAAATTTATACAAATATGTTGAAAGAGCAGAAAAAGGAGCAACAGACAGAGAGAGAGGCGAACAAGCGCAGGAAATGTGCAGCAACAAAAGGAGCAGCTTTTCTCTATATACTTGTATGTGTGCGAGGGGGCGTTGGTATGTTTGCTGCAGCAAAAATTTGCATATATTTTCTGAGGGCATGTTCAAATGTGCAACGAACTGTGCTTGACTAGAAGACAGCGCCAGCCAGGACAACAACAGCGCCTGGCGTTGCAATCAAAGAAGATTCCGCTTACGTTTTCCCTCCTCCTCCTCCTCCTTCTCCATCTACTGCTTCTACTGCCTCCAGCTGAGCGTCTTATTCATGTCCGAACAACTTAAGACAAATGCACAGAAACAGCAGCTACCTCCGCGCAACAACTGACCCTTGAGCGAACCTGCAATGCACCCGAACTGGGCAACGCTTTGATTGCATTTAAGCTGAGCTCATGCTCTTGCCATTGCCATTGCTGCTGCCCCCACCTTCATCCTTTTAAAGTGTTCTCCAGCTTGATATGAAAATTGAATTTGCCATTAGAGGAAGCGAGCGATGATTTAATATGGCCACTGCTGGCCCACTCCATACAACGCCACAGCCCTATCAAAATGCATGTAAATTGATATAAGCTACCGTTCACACACACATCGTTTCACATAAGCACACCTACACAAGCGCAAAGATTCGCCATGCTTGTGTGTTTTTGATTGCGTCATGCTGCATAATGAGCTGCAGAGGCAACATGAGGCAGTGGCCCCCCGCTTGCCTCTCCAGCCTTGCCCCACGCGGCACATGAGTGACATTTAATTTGCAGGCGCTGCTTTAACAGCAGCTTGGCGAGCTCAGCGCGCTTATTTCACAAATATGAAAAATGGCGATAAATCAAGAGAAAATGCCGTATTTTCAATTACAAGAAACATTCTTTAAGCCATAGGTAAAAGATGACTGATTTCCTACTATTAATAAATGTGTTATAAACCTTATACTCCTGTGTATACAGTATTACTCCTTTGGTGCCGCGTCATTTCGCAAAAAAGATTATATCACAATGGCCACAAAGCAGGCTCACGAATATAGCTCAGTGTCAACAGCAAGTGGGACAGTCTCTCGGTAAACAATGGCTATTAAAATATTAATATTAATATAAAGTGCTTTTAATAATTAATTTAAAAGAAATAGCTTTTGTTTTAAACGCTTCAGGAAGCTGCTTGAGATACGAATTATTGTCATTCAAAAATGAAATTTATTTCTTTACTCATGCTTTTCAAATGTGAAATTGGATACCCAATGCATTGGGAAATCAAAATAAATTCAAATTCAACTAAAAATGATTAGCTTGATAAATGTTGCTATTTAAATTAACACATAAATATAATTCATCTTTGCCAATCCTATTGGACCAAATTAAAGCCTAGCTTTTGATTTATCCTTTCGATAGCTTCAATTAATACATTTAAGAATTAGAGAGAGCATTTATTTGTACAAAATATTTAATAAATAATTGGTGTGGAAATCTGCAACATGAAATATTTAAATATTTGCACGAAAATGTGTATACACGAGACTCTACATCAAGCAATTGCGGGCTCCTTAATACCAATTGGGCTACTCTGCCAAATTATAGATGTCTTTTGTTATTTTAGCGTTAAAAGTTTAATTTAAATATGAACAAAAAAAAGGAACGCTACTGTAAACACCAACAAAATAGACGAACGTTGCGTTTTTATAACGAACTAAATAATAATGAATACTTACTATAGAGCATTTATTAAGGAAAGATAGAGAGAACGTACAAAGGGCTCCGAAAGCGTCCATATATTGTTTTCTATATAATACAAATCAAGGAAACTTAAGCCCTCTGCTTGTAGATTCCTGAACAGAAAAGAAGTGGAAGAGCTAAAGCCCAGATTGGGCCCAGATTACATTTATGGCTATAACTTCCTCCAAAATTTGCCTATACTGATTCTAATATAACCAAAAACTTATTATATTATTTAGTTAGAAAAGTTTTAATTTACGAAATAGGTAGATTTTCCACTCAGATTCAGCATAGAGTAAAACATGTATGCAAAAGAAATCGACCATTTTTTAAATCTCGACTATCCTATTGCAGATATGTAAAATTTAAATGCTGAATTTCCGCCGGAAACTTCCACACCAAATTTAACAAAGATAAATAATTCTGTCCACCCAGATTGTAAAATTTGACACTGAGCATCATATACTACACATTTTACAGCTAATAATAAATGACCCAGGGCTGTCGTCAGCATTGCCTTTTTGTTTTCGTTTTTCCTTTTGTACACGTGCACATAAGCAAACGCAATGAATACGCACATCCTTTACTCCTTTCGTACACCTCGATCTACCCAGCGCTGAAAAGTCAGGTGCGTGAATCTCGTGTGCGTCGGCCCATAAACATAATGACCAGCAATTACGGAACGACTGACTTTGGGCAGCATTGTAAACACATGTCAGACGCGTTGTCAGGCTGGGTTATGCGCCAAGTGTAACATATTTTAAATAATTGATGTGCAAGCTGAGAAGGTTGCTTTACATCTAAGCTCATCCAGCGTTTGAAGGCTTAAAGCCTTCGGTCGACTTCAGAGACTGTCGGATGCAGATTGTAAAAATCAACTTCCAACAGCCAAGCACTTCAATTTCCGCCCGCCAGATGAGCGGCAAACTTCATCTCTTTGTGGTTGGCGGTGCTTTTTGCGGGTCCACCCGGTAGACCAACTTTTATCAAAGTAAATTAATTATCTATGTCCTTCGCAGCACGTTTCTCTTTTTTCCTATTACCGTCATCCTTTTCATGACGCATCTGTGTGGGAGCGAGCACAGGCACAACGTTGTTGTCTGAGCTGTCTACCATCAACGGCTGCTGCTCAATGACAGCTAGTGCTCAGCTTTTAATTCAATATTCAACTTCAATCTGTGATATATGCACCAATGCGGCTCGGGTCAATACATCACCCAGAGGGCTTTGGGCGAAGTGTGCTGCAAAAAAATGCAAATTCAAAAACAATGCCAAAATGCTTTCAAGCAACACTTGCAATGGCTTATGGCAATGAAATGTATATTAGGAAGGGGATGCAGTGACCGTGCATCCATCAAAAGTTTTTAATTAATACGACTGACGTCGCCGAGTGGCTGTCCCTGCGCTCTCTCTCTGCTTTGTACCGGCCAAACAAAGAGTTTCCATTTCAGTTGTCTATGTCCAGTCCATCCCCAATGCCCGCTATGTCGCTCGATTGTGTGTCTAATATGCTTATCCCCTAGCGTTACTTTTGTAATGGAATTCGTCATGCTGGGCAAGGCGAATAGAAAAAACATCAACCACGAAACGTCCGCATACTCAGTTTACATTCATAATGAGAGATTGCAGCAACATGGCCAACCTGCAACTGCTGCTGCTCCTACTGCTGGGCCTACACTGCGCATCCGGCATGTGGGTAAAGAAATATGAAGAAAACTACCATCGTCCGACCTACTACAATCGAGCGCACAAATCAAGCAAACACGTAAACTACAATCGAGAGGAACTAGAACAGCGTGACGTAAAGATCAAAAAACGTGGGCTGGAGCCGTTCGATCCGAACGTCCATAAAAGCTTCTACGTGCACATCCTGTATAAGGGCTCTGTCATATGCGCTGGCGCTCTAATTTCACGGCGCATGATCATCACATCCTCACGTTGTTTTCTCCCCACAGAAAGCGATCCAACATACGCGTTCAAGGCGCGATATATGACGGTACGCACTGGCCTGGAAATCGGCAGTGCCATCAGCACGAAACCTTCGCAGGTCATCGCCTTCTATATGCCTGCCACAAAGACCAATATGACGACTCACGACATTGCGCTGGTCGCATTGGAAAAGAAACTGCCCAAACAAAAATATCGCTTCATCGGTCTCTACCGACAGATTCCGAAGCCGGGCGATTCCGTGCAAATGGCCTTCCTCGATCCAGCTGAATACGAAATCACACTCTTCCCCAGCAAAGTAGTGGATATGGAACTTTGCAAGAACTTCTATGAATCGTTACGCCCACATAACATGCCGTTTGGGTCCGAATTTTTCTGTACCTCCAACAAACCCAACAACGGCAAGGTGGCCTGCAGCACCCGACCGGGTGATCCACTGATTATTAACAACGAACTTGCTGCGATCAACATCTACGGCGAACATTGCGATCTGGCAGAAGGTCGTCAGACTATGGACGTTTACTACGGCATTCGTCACACAATCAAATATGTGCAAATAGCCACGGATCTGTTACGCGCCTTTACCGACACTTGGCCTTTCAATGATACGAAGGACGGTCCGATGTTCGACAACCAATTTACGGCTACTCCATAACTATAAAACTATAGCCAATAACCAATAAAGCATGCTATGGAAATGGAATAGTAATTTTAATTAAAGACAAGATATGCAAAAACATTGAAATAAATTTAAAATTTGGTTGATTGATTTGATAGCTGGCCGTTTGGCAAATAAAATCCCCCCACCGAGTCGGATTCGCTATTAGACATTTTTGTTATTTCAATAGGCTTGGTGTTTCTTTAGTTTTACCTAGTATAAGTTCCGTTATAGTTTGGATTTTTTTCCCCAATCTACAGTTCTTTTTGTCGATAAATAAATAAAGAAGAAAATATTTAAAAGTCGTCACCAGTTATCTTAAATGAACCATCAACAAGCAGCCCTTAAAATTAATTTTTATTTAATGACTAGCTGGAAGGCTTTCATTGACAGACGAATGAATCATGATCGGAACAGAAATATCTAACTATCGAATTTCACAAAGTTGCAGATAAAAGGTTAACAACCACAAAAATAATAAGAGCGACTTCTTAATCATTTAACCACGCTAGCTACTTGATATACAACCGCGAATGTTAAGAGATTTGAAATAAATTCGAGATTCTGCAATGAGTTTCAACCATTCTTAGGACTTAAGCCCCGTCGTCAATTGCACCTCAATTGGTCAAAGCATACTCAAAGACTACGAGTTTCCAATACTTAATTTCTTTTATCGTAGTGTATAACAAATATTCAATTGAAGCTATAATAGGGCACAGGCTTACTTACATTATGGTTGCAATTAACGCAGCAGCGTATCCAATAAGCAAAGCGAATCGAGAGAAATTCAAACTAGGGTATAAGCCATCAGATTGCTGGCAGTCTACCAGCAAAATGTCAGCTCTGCACCTGCTGTTTCTGCTTGCTTTGCCAATGCTACTGAGTCTACACGTGGCCGAGGCCGGAGTGCACTACCATCGCTATATGCTGAGCGACTATAAGCCGCAACACAATCCCAATACGCAGTTGGACTACAAACGACGCAAAGCCCCCAATTATAAAGAATATTCTCTCATGGATGCAGGCAAAACAGGCATGGTGACAGAGCCCAGGATACAAATAATAGGCAAAGGACCGCAACCAATGCTGAACGAGCTGCTCGTGCGTATCTATCACAATAACAAATTCCTGTGCATGGGTACCTTGATTACGCCAAAGATTGTGTTGACTGCAACTACATGTCTGATTCAAGTTAACTCGCATATAACGGTCAAGACATCAGAAAATCATGTGATTGAGGCGCACCCCCACAACGGGAATGACGTGATTGTGAGGGAAGAAGATTCATTATTGGCACTGTTGGACCTCAAGGAGGAAGTACAAAACTTCAAAGGGCAGGCAACGCAGCTCTGCACCAACAAATTGCCACCGAGAACTAATGTCGAACTGCCCACCTACCTGCGCAACAAACGTGAAGTGTACAACGTGGAGTCAAAGGTTCTGTCGCTGGACGAGTGCCGGCGCATCATAAAGGACACCAATCAAAATTTAGGAAGTAATACTTTATGTGCCCACAACTCTAGGCTACCGAGGAAATGCCAGAATACCTTTGGCAATCCGCTCGTCTTCAATGGTATGATCTGTGGCGTCAACGTCTTGGGTCACAATTGTCCGAAAGACATCGGAGTCGACTTATATGCCAGCGTATACAATATAAAGGACTATATGAATAAGAAGATCGCCGTGATAAAAAATATACATATAGAGGATGATATAATTTAACAAAGCATATTATCTCCAGCTGACTTCAGATTAATTACGAGATACGAGTACGTTCCACAAATTCAAGAGTACCTTTTAAAAATTCGAACATACACATGCGTTTGGTTTAAACCGATTTATTTTACTCAAATTGTTTTCTTTAGATACTGGATGCATGTCAAATAAATGTTTTAGATCGTCAATCGGCATTTCATTCTAGATGTCAGTACAAGCCGAATGCTAAATAGCTGGATTAGATTATTAAATGCTCTGGAGATGCGAAATTGCGATCACAGATTTCGATTACTCAAAATATTTTTAGACTAAAATTTTTCAGTTGGATAAGCAATCCACAAGTCCAATTTGCTTTGGACTTTGTCCACTTTATTCGAATCGCACTTCTATTTAGAATTATAATTATATTTTTTCCGTGAAGTAGATTTCGAAGTGTGGCGAAAAGCCACTATTTGTTTTTTATTGATTGCTACATTAATTTTTAACGCTTGTGGAAATATTTTAGTCTCAGTTCAAATCCCAGCCTCGACATGTTCTCATCAAAGTCTGGTATAAAGTTGTTGCTCCTCGTCGTGCTGATTGCGCTACTCGCCCAAGATGGCGAGAGTGGCAAAAAAGTCGTTCGCATGCGCTATAAGATAGGCGACTGGAGACCACACTTTGGCTTTCATCGACCTCACCTGGCTAGCCAGCATCGCCACCTCAACAGGCCGAGAAATCACACGTCGAGCTATAATACATCAATGGCGGCTCGTACCGCATTAGGCCATGTGCTAGCGAACAAACCGATTCTATTGGAACAGTATGTGGCTCGACTAGTGATTGGACACAAGGAACTGTGCAGCGGTATCATAGTCAGCCCTACCTTGGTGCTGACAGTCGTCACTTGTATAGTCAATGTGCCATTGGACCAATTGCAGGTCAAGCTCCAAGACGGATCTCTGTATGCGGTGAACGATGCAACCACTGCCCCGGGCTACTCACTGGATGAGGAACATCTCACTTTGTTGCATCTTACATCGAGTATGGATCATATGTATGAGCAACGACCACCAATTTGCTGGCAAGCTATCAATGCACCACACAAAGTGATTATCTGGAGCTTAAATAGACAAAAAACGTTTACGAAAACAAAGGATGTGCCATTGATAGCTACGAATTCTTGCAAAGAAATTCTACACAGCAAAAATGGCACCGATAATCATGATGGTACCATTTGTGTAATGAACAAAAAGATTACCAAGAAATGTGAACCCACCTTTGGGTTGCCATATGAGTGGCAGGGAAAATTCTGCGGGATCAACCTATTGGGCCACAACTGCCCTAATCCGAGATCTGTTGATGTCTACGTACCCCTTATAGACAAGAAACTATATGTCGCAAAAAAAGTTATAGCGCTTAGGAACACTAAGCTGGAAGACGAGCTGATCTGATTTTTAATTTCCAAATTATATCCAGTTGCTGGCCGAATCAAACGGCAAATATGAAATTAAATTCTTTTGCCTCATTTCTGCTGACATTTTTTTCCGGGTTGGGGTTTGCCTTCATGTTCAATCAAATTAATGAAATATTCTGCTTGCTTCTTGCCTCTTTTTGTTATAATATCAAAGCTGGAAAAGTAGTGCAAAAAAAGGTGAAAAATTAAACTGGCAGTCATTTAGACAAGGCCCAAACACACACACGCTCGTGCACATTTGTTGGTGGTTTTATTTGAGTTGTCGCATTGCTCGGCTATAGCTTGACTTTGAGTCTGTTTCGAGTCTGAATCTGAGACTGAGTTTGAATTGCGACTCGTGTTGTTTCGCTTACAAAAACTTTAGAAAAGCAAAAATGAAGTGGCACAGCGGCGACGACGGTAATGGCAACGGCAACGGCAACAGCAACGACAACGACAGCAAAAACCTTTTGTATTGTAGCGATAATGTCATCAGCCAAAGTACTCCGTGGGGCATAGTGAAAGATTCTAGTCAATCGAAATGAAGAAAGCAATATGAGCGACAACGAGGGCGATGTCAAATGGAAACTGGGTAAACATCATTAAAAGAATTTTGTATCTCCATTGCCGCTACTCCACTCCAAAGTCATCAATTCGTAATGGAAATCATTCAAATTAGTTTTGGGGATCTATACGCCATCAAGCTTAGGCGCATTTTGATGATTAATATTTATGATGTTCAATCACTCGTCTGGCCCAAGTTGCACATCAAAGCCAGCTCATAGTTTACGGCAATGTCACGTGGACTATTCGAATTAATGTACGTACATACATATATACTTGTATATTTCTACATGCGAGTATCTGCGAGCACACTTTAATAAATTAAACTGAATTATTCACGCATTAAACATATAATACGTGGCCCACAATGAAAACGCAGCGGCAGCAGTTCATAAAAATGACGTCATAAACAAATGTGTTGCTTGCGCATTTTGTTGCTTTTCGAGCTCAACATATTTTGTAAATATTTTAAACTACAGACAAACACCCATACATCCATGCACCTACACGTGCTCACATGTGTGGTGCAGAAGCGCCACGGAAAAGAAACACAAAATACAAATGAAAATGTCTAACAAAAAATGCCGACGCCGCCACAAAACGCAAAACAAAACAAAGGCAGGAAAAAAATATTGCCTCGTTCGCCATTTGAATGTGTGCGCACGTCCTTGGACAATGCATGTGTGTGTGTATGGGTTGAGTGTGTGTGAGTGTGAGTGTGCGTAAAATTTTACGATAATACGCAACAATTTCGAAATGAGTGTTCCCTGACAGGCCTCTCGCCGCTAACCACCCGTTCCCCACCACTGAGCACCACACGCTTCACGCTCAGTTGTTCCGACTGCAAAGAAAGTAATTTCCCCAATATTCTTTATGCGAAAATGGCAGGCATCGGGAAAGGGGACATCGAGAGAGTAACAATGAAAAATAGAGACAGCTGCAGTGAGCTCTCAAAAAATATGTTGGCGCGTGACCAGAAACGCTGTCATGTAAATCGGGATCATGAAAATAAATACATTTTCATGGAAAACAACTTCACGCTCCTTATTCCCAATACAGATACAAGTTTTTCCTATTCTCGATAGATCCACAAAAACCCCAAATAAAGGGCTCTCTCTATATACAATGCTACAAAGCAATGATATAAAAAATATGACAAAAAAAGGCATACATCAATTTTTTGTTTTCAAATTTCGATAAAGGAACAATGTGAGAGCTACTGCTCTTTCGGTCAATAATGTTGTGCTAAAAACCGAAAATATGAATAGCTGATAGAATCGAAGTTAAAGGAGGCAGTTCCTTAATAAATATTGAAAACTTTTCTTAGAGATATTCTCCCAACAATTAACTTCATTAGTTCTGCTTTCAATATTATTCATTTTATTTAATTTTCATCTCACACCCGAGCGATTACAAATCTCAAAGATTTTTAAACGATTTTTTTCCTTTGTTCCCCATCAGCAAGTTCTAAAAGCTTTTCAAAATGCTACCATAATTATCAAACATTAGTTTCGGATGCACTTCAAAAGGCATTTTATTATTTTCCGATGCTTAATTTAACAACTTGGGGCATTATCTCATACTCTTATTAGCTGGTCCCTAATAATCGGTTTATTTACTGCACACAACACTTTATTCATTTTCTATTTATTAATGTCTTTAGTTCCTTAACTCTGCCATTAGTGTTTCTTGAAATAAATTATTAAAACAGCCAAAAGCTTAAATATAACTCTGAGAAACTTTTGACCCATGGCATTAAGCTTTTTTAAATTATACTTATGTGTTTTTTTGTAAATACATTTTTAATTATGTAATCTCTATAAAAAATATTCTAAAAAGGTGTTCTACTTATATAAAATATTCTTTCGAACACAATTATGTAGCGAATATTTAAATTCTATACATTATCAACATCACGATAACTCACGTATCACTCTCTAATACAAGAAGAAAAATGTTGTTGCTTGCGCCGACAGAAGTTGCCGCTGTGATGCTTTTGTTATTATTTTCAAAGTTCCATAAGCCGCTGCTAATAAAATTTTAGAAGCTTGGCTGTTAACATTATCATAACGCACACAGAGACACAAACCTACATGTCAGTAGCAATATAATAATCATGGCGACACACACATAGACCCATACACGCATGCAAATCGAAGCATCCGCTTCTGTGCAACATTTACATTTACATGCCACTTAGGCATTGTCGCCGTTTTGCGTTCGCTTTGACTAGCGTTGCGTATACGCCCAGTGTGTGCGAGAGCTTGCGAACTCAAGTGCGTGTGTGCGCACGCTTTATAATTCATTTATTGGCATAATTTCATTTTATTTTTATTTGTTTTACAGCTTTTGCGATTGCCTTTAATACATTTTGCGCCAGCTCTCCTTTAAGTTGTCAACAAAGATGGCAAATTGAAAACATATTGAATTTCAATTTCACACCGCAGTCTCTTCGGCTTAGAGAGTATGCCGCATGGCATAAAATTAGCAGCCCACGTGCCATTTTCTGCATTAATTACAGAACACCAGCACTTTAATTTCTAGCCCACAAAAAAACGCAGAAAAAAAATTGGGAGGCCGCACTCACAAATCACGGACAGCCTAATAAATTTTAACGCTAAGCGCTATAGATTTGGCCAAAATAAAAGCAGTGGGCGGTCGTTCTGTCGCCGCTAGTCGCTGTACAAACACTCTCTACCTGCAGATACTGCCCAAGGTGGAAAAAACAGCAAGCGCTGGCATGTCTGCACACGCGTCTGGTCAGACAGCGAACGTGACTGGGAAAATGCATTTCCGTTGCACGTAAAAACTAGGAAAATTTACAAAGGCAAACCGAAAACGACAACGAGGCGCACGTAAGTCAATCAGAAAGTGGGCAACACCAACAGTAACAGACCAACAACAAGGCAGGCACTAACAACCATAATGCAATGCGGAAGGCACACTTCAATTTAGTAGCTAACTGTGTATTGGTGTGTGCATGATTGTGAGGGTTTGTGTGTGTCTGCCGAAGGACAGCAACAACATGGCTTCTGATTTTGTTACTAAGTGAATGAGTTACATCCGCTTTGCTTAACAATTTAAAATAAAATCACATCAGTGGGCAGACCAGTGGCAAAACACAATTCGCCACACAATGGCACGTGCAGATATGTATGTTCATACTTGTATACACACACAGACAGCCATTTTTTGTTTGTCTGCGCAGCCGACGAGTGCTTTTGAAATATTTATACCAATAAAAAAAAGGCAGATAAACCCATGTATACTCGTAGTAATGCATGTGCATATGTATGTGTGTGTGTGCGTGTGAACAATTGGGTGGCATATCCAGCCCCCCACCATATTTAGTCATTCTGCAGTGATTGGCCTTTTTTGCAGTTTACAAATCCAGTTGCTCATTGACTAAGTAAATTTTAGCTCTTCACTGTGTCCGACACAGCTAACAATTTGATTTTTTGTTAAATTGTAAATCATTACATCCACTACTCAATTATAATATAAACTAGTTGCATATAATGCATGTATTAAACAACTGTGTGCAATTAGCAAACAACGCAAAAAATTAAGCAAACATGACTAAATATTTAATAATGGTTTCACAAACAAAAAGGCCAACATGTTTTTATGAATGATGAACACTTTTGTCAATACTTTGAAAAGGGCCAATAAAATTATTGGAAATCATTACAGCTAATTAACTTTGAATGGAAAAACACCCTTTTTTATTATTTCTAACATAATTCAATAATACCATTGGAATAAAAAACTATTTTTAACATATTTGTACATAATATGTACATATGTAGCAAACACACAAAAAATACAATGAACATATACCATCATAAGCCTATTAATTTCTTTAACTAATTGGCTATGGTGTAAAAAACATAACATGCATTAAGCTATTCTCTTTACATTAAGATGTGGATAATTGAACATGCTTTAACGCCACTGTTTATTACTTGTAATATACCTTCTGCTGCTTATTTCTGACGATATTGGCCGTTGGTATGAAGAAAGTAACATACATATTATTTTAGTTGTGGTAATACAACTAATTATTATGGTCCGGGTAACATAAAATGCTAACGTAGACGAATAATTCATATAATAAACACATTTCTGACATTTTAGGAGTTTTCAAGAATTAATTTGCTTAGTATATTGATCTCTTTTTCATGTTCTATTCCTATTCTTATCTCCTTACATGAATTTCATTGTAATATAGTATATGGAGCTTAAATATTAAAGTTCGAGTTATTAGAATATTAAATATGAAGTTTACAGGCTTTATATTATAAAACGCATTTAATTGATTAAGTTTATTAGACCATAAGAAAAGCTTGATATTCGTGCACAAATTTATAAATCTTAATATCTTTTGTAAAATATTCAAAAAAATAAGAAAGGGGCATCAAGATAGTATCCATTTCCTAAAATATAAAGGTAATAACTATCAACTCAATTCCAATCAATTCACTCAATTCAATGGTGGTTTCAATTTA